AGTGGAAAAGTGTCGGAGATTTATAGGTTAATTCACTTCAAGGATTACCTAAAAGTATACAACATTTTTCGTGAAAGCATCCTTACAAATTGAAAAAAGAGCCTTCTTTCAGAACAACGGGTTGATTTTGTCTTATACCGTCCACACTACCAACTGCCCCTCCTTCAAATTTGCGCTAGATCCACCCCTGGCAGAATCGCTTAGCAATTTGGTGGATTAAAACTCTGTGATATGCAAGCTAGTTTTAAAAATGGAAAGGCAGAACACGTTATGAAAAAGGTGCCAAAAACATCATAAAGTTTTGTGAAAGGCACATAAGACTTGATATAAACAATTATTCATCAGAGAGAGTTAAAAAACTCCAATTGGTAACGTTTTAGATGATTAAAACTGTTTTCAAAACCAAAGAAAGGTACCTCGAAAAAGTTAAGATGTTAGCGCAACACCTTGTTCAAAAAGACTGCAATCAAGTTTTACTGAGTTTAGTTGGAAAAAATATTCCTTCCTTTGTGGTAATGCTGCTACAAATGACTATACAACAATGATGCATCATTCCAGGTAAGGCTTTCTCCCGTTAAGGCCCCATGATGCCATAAGTTGACTCACTTTTATTTGCCGCGTAAAACTGCATTCATACCTTTTTTGTAAAAACGCAACCCCAGGCCATAGATTCACGGTAAGGTTTTAGAAAGATGAACATTTCAACCACGCTGCAAAGCAATATAAAGCCCATGCTAGCCTTCAATTTCAGAGCAAGGGTGTTGGACCTCCGCTGCAAATTGGGGAGTCGTGATGACTTTAGCTCCAGGGCCCGTACCGCCTAGCAGCGGCACTAGAAAACTGTGTCACAACGATACCAGTTTAATATAGGTTTTGGAAGGATGTGGCATTCGTGGACTGCAAATGTATAACCTTGTCTTCACTGCAGCATTGATCTTGTAGCAGCAGACGCAATATATGATTATATATCATGACAACTGCTTTCAACGTTTCATGCTGGGCAAATAATTCCAAATACCCGAGGTCCTTAAAAGACAGAATTGATCTTTCTGTGAAATTGTTAAATAATTAGTACTCTCACTTATAATCAAGAGTTTTCAAAAATTTTTGCGGGTTAGCAACCAGACTTGATACATCTTCTGACCTGATACATGATACGCTACTGTTCAACCTATACTCAGGGTCCACGCCACAAATTTCAAGTAGAGGGGCCAAGTTCTATTCATTGAACTTGAATTTAGGGCTTCAAAACAGGACCTCTATGGAAATATTTTTGCTTACCAAAATAAGTAAGGGGGCCATGGCCCCTCCGGCCCCTCGGTGGCGCGGGCCCTGATACTCAGTTTTATTTCTCAATTGTCCAATCGAATACCTGTTTAGCTTCCAACTTCAGAATTTACACCTTGAATTGTTGCAAGCTATTGATATTTTGCAGAATCCCCCGGCAGATGATATTATGCATATGGTAAAAAAGCTCGTTTTTAAAAGTTCATGAAAAATCTTTCCCCAAAATGGATTTTGTGCGATTTTGGATGCGTCATAGATGAAAATGTTCTACGTAAAATGATGTACGTTTTGCTTTTCTACTAATTTGTTCCTGATTCATCATTTCAACGACTGCACTGATAAGCGGAAGTTTTCCTTTTCACGCGATGTTTGCTAATATTTGGCTATTCCATTTGATATCTGTACATGGGGGTGGAAGTAAAATTCCAGGGGGGTCTGGCACGAAGGATATTCTAGGGGGTATCAGACAAACGTATGCTTTTTCCAGGGGGTTGAAAGAAAAAAATATATGAAGTTTTCCAAGGAGCATTAAAAATGTACGATTTTTTTCTCAAATGGGTTAAGAAAATTCATTAAAAAGAATGACATTAATTTTCCGGGGGGTTGAAAGAATCAAAATCAGAGTGGTCATGATCTTCAAATTCACTTTCCGGGGGATATATGATTAACAGAAATCTTACTTCCATCCCCCTGTATGGAGAAAAAATGGAATAGCCCATTGTTGCCTGCCTTATTTAAATATTTGCTAGTCTCGACCCGCAATTCTAATGGATGATTCTGTTCATACGCGAGAATTTGAGAGCCTGACATTATATATTATATGCTCTTTACTGGAAAACTAATATAATTTTGACAAGAAAATCAAAAGTGATGCTTGTATTACACTATGCAATGATTTTATTCTAACGCTTCCAAAAATGTTTTCAATTCAACTCAAAATGTTTTCATGTTTCCAAATTACCAACCAGTCCGAATTCCAGAGAGCTGATAAAAGTACTTCGGGATTACTTTCATTTTAGACCGATGATTTTCTTCCGGCTATGAAGCATTTTACATTATTACATAACGTAAGCGGTCCTTGCGTACTTACAGCTCCATAGCACAAAGTACAAGGGTGTCTTTTTCCATTTGGCGCCCCAAAGTCTTGTTCAAAAGTGAAACCTCGGCACTTTTCTGTTCTGTAGCACTGATCATAACATTGGTAGGCCGTGTACGTCTCTATCGTATGCATTTCTGCGGATGCGAGTCTAGTTCCCACTTCAAATGAAATTTTTGGATGTGGAACACAAACATCGTTCTTGCACAAATGAAAAAGAGTCACGATTATGAAAACCAATGTAGAAACATTACTCATCATTTCTTGCTGTACTTGTAACCATGCTAAATGCTCTTTCGCGTTCTGTTGATATACAACAAATGAAGGATGCACGGCAATACACTTCATGTGCGCCTCTTGTCATAATCTACTTCAACTGTTTAACGGGAACAAAGAATCCAATCCACTATTAATTCCTTGAAGAATCCTCCACCTTGTTTCCTAGCACGCTGTTTACCGAAAATGGCATGTCTTGCGTCATCGCAAATATTGTGGAGATATTAAAAAAACCTATTTGCTCAGCAATCAACTTCCTCCACGCTTTAATGATTCTAGCCAACATCTCAGATTCAATTCCATTGATCTTTTTCAGATAACCATAAATTATTAATAAAAAGTCAACTGTCGCTCAATTTAAATTCAACAGAAATAACGTGCATATATAAATATTATTGTGATTGTTTGCCTTAGAAAATTAAAAACACCTGTTTCATGTATCCTCATTTCTATTTTTCGAAATAAATTCCCAAATATGGAAACTTTCATTGCCAGTGTCAATTGTCAAAAGTTCCTCATACCGAAGGAAGACTTTTCCAAGTGTTCTTTACACTTGATTTATTGATAAGAGTAAGGTATATTACATGCACGTTTTCAATCGATCTCATTCAATCCTTTTGTGGTACAGAATTTAAAAGTGAGTTCAAAAAAACAAAAATTTTATATGGGGTTCCAAATGCGCTAAAATTTCAAGACGGAATAGAATCTTATGAAGACTTTAAAACATCATCAAGAGTTGGATATTTCATCAAGATTAGGATATATCTCTCTTTACAACAAAAATTCTTCACAAGATAGCATATACAGTCGACTCTCGTTATTACGGACACCATCAGGACCAAAATGTTGCGTCCGCAATAACGAGAGTCCGTAATAGCGGGATGAGAAAAAAATCACTAATTTATTGGTTGAAAAATTATTAAGTTTTTTAATCAATAGCAATCGTGTAATTTTGTTAACAGAGATTTGTAGTGCTGGAGTTTATAAATTTTGTATCATATTGTAGTTTGTAGTTTTATTGTTGTAAAAAGTACTCTTCAAGTGTCGTCTGGTGTGATTGCTTTTTCAGTGCATGTGCTGCAACTTTACTACTGAGGCATGCGAATTCACTTGCTATCGTCGCAAGACCACGCTGGATGAGAAAAACTTCTATGTCTCTCACCGACCTTGCAACATCGTGATAGCTCTTCAAGCTGGTGGTCGGAGTGACTTCATGTATATCATTATCATCATTATCATCATCATCATCATCATTATCATCTGATATAACCACTTCCACTTGCCCATTTATCACTAAAGAATCTAGCAGTTCCTTTTCATTTTCCATGCAGTAGCATATAGGCAGCTCGGTATCTGATAGCAGGTATGTATATGGAGTGATGGTGGTTTCGGGTGAAACTTCTTTAATTAGATTTTCGAGATCTTCATCGATGTCATCGAGGTCACTGAAGGGATCTGCCTCCTCGTCTTCTATCAGTGTATTGCTGGAAATTCCCCCAGAATTGAAACACTTACTGATGGTTGTCACCTTTACATTATGCCATGCTTCTCCCACCCAATTCATTGCCTGTAATACGTTGAATGATTTGCTGATCTCTGAGGCGTTCCTTTCACTTGAGGTCATTGCGATGATGAAGCGTAGCAAAAGCTTTCTATAATGAACTTTGAAGTTTTGAATAATGCCGAGATCAAGAGGTTGCAACTCAGATGTGCAATTTACAGGAAAAAACACGAGCTTGACGTTCGAGTAGCGTCCCTTCAAATCATACGGATGGCAACCAGCTGAGTCGAGAAACAACAAAATTGATCTTTTTTTCGCTTTACATTCCCTGTTAAATTGACTCAAGATCTTATGCAGAATGTCGGAGGTCATCCATGCATTTTTTTGGCTGTAATATTGACAAGGAAGGTCCTCTCTGTGGACATTTTTCAAGCACCTTGGATTGGCATACTTTCCGATAACTATTGGTTTCTTCTTTTCTCCAGTTGCAGAGGTCATCAGGGCAACAGTCAGACGTTCTTTGGATTTCTTACCACCTTTACATTTCTTTGATTTGGCAAAAAGACATTTGTCTGGAAGAGCACGATAGATGAGGCCAGTCTCATCTAAGTTTCAAATGTCTTGCATTTCATAACCAGAAATGATTGAGCCAAGCCGCTCTTTCCAAGACTTCACTGTATCCACTGCAACATCAGCAGATTCTCCGCAAACTTTGTGTTGTGAAAGATTGTGTCGTTCTTTGAATCTTGTCAACCAACCACTTGAGGCTTTGAAATCAATGTAACCTAGCTTTTCGGCAACTTGAGATGCAAATTCCTGGATCATTGGACCATCAACTGGAATTAGTTGATCATTCTAGTTTTTATACCACTCCCAGACAGCATCGTTTAAATCTGAAAACTGAGAAGTACGGTTTTGTTTCTTTCCTTGAGGAAGTCCTTTTTCATATTGTTCTCTTACTGATACCTTGTTTTTGATGATGTTGCTTATTTGCGTCTTTCCACACATGTATTTATCGGCTAATTTTCTTATTCCTAAAGAACCATTAGTACTTCAACGAGAACCAGAAAATGGTAGAGACAGAAATGCTGTGGCAATTATTGAAGAAAATGGGGGAATTGTTGGGCACATCCCCTTTGGATTATCTCAAATTGTTTCTTCTTTTTTGAAACGAGAATACAACAGTGGGGTTGCAGTTATTTGTGGCAAGCGAGTAAACAGAGGGGCTGGATTGGGACTCGAGATTCCAGTTATGTTTAAATTTTATGGGAAAGCAGATTTCTTAGAGAGACTCGATATCCTGATCAAGAGCAGTGAGACTGCAAAAAAGGCGTTGCGTTTAGAATCAGAAGGGATATCAAGCGAGGAGTCATTGAAACGACCACCTGGAAAACGCAAATCTGTTGCTAAAAATCAACACACGGCTAAAATTCCGCGGAAAAAGATTGTACAATGGATGCTTAAGATCGACACTTAATTAACAATATTCTTAATCAACACTTAATCTGACAGTTATATTCAGCATATGTCCGTTCTATCGAGAGTTAAATATTTTGAATATTCAAATGGGACCACACGTAGTGTCCGCATTTCCGTAATAGCGAGAGTACATTATAGCGAGAATTACGTTCAGTCATTTCTTTGACTTTCAGTCGGGGATTTTTTTTGTGTCCGTAATAGGGGGGTGTCCGTTATATCGGGGTGTCCGTAAGGCGAGAGTTGACTGTATTAATATCTTCATTACATTTCAAGTATCTTTACCAGAATAATTGCACAAGTTCTTGAATTCTTGGCATTCTGAATTTGTGGATCCCGTTCTTCAAAAGTTTTCAAAACATTGCATCAAGGATACCTTCACGTTTGCTGAATTCATGCAAAACCTCACAAAAAACAGCAAGACAAGACCTTTTATGTGTTCTTTCGACACTAGCAGCCTTATCACAAATTTTACTCTAAGTGAGACCATCGAATTTTATGCCGATGCAGCGATGCTTTAAAGCGAAGCGAGCTTGATAGTCCGCCATTCCCAGAGAAGGTTTCATTATGCTGATGGAGATTGAGGCACGTTCAGATGAATTAAGTTTTGATAATAAAATGTAATTTAGTTTTAACAAGAGGATGATTTCGCTACAGGTAGCTCTCTGGGACCTGATTTGGCTAATATTTTGTAGGCTTTCATGAAAAGAGTCTGCTCACCGGCGACAAAAAGGAAGGATGAATGAAACATAAACCATTTTCAAAGAGAGGCTGAAAGTGATAATTTTGTAAAACGTCTTCAGTTCACGTTTGAAAAGGGTGAACACAATTCCATGTCATATCTAGATGTTTTCTGACATTGTACTTGAAAGTAATATCCTACAATGCCTGCCAAAAAGTCTTTGGAGCCTCCTGAGACTTCTGTGAATTCAGATGTCCCGTGCAATTTCTATGTCAACAAGAAGGGTTTTGCCCCCTTCCCCCTCAAACAATGTTAATTCGCTAGCTGAAAACCATAGCTATATAAAAATTCATTACTTTTACATGTAGATTTATTCATATTTCCGTGACACAACATTGTTGGGGATGTTGCACCTCGTGCACAACGTAAATTATAGCAAGTGTTTGAAGACTTTGGCAGGCATTGTAAATCTTAAAGCTGAATTTTCAGCCATGGCATCCATAAAGATAATATTACATCGTTGCTAACAATCATACAAGTGAACTAGCGAAGCTAGACTCTTTGAGAAAGATTTGCACATTGGAACAAATTGGCACATTGGAACAAATTGGCACATTGGAACAAATTGGCACATTGGAACAAATTGGCACATTGGAGCAAATTGGCACATTGGAACAAATTGGCACATTGGAACAAATTGGCACATTGGAGCAAATTTGCACATTGGAACAAATTTGCACATTGGAACAAATTGGCACATTGGAACAAGTTGGCACATTGGTTTCAGCTGTTGCAATATTTCTGATCATATATAAGTTTGAATTATTTTATGTCAAGGTTTTTCTAATATTTTTCAACTCAATTTCTTATTCCATTACAAAATTTATCAGAAAAATACTTTAGATAGAAGAAAAAGAGCAAATTTCATTCTATTTCACCTTTGCGTCTCGATCATGATAGAAACCCAAGAAATGTCACATTACAAATAGGATACAGCAAATTTATTTTTAAAAGTATGCCAAATCTACTACAAAATTATGCGATTACACAGAACACAATGTCATTTTAATGTAGATATTATGTTTTCGTTAGTACTTTACGTTGTCAATTTTCTAAGTCTAGGCTACTTTCCTAGTAAAACTTTTTTCATCTGAAGCAAATATCTTGCCCATTTCAACAGATGTGCATCTTTTATGCAGAACAGATCTGCAAACAACTTTGAATTATGAATCTTGAACAAAGAGTATACAATGATTCTTTTTGAGTAGCTCTCTTTTTTTAGACAGAATGTAAACACTTGGCTGCCTTGATTCCAAAGACAATAAACCTAGCACTGCATTGTTGTATAAGCAAAGGTTGTCTATTGTACTTTCTTCATTTCTGGCAAAGAAATGTATTCCTTTATTGAACTTCATTCTGCCTTTTCGGTTACATAACTCAATCATACTTTTCTCTTCTTGATCAGTAAGCAGCGTACATGTCAACAAAATAGCAAACTTCGAAAAGCAAACATCTCTCCTTGTAAGCAGCAACAAGGCAATACCATTCTCGTATTTGTGTTTGGAGTATGTTTCTAAAAATCATAATGCCATATTTTCAGCGATGGTACTTTTGATGCTGTTGAAATATGAGCACATTCTCGTGTGGTTACTCGATATAGCTTGACATCTGATAGATCTACGACGGTTATAATCTTACCATCTTTGAACACAATGCACCTTTTCTTATTAAAACAAACTTCTGCTCCCATCTGAGCCATTGCTGGTACTGACAAAAAGTCGTTTGTCAACTTGAGCGCAAACAATACTTTATGTAAGGCATGATAAACATCATCAGATCCATCACATGTGGTAAGCCTTACTTTTCCTTCACCTTGAGCCAATACAAATGTGCTATCACCCAAAAATACTTTCAATGGATGCTCATACTTAATAATATGAGCCTCAACGATAATTATTTTCTCGATCACCACGTGCCACAACGTCTCTTTTCACAAACAAAACATCATCAAAAGCACGTTTTTCTTTCTTCTCTATACGTTTAATAAAATCTTCAACAAGTGATCCTTTAATATTGTCCCACTCAATTTCATCAGCATCTCGTGCATTTAAACTCGTGATAAAATTATTATCATATCACTTAGGTAAACTACCATGGATAACTATTGTAACTTTATTCGATGAAATATAATAACCTCTTTTAATTCTCGTAGCTGTACAGCCATAAAAGAAGTCGTATATCTGATATGCTCCATCAAATGATCACCTTCCTTCACGCTAGCTGCATAAAATTTACGATTTAAACGCACAATTTGTGTCACCGATACAAATTCAAAATATTTCTGAAAATGTCCCGGGCTACCTTCGAGTTGACGGTAGAGGCAATATGTACTTGCAAAGCTTTCTCGACACTCAAAGCAATCAATGAATAGGCCTTGTCTGAATGTACTCTGCTAGCATTTCTCACAGCTGCGTCTGCAGATTGTACATTAATGCCCTACTTGAGTTAAACCAAGTCACGTTCCATAAAATCAAACTTCGTGTTGTATTTCCATGACTGATAATTTTTCCCCGTTCAACTGCTCGATTCTTGTGATGTCCGCCATGGTTTTTCATGCTTCGAAATTTGTTTTATTAACAAGAGAATTTAAATATCACGTCTGCCAGAGCCGGTATAAATCATAAACACTTCGAAGCGTTCTGGGCCCATAATCTGTTAGAATTCTGCAGACTTTTGGCTCTTTAAGAAGTGGGAATAAAACGAACGAAACGTTTTCACTACAGGAAGACTTTACTACTGAACAAAATGCTACATGATAAAATTATAGAGGTGTTACTGATCGCAACAACATGTCAATCAATTAAACAAATAGGTGTCCATTATTTCTGTGACGAAGATAACTAGAACGTAGCAATGTAAATATAATTATCATAATTCCAACACGAATGTCAAATTCGCTAAATACCGAGGGATTGGCATTGCCACCACCTTTCCATTCGTCATCAGAGGAAGAGGGTTATTGGTCGTTTTGATAGGGCTAGAACAGCATTTCCTCATCCCCGTCGTCAAAATTTGTTTTGCAACAGCTGACACAACTTCGTCAGATACACAATCAGTGATGTTTACTGCTTGAAAACAAAAACTTTGGCAACAATTAAATTTTTCATTTCAGAGGCAATTTAATCAGGAAAGGAGACAGAATTAGAGCTTGAGGCAAAACAAACAATCAACAAGAAGACAATATTTAGGTTGGAAACTGGAAATTAACAACTTCAACTATTCAAAATGGTCAGTGCAGCAATATTTTTATAAAATGAAAATGCACAGTGTATCTGCATGAATGTCTTTGAAGTTACTTCCAAAAAACGATCCTTTTCCAAGAAAGATCTTCTTTTCTCCAAAGTATTCCTTTAGTTGTTGCCGCAAAAACTGGTTTACCATCCACTTTGAAAATATACGGATCAGAAGATGATTGGGGTAATAGAGAAAGGGACAAACAGTTCAAAGAGGCTCTCATCTGAGGTTGATCTTTGGCTGATGTCCATTCAGTGTCCTCTATCTGGCTGTAAAGAGCAAACGGATACGGAGATTTGACATATGACTTCCCTGCTCGTTCTAACCCATAAAGAACTCTTTTCTCGACATCCATTCCTGTTACCGCGGAAATGTAAGGAATGGTTTTCCAAAACGTGTTGTTCTTTTCTCGTGAAAAGCAAATACTGGAGTTTTTTGTCATGTATGTTTTCCTTTGGTAGCAGAAAAAGAGTTGCTGATTCACATCGTCATAAACCATGCTGAATTCAGGAGACGGCAACCTCGCTGATTTCACCCTGATATCTTTAGTCTGGTCAATCTTGCATTTGAATGGCACATTCCTCTCTAAAGTTGAGTTCACAGTTCCATCAAATTTTGCCAAGTTGTTCATATATGCAAAATCAATGATGATATCTTCATTGCAGTTTTCTCCTCTTGATATAGTCTTTGGGTACTTTGCCTGAAGTATTATCGAGATTTCTTGCCTGTTAATCAGCCACAGTGTATCAGTTTGAATCATAATAAACCCAGGCGTGGTTGTGTTTCTGGACGGGGGTAGACTGAAGCGACTTGTGTTGACGAATGCCAGTGATTTCAACTGAAGAAACTTGCTGTTGAAATAAATCATGAGAGTAACACCATAAGCATTTGAGTTGCTTTTTCCCAGCAAATGGGACACGGACAGATTAAGGTTGAAGAAGCTATCATCAGTTAGCGATTGGGAGTTTTGCTTTGTGATATTTAGTTGAAGAATGCTTTTGTCGGGCTGCAATCTCTTTATTAGAAGTGGAGATGAGAACACAAGGATTCTATCTTGACTATCTGTACTGATAACTGCCTGTTTTTCTCCTGTGGTTAGTTTTGCATCTAAGACCTGCAAAACAAACAAATAAATAAGAAATAATCGGTGTTTGAAGGAACTGGTATCACTTGCATTAGCATTTAAATCTAAATTTTCGTATTTTTCTAAAGTTTTGATTGATTTTTAATGCTTAGCAACAACAGAAGTGTAGAGATCAGGTCGGATTTCCGCGAACTGCAATCTATGTTGATGTGCAAGTAATGGCCTGTTAATGATTGAAATTTGAAAGATAGCCCATTTTAATTCGTTGGGAGTATGAATTTCCTTTGCAATGTTCTACAATAATTTGGGGGCCAGGAATTGGCCTGTTTTACTATATGAAGCATAAAGTTGATCTGGACCACTAATCCATCAAATACAGTGCATTTTATCTACCTAGAGAACCAGTAAATCGTTGAAGTACAACCGTGCATGCCTTCAGAACAATCCAATAATTAGCTAATAGGCTCTTAATGAATTTAATACTTTTTCAAGTTTTGATAACAATTTTTATTTAAGAAGAGAAAGAAGAGAAATTTTGTTGGAGAGCAGACCCTTTAATACCTCCCAATATTTTCCAATATGTTAACCCTTTCGACAAAACTTCTTGCAAGTAGCTCCTCGATGCGCTAGACTGCAAGTTATAAAGTTGTCTATTTCTTTTCCAGATTCAAATGAATTCCTTTCTAGACTGAAATACCTCTTTTTCAATACAATTAATTTCATATAGTTGACGGTTAAGTTATTGATTACAGTAAAGTTGTCAAAAATGGCATTGTCCAAATATATTCTTTATTGCAATTGTTAATTTATAATTTTTTGAAAATTCTGCTTCACAAAATTAAATCCCTTTTTGCACAATCAACAAATTAGCTTTGGAGTTAAGTTTTGATAATTTTTTCTGTTTCATTTTTGACAATAACTAAAAAGTTGATTGCATGTATCTGAGTGGCTCGTCACCTGCCATGACTTTTGAGATATTGATTCACATAACTAACTACAAAATGAATTAGATATTTACCTTTCCAGCAATGTCAAGATCAAATACATAATAGTTCTCTTCAACAACGTTAAATTGAAGAAATGCAACACTATCAATTTTTCTCATCTTGTCTGTGACAAAATTCTCCACACCGCTTTCTTTTTTGACTGTTCCGTTATCAAACGTTGTCGATGCATTAATTTTGTCAAAGTGAAACAGGTCAAGTTTATTTGCAAGGCTTTTGTTACTGGATGCCGTTGATATTCCGATTGTTAAATTGTTCTTTATTGTTCCGAATGCAAAGACCGATCCTTTGAAATTATCATTTGTAGAAAAACTTGACGATGGTGACCAGTCAACACTCAAGAAACCTCTCGATATAGCACATCCATAAAGTTCTATTCTCATACAGCTAACGCCTGATACAGATAACCTATCTGTGGGAACTACTCTTATCAATCTTGTTTTGAGATTACCAAACCAGTTAACACTTGTTTCAAGCCTATTGCGTTCTCTTAATGCTGTAAACTCTAAAACTGAGTCTTGCTCGCTCTTGTAAAATTGCCAAATTATTCCATTTTCACTGTATTCAATTTTGAACTTTGTTACAGCATGTCCATTGCCAGAGCCGTGACTCTGAATCGCAACACCACTTAAAATCATCATCGTCCCGAGATCAACTTGCAAATATTCGGATACCGGAGTGTTGCTGTACGAACACCAACCCGGACCATAGTAATGTAGTCGCGCTAGATACGGTTGGTGGTAGATATCATTTCCCCAAACAGTCTTTGCATAAAATCTAAAATCCGGTATTTTCCTGGTTCTCACTCCAAGTTCATTTGAGCAATCATCAATTCCATCCCGTTCATGAAAGGTTTTGATGCTAACTTCAATAATTGAAGCACCTGATCCTCCAATTTTATTAACAGTTTTCTCCCAATCTTTTCTCACCTGTCCTGTATAGCCAACATATGCCAGAGACATATAGATTCTTGGAACTGGTGTAGTTGCAAATGTTGCAGAAACACCAACCTTTTGTAATGCAAGAGCTAGATTACTATTCATGTTAACTGCAGTCTTTGCTGCCATCAAAAGTAGTTTTCCTGAAGGAAGATTGTTCAAAAAAGTAGCTAAAAGATCCCTTGAGGAGGGAACCCCATAGACATCGTAAGTTTTTCTATACTCTAACAAACCACTCCGGTAATCAAAGAGAACAACATTGATACCACGTGTGTTCAAGCTGTATTGGCGGCCATTAACTATCACGTAACCTCTGCTACTCGCGCAAGTGGCGTCCAAGCATGATTCAGAAATGATCTTTATTTTCTGTGTGTCTATAAAAAGCAGACATAATGACAGCATTAATTGATCCTTCTTGTAATAGCGAAAATTTATTTATGTTGTTTAAGCATTTAAAATTTTCTTGCCTAAACATGTCAAAGTATGCAAAGATATTAGCTTCATAATTTAAAGAAATAATTAATGCCAAAAGCTTCTAAAGAGATCATATTGTGTATAATTTGCCGATGTTACCGTTTTGTTTGCAGTTGGTAGTTATTCAAGTTTCAATATATCAATTTAATTCAGTTTGTTTTTTAAAGACAGTGCTCCTGAATTTGTCAAATATTTGATTCATAAAGTTTTATTGACTATCTTTACTTATTACTTAGATAGCGTTAATAGAGGCTTGCTATTATCAAAAGTCTTACCGTGGCTTTTATCTTACGAAATGTGACACAAGCCAATAAAATACTTCTATAATATTGTATTAGAATTTTGCGTTTCTTTTGTCTGGGAAATCTGGGAAATCTCATTTACTTGATTTTATATTATTTCTCTTGTAGAAATAAGAAACTTGTAGAAAACTAAAAATTAATATATTGATTTTGTAAATCATTATAAAGAATGATAGATAAGATTTAAAATCACCTTAAAAAGTGATCCTCCGAATCAAACTCCAATAGAAGTAATATCTTGTGAGAATTGCTATTTATCTGACGTTGGTAATATTTGGTTATGTAATTTGCAGTCATTGTATATAATGTCTTGTATAATAAGTGTAATAAAAGTCTTGTATAATAAGTGTAATAAAATATAGCATGTCAAGAATTTTTAAAATATAGCGTTAAACTGAATTGAGACACTAAAAATGTAGAACAATAGTTTTGCTAACGATTTGATTAGAAAAAGATTTCTTTCTCCTCTCAGCTTATTTTTTGTTTGTCGCTTGAAATTGAGCGTTTTCAACGTTGCAAGTCAAAATAAAGAGTTTGGGATAGTAAAGACTATATTCGAAATGACAATTCGCGTAAAAATAATTACAAAATTGCTAAAAAGAAAAAATTTTGTATGTCAAGTCAAAGTGAATTGGGAGTTGCAAGATAAACAAAATATCACTGAATAAGAATACCTTTATCATCGTGGAAGAAAAATCTCAAGCGGTCTTCATCAGTACATCCATTGCTCTCTAGGGTAAGCAAATTGCCATTGGCAGGATATAAAGCTCCATTTAAAGGATGTATACAATCAGTTGGACCATTTTGAAGTAATGAAAACTGGTTGAGTTTGTGAACTGTTTCTGGAGATTCACAGTCGTCAGTCAGTCGCAGATATGAACTTGAAAAAATAACACATTTGCCGGTTTCAACGTGCCTCAAATGGTAATTATTCACATACTCAAAGCGATCACAAGCCAACAGATCCCTCAGTTTGATCAGGTTCTCTCCAGAGGTATAAACCCAACATAGTCCACCAAAGTGCCGGATGATATAGTAGGCTTTCTTTCTGAAGTAGAATTTGTTGGTTTTTCCATCGCAGCCTGACTTCAGGACAATTGCAGTATTAATTGCAGGATCAGCATTTCCAGTTTCTGGATGCAAACATTTGTTAGTGAAAAGATGCCGGATCACTCGATTGTTTTCATCATATTGGAACAAACTGTTTGTATCACTGCATTTGCTTGACAAAGACAAGAAGCTTCCATCGCTTGTGGCATTGATATTGATGCATTTCTTTGTTGGTATGTGGACCAGTCTTACTCCACCTTGCCACTCAAACTTTTCTCGGCAAAGTCGACCGTAAACCAGGACCTGACGTGCGTCATCGTACTCTACGCATTTTCCCTCGAAATGACGAATGTAATAGGTCTTTGCTATTTCAAACTTTCTGCTTTCGATCGTTTGACACTGCATCAGAGAGGAGAATAACAATGAAAAGACAAATCCAAAAGTTAAGGATGTCTCCATCGTTTACCTAGCGTATCTTGAAATGCAGCAATTTGCTACCTATAAGCTACCTCTACCAAGAAAGATCCTCTCCATTGACTACAGGCAGCCTGTGATATTAAGAACATTTGAATGTTTTTGCAGGTGAACGTTTTCATTTTTATTCAGATTCATTCTAATGACAGGCTGTGACATGCTGAGTATTGGTTATATTATGCACGATTCTCCTCAATTAAAGTAAGTTTGGTTTGTTATCTTTGAACCGTATCATCACAGTTCGTACGTTGCTTAGAAATGAAACAATGGTATTATAGTAGACTGTGGGTAATTACCTTTCGTTATTGAAAGCAGCATCTAGTGGCTGAATTGATAATCACTGCTGGAAATAGTTTTATATTGGTAACAACAGGTAATTTACATGTACCTGGAATATTTTGCTGTAAACAAGATTCTGTCAGTTCCATGCTATCGAAATTTTTTCTATTTCTTTACTGGCCTCATCCTGACCTGACAATATCCATTTACTCTTTCGTCAAACAGTTCTTCTACCGTTTCTCAAGACGATGTGTTTTTGTTCGACTGAAACTCTTTTTACTTTTTTAGGACAATTTGCTAAGCAATATAATGATATCTCTTACTCAATTGCTTTTTCTTTTCGTTTATTGAAAGCTTACCGAAGAAACATTGGAGATTAGAGGAGAAATCAGCCAGTTGCTTTTAATTCATAGCCTAAGTCTAGAGATTAATTCTCTAACGATAATGAGCTTGAAAGGTCTTCTAAGTTTGCTAAGAAAAACATGGCAAAATCAATTTTAAAAACTTTTCAGTTCCTTTGTATTTTCCGAAAATTTTTGTAACTCGAAGGCTGCTTTTTTCTGTTGATTTTTTTCTGCTTGAAACAATAGATCTTATAGGTTTTTTCTGAATGCAAGCTTTATACGCTGTTCCATCAGACGGTAGTGCCTCTGCTATCAAATCTAAAGTTAAATCTTACTTCGAAAGTCTAATCTTTTCCAACTTAAACAAACCCCTAGCGCAGGACAAAAAACTATGCACCTATGCTAGAGTAGAAGAGTATCAAGTTTCAAACATACATACAAAGCTTCCCAAAAGTCCTGGAACACTTGCTGTAATTTCATGTTATGCACGAGCAGCAACATCCCCCCTCCCCCTCCCCCCTTAAACAATGTTGTATCATGCAAATGTGAACTAACAAACAGGTACAAGTGATACATTTTTACATAACTATGGGTTTTAGCTAGCAAATCAATATTGTTCGAGAGGAAATACAAAGTAATACAAACCTCAAGATTTTACAAGATATTTTTGGCAAGCACTATAGATGCAATTTGCAACTTCAAAAGAGGACAGTTCCTTTTCAAAATTTCGAACTAGTGTATTAACAACATTTATTTTGAACCGTGGTCGATTCAAAATCAAGGTAAATCCCAAGAAGTGAATTTTCACGAACGTATTATTATAATTATAATCCGTAGTTTTGGCTCGATTGCGACATGAAGTTTGGAAGGTCATTTAAATGCCAAAATGTTGAACATGCTTTAGCAGTAAAATTTAAAATAAGAAAGTTTTAGAAGCTTGTAAAAGTTTGGGTATTTTGCAAAATCAAATCGTAAGCAAATTTTCATATCCCTACCCTTTTGAAGACAAGCTAGTTTTTAACCAACTCTTCTCTATAAACACATCCAATCTTACACAGTCCCACCTTACCTCTCTACATAGATCCTCTCACGCAAAATTGAGGTTCACCACGCCTCTCTCTTCCCCCAGGTCCTGGACCGATCTCTTCTACAGCGATGCCCGTCCCTGACCAACCCATTCTATAGATCTTGATACTTTCATATAAATAACAACACTGAAATAAGTGCCCTATTTTGAGGGCTATACTTTCTAAAATAATTTACGAAAACGCCTAATATTGGCTTTGAAAAAGCAAACATTTGAGTAAACTAATGCTTTTCGTCTGACACTCTTCAGAGTTTTTATTTTCAGAACATAGATCGAGAACTCTACGCTAGGAAATATATATAACCAGTTGTGGACCGAAATAAGCCAATCATAAACGCGAGCACATGACTGTTGAGGTGCCTTTTTTTAGATGTTTTGGTTGAAAGTCTGGCGCTGGATTTCTTACCAGTGTATACCGTAAACCCACATTTTCGGGGTTATACACTCGATGGAGTTCGTTTTGCCCGAAACAAAGAAAAAACCAGCCTCATCAAAACACTTAGACATAGGGCACTGATGAAGTCTAAACTCGAATCGGAACTTGAACAACTAAAAAAGATTTTTCTGGAGAACGGCTATCCAGAAAATGTCATTTCAGTTTACATTAAGGAGAAGATAGCTGATTTTTTGGCTGACGTAAAATTTGGTCCCCAAAAGTACCCGGTCAATCTGAAGATAGCTGATTTTTTGGCTGACGTAAAATTTGGTCCCCAAAAGTACCCGGTCAATCTGAAACTACACTCCTTTTTTAATAAGAAATAAAGGCCGATGTTGAGTACCCCAGTTTCTTAATGTTCTGGAAATTTCAATACTCACTGTTTCTTAAAAGTTTCTTAAAAATGATTACCTTTTACTCACAAAACATGCCACTCACAAAAGTCAAGGACGCAACGTCATCTAGTCTCCATTATGAGTGCTATTTGTAATTTTCAGTTACATTTAAATATAGACGCAAAAAACGAAGAAGAACAATAATTGACCACATCAGGAAAAGTAAGGTACCTTTAGAAATAAAAAATACAAACATTTTTTGCATCATTTACATGTTTCAGAGGTAGACCAGGGAAAGAAAATCAAACAACGTGTTGCTGCTGTTGTGTTGATTAAAAGAATCTCTTAGTATTTTTGATGAATTGAAGTGTGGCCTCCATAAGAAGTCTATTGTCAAGTACAATTTATTCAAAGCTTCCATAAAGTATTACTTCACAAATTTCCGTTGCCGCAATCGAATTTCGGTTAAGTATCTTGTTACCGTTAATGTAGAGTTTTCAAAGACCGGTTAACCGGTAAATTTTTTAGACGGTTCCGCAAGAAAAAATCACCTCAACATATATCATTGAAATCAGCATATTTTGGATATGATAAGTGTGACTTTACCTAAACTTATCAAATTTCATTTCATATGCACTTTGACAAAATTCCCCCTGAGCGACAGCGACTTTACATGATTCGAAATCCATGAAAGGAAAGGACGGGTGATTTTTCTAATAGCTCTTTCAGCAAAATGGAGGTCGCTATGAGTAGTGCAGTTAAAATGTTAAAATAGCCGAAGGGGAGCAATTTTAAAACAGGGTCCATATCCGATCTTTTTTAACGGATTAAACGGTCCTTTTCTGCAAAGTTTCAAACTGAAGAACGATAATTCGGTCTATTAAAGTCTGTGGAAAAGTACCATGTCTAAGTGTAGCCAAAAGGGGGAATTTTCGGTCGGGGTCTATATCCTATCTTGTCAGCGTAAAAAACTATCCTATTTTGCAAAGTTTCATGTTGTAGTGCTAACGTACGACTGAGATTCGACTGCACCGTCTTTAAAGTACCCCAGCCTAAAATTAGAAAAAAGGGGGTAATTTTCAGTTAGGCACTATCTTTTGTACCGTATAAAACTGCCACTTCTTATAAAGTTTCGTGCTATTGTACCTTTATTTCAGAAGAGATATTGTAATAACGCCGTTAGAGGATTGGAGCAAAATACCCCAGTCTAAAAATAGTCCAAGGGGGAAATTTTTAGCTGGGGTCAATATCCTATCCTGTTCAGCTTATCCAACTTTCCCCTTTTGCAAATTTTCATGTTGGTATCACATTTTGCAGAATCGTTTGAGTAATAGCCCTGACTAAGTGGTATGGTGCAAAGATTGTGACCTCACTGATATTTCAAACTTAACCACTAAAACAAACTTTCCCATGCAGATATTCAAGATAATTTTCGTTTTATAAGGCAAAAATGTGTAGAAGTTTCAATTTGTTTCAAAAAACCAATGTGTGAAATTTTATTTCATAGGCACTTTAAACAGATATTCTGGTGTTTATTAATGTCTTTACATAAACTTGAAAAAATGACATTATCTTCGATACCATCTTCTGTCACATATCGTCTCCCATCCAAGTTCCTTGCATATTTTTTGTCTGCTGGTCCCGTTACCTGTGAGAGCCAATATCGCCATAAAATGAGCTTGCTCGATGCTTTTTGTGAAAGTGCCTCTCATATCATGATCAGAACCATTTACGTCATATGGATTTGCATTCAAATTAAGCTACTGCTCTTTTTAGAATCTTGTAATTTCTTCTGATTAATATGAAAAATAACGATCAAGCAACTGGGCAAATTATTAGAACTGTATAATTTTAATTAAATTATTTTTAAAATTCAGCCTCAGTAAAATTGGATTTCCATCGTCGTGTTTCTTTGTTCCTGACTAATTTCGTATTATTACTCATGGCAAGATTTACAGAGTCCGATGGACAGCCTACCCTATGTTTCTTCCGTCTTACACAATAGACTATTGTATTGCAGAAGGTCTGCAAAGCAAAATCGGAGGACGAGAATCCTTAAAAAGAAAAAGTTCTAAGTATATGTACCAAAATATGAGACAAAGAGATATCAAACATTAATTGCAAACGGAAAGGAAAACTCTTCAAAGTTACAACCATATTAACGACTTATTAAAATATTGTCAATGTTCTCTTAAAGTGCAACAACATTTTTAATTACATATTTACATATAGTCATACAGAAGACAAATTTTGGAAATTAATTAGAAAAATCACTTCCAGAAAACAATCCTTTTCCAAGGAAGTTCATTGGTTTTCGTTAATATTCCGTGAGATGTCCCAGCAAAAGCTAGCTTTTTCACTACTGTTATTATCCATGGATCAGATATATAGGAAGATAATAAAGATATGGAATGGCACTGTGAAGAAAGTCTCATTTGAGGTTGATCTTTAGCTGATGTCCATTCAGTGTCCTCTATCTGGCTGTAAAGAGCAAACGGATAAGGAGATTTGACATATGACTTCCCTACTCGTTCTAACCCATAAAGAACTCTTTTCTCGACATCCATTCCTGTTACCGCGGAAATGTAAGGAATAGTTTTCCAAAACGTGTTGTTCTTTTCTCGTGAAAAGCAAATACTGGAGTTTTTTGTCATGTATGTTTTCCTTTGGTAACAGAAAAAGAATTGTTGATTCACATCGTCATAAACCATGCTGAATTCAGGTGACGGCAACCTCGCTGATTTCACCCTGATATCTTTAGTCTGGTCAATCTTGCATTTAAAAGGCACATTCTTCTTTAACACAGAGTTAACAGTTCCATTGAACTTTGCCAAGTTGTTCTTATACGCAAAATCAATGATGATATCTTCATTGCAGTTTTCTCCTCTTGTTATAGACTTTGGATATTTTGCCTGAAGTATTATCGAAAATTCCTGCCTGTTCAGCAGCCACAGTGTATCAGTCTGAATCATAATAAACCCAGGCGTGGTTGTGTTTCTGGAAGGGGGTAGACTGAAGCGACTTGTGTTTAGAAATGCCATTGACTTGAATTGAAGAAATTTGATATTGAAGTAAATCATAATGCTGACTCCATAAGCATTTGAGTTGCTTTTTCCAGGCAAATGAGAAATAGAAAGATTCAAATGGAAATAACCATTATTAACTAAATTATCCAAATTTTCTGTAGTGACATTCAATTGAAGGCTGCTTCTGTCAGATTGATGTCTTTTGATATTTTGAGGTTTGGAAAGCACATTAATCCCGTTATTATTTTCTGTGCTCACTACCACCTCCCTCGGTCCCGTTGAAAGGCATGAATCTAGTACCTGTGAAAATAAACAATCCACCAATTTGAGACAAAGTCTTGGTACTTAGTTTAGATTTTTATGAAGCTATGGCGACTTTTTTTCTAAGAAACTTGACTACAGACAAGACATTTACCACATAATATTTTGGATAAACTTGCATAAAACCACTGAAAATCAATTAATTGCTTAAAAAGCATAATTGGTTGTTAGCACACATAAAACTATTTCTTTTAACATGCTTAAACAATAAATCTGTGACGCGATTTAATGCTACCTTTTTGTTTGTTACCTATTTTAGCATTACAAAGTATGTAATAAAAATCGCTAGCTACTCTGAAAATTTTAGATATCATGCAATATTTAGATAGTTCAGAATAATTCTTCCTTGTCTAAGTTGCCTTACAACTGACACCTCAATCCGCGTACAGGAAAGAAAAAAGCTAGGAAAAACTCTTCTTTGCATTTTTTGAATAGCTTGATAACGTATTACACCCAGAAAGGTCTATTAGACTGATCCTTGATACTAGCAAATGCTTATCCAGATTTTTGATAATGTGATGTTTTAGATCAGGGGCGTAAAACTCAATTGCGCAGGGGACCAAAATCTTAAACACATTTCAGGTCGAGGGCCAAACAGGATAAAGATTTATTGATTATTTTATAAACCAATGATCTCCAAAAAAGACTGGATCGAGCTTTTCAGGCCAACGTTGATTCCACATTACAGCGTCCATGTTAGGACCTCGCCGTGTTGCTTGAAATTAAAGAGAAATCCTGTTGATTTAAGTCTAATTCTTTTTTCAAAGCAAAGTTCAGAATAAGCAAGATTTTACAGGAGAAAGAAGAACCTGCATGACTTCTATGTGACTTAAAGATTTTTGCTGTGGTATTTAGTTTTTTGTGTGCGTGTGCGTGCGTGTGCGTGCGTGCATGTGCGTGCGTGTGCGTGCGTGCGTGTGTGTGTGTGCTTGGGGTGCGGGGGGGATAATCAAATGGTCAATAAATTTTCTTCTTAGATTGTTTAAGAATTTAATGATTATTACACAATTAAAAGCGCAGCTCTGTGTGTGTACCGTTTTTACATACGGCAGCCCAAGGCTTTAGGTGCGAGAAGTCCCAACACGAAGGAGAGCCCGAACAGAGACTCGATTATTTTCTCGTGCCGATGAAGGAGAACAGTTGGTTGCTCGATCGAGCCTTTTTAGAGATCAGTGATATAAACAAAATAACATAAAAATATTTTGCGGGCCGGATATAATTACATGCCGGATGTCGCCCGCTGGCCGGATATAATTACATGCCGGATGTCGCCCGCTGGCCGGATATAATTACATGCCGGATGTCGCAGTTTGACAAGTTTATTCTAGGTCGTTGCAAATCTATAAAAATTTTGTTAACCGAAAACAGAAGTTCAAGTAGCTATGTGTTATCAGTAACTATAGTTATGTGTAGTTATGTGTATCAATATATTGTGTACAAAAAAGCAGCCTTTTTTTCCAGATGATTGAGTAGATAAAAAAAAGAAAAGGAAAGAAAGAGGAAGTAAGGTTTATTTAGCTTTAGCATGAAAAGCAAAGGCGGCTGGGGGGGGCTGGGGCTTCAACCCCCGCCTTTTTGAAAAAATGCTTTTAAGAAATTAGAAAAAAGTAAAGAATAAGAATAAATAGAAAGAAATAAAGGAAAGGAGTAGTGCAACGAAACTTTTTATCGTTTCATTTTAAAGGAAAAAGCAGAGGCCTTTGGGGACTCATAAAGTAATGATTTAAATTTTCAGACTGGAATTAATCAAACATAACAAAAACATGTCTTAAAAAAAGTAAAATATTTTAAACGATTGCAAAACAATGACTGCTAGGAATAATCCTGGAATGTATTTTAAGCTAACCTGAAGGGCATGGTCGCAAAAATTTTCCGCTCCCAGGAAAACCTTTTCTTTCAGATATACCTAAGGCCGCAACAACCTCTCGCCGGCATTTCCAACGCATCGTTAGCATAACGAGTAACACATAAAATCACACAAATATACCGTGAAGCATTTTAGTGCGTTTTTCAAGAGTTGATATTTTAGTCAAATCATGCTATCATCTCAAACTGCCCCCCCCCCCTACTTAGATTTCTAGGCACCACCCCTGAATAGCTAAGGGCTGTGGCTTCTGAGTAAAAAAAAATATGCTAAATTGCGATGCACCAAAGCAAATGCAGAAGGTCCAAAAAAGAGCAGTAATGATATTCACTTAAATTTTTTTCTCAAATAATTCTCTCTTCAAAGCCATATTTTCAAGTTCTGTACCGTCAAAATTATGTTCTTGTTCATTTAACGAGAATAAGAAATTTTGAAGTTAGAAGATCGACTTGTCTTTGTCTGGAATTCAAGTATCTTTCTTTCTTGAAATATATTTAAACTGGAAAAATACCTACCTTTCCAGCAAAGTTGACTTTAAAAGCAAAGTAACTTTCTTCTTTTATTAGAAATTGAGCAATGCCTGCACTGTCAATTTTCCTCGTCGGGTCTGTTACCAAGCTTACAACTCCTTTGTTTGGTATCACTGTTCCGTTATCAAGTGTTGTCGATGCATTCATTTTATAAAAATGAAACTGGTCACTGGCCATTGCAAGGCTTTCATTATCAGACGCTGACGATAATCCTGTTGTCAAGTTACTCTTCATAATACCCAAAACAGAGAAAAACCCCTTAAAACCATCATTGATAGACAAGTTTGACGATGGTGACCATTCCATGCTCAGAAGAGTTTTTGACACGGAACATCCAAACAATTCTATTCTTAGGCAATTTATGTTTATTGGGGATAACCTTGCTGTAGGAACAACTCTGATAAATCTTGCTTTAATGGCATTGAACCAGCTAACCCTTGTTTCCAGCTCGTTTATATGATCTTCCCATATTCCGTGAAACACCCTAATAGAGTTTGAATCATTTTTGTAGAACTGCCATTCTAAACCATTTTGACTGTATTCTATTGCATATTTCAAGATTACGTGGGGGATCCCCTGGCCATGACCTTGAAGTGCAACACCACTAACTATTTTTGTGATGCCGAGATCTATCTGCAAGTATTCAGATACAGGCACATTTACAGATGAACACCAGCCAGGCATTTTAAGATGCAACCTTGCCCTGTATGGTTGATGGAAAGTTAAATCATCAAAGGTATTTCTTGCGAAAAAACTAGAATCCGGTATTTTACTGGTTCGCACTCCAAGTTCATTTGAACAATCATCAATTCCATCCCGTTCATGAAACGTTTTGATGCTAACTTCGATAATCGAAGCCCCTGATCCTCCAATCTTGTTTACAGTTTTCTCCCAATCTTTTCTCACTTGTCCTGTATAACCAACAAATGCCAAAGACATAAAGATATTTGGAACAGGGGCAGTTGCAAATGTTGCAGAAACACCGACCTTTTGTAGCGCTAGAGCCAAATGGCCATCTATGATAACTGCATCCTTTGCTGACATGAAAAATAATTTTTCTGATGGTAGTTTGTTTAAAAATGTCACCAAGCTATGTCTGTGGGTTTGACTACCGTAAATGTCATAAGTTGCTCTGTGCTCGAACAAACCACTTCGGTAATCAAAAAGAACAACATTGATGCCACGTCCATTGAAACTGTATTGGCCACCATTGACAATCACATGACCTTTTGAAGCGTTGCAAAAATCTTTTCCTTTAAGATCCTCGCATGTTTCGGAGACAATCTTAACTTGAAGAATGTCTGTGGAGAGGTAATCGTACGATTTCGATGAGAAAAATGAAAAAAAGATTAAATTTACTCTAGTAATTAAGCGAAGTAAATAGATATGAAGACCTAGCTTAATTTTCAGATATTGGTGAGGTTTATGTTAATCAGAAATTAAAGCACAAAAATGGTGTCTGCTTTTTTCACAAATGCGTCCTTCAGTAGCCAAAGGTGTTATACCCTCAAATTCACTAAACTTTCGTGCCTCTTATCTTACAATTTTCACAGGTTCTCGTTACCTTTGGGGATCTTTTTGTATATCACAAATATTTGGGATCAATTTCAAAGAAGATTTCAACCGAGAGCTGCAAAACGCCAGAGTGAAACGAATGTTATGCTTACCCTATTGTCTCGCATAAAGGCGCCTATAAATTTTTGACAACAAAATCACTTTAAATCGCAAAAAAAATCATTTTGCATCAAAGCTTATACTAAGAAACATCTTAACTGTAGAAATTTTACAGATTAATAACACAATGCTAAAGTTCTACGATAATGTCCTTGTCGTGTTCCTCATCAGAACCAGTGCCTTCAAATGTTATGATTGCATTAGTATAATTTTTTTCAGATGTTATGGGTCAAATTTGAAAATTTATATTTAGAGTTTAACGTTTGTGGTAAATCTTTCCTTTTACATGATTTTGCAATGGCGAGAGCAGCTAAATGTCTTCCCTGTGTATTTGAGTTTAACTGTTTCATCACTGGACATCACGTATATAAAGATATATGGACTCCACGTATTCAGGAGGAGCGGACTTGTAAGAGGAGCCTGATAATCATCACGATCAATATGCCGTGAAAGTTCTGAAAGATTGAGAAATTGTAGGGCACATTCCACGACTATTTTTTAAAACTTGCACCCTCAATTTGCTGTCCGGTGGCTCCATGAAAGTTTGCGTGACAGGAAAACGAGAGAACAAAAGAGGAAAGGGGCTGGAGGTCCGTTGTTTAGTGACTGTCAAGGTGTCAGAACATATTCTATCAAAAGTAGAACCAATTATTAAAGATATGTATGAAAGTGGAAATAATTGAATCTTCTGTATGAAAATTGCTTTATGTTATTTCTCTGTCAATATTCGGTAAGAAATATGATATTAAAAAAACCGGGCCGGATATAGGCGCCACAGCGCCTTTATCCGGATACAAGCGCCGGCGCCTATATACGAGCGGCGCATATATGCGAGATGATAGGGCACTAGAAAATAGAACCTTCGAAAATTTTTAATTTAACGAAAAACGTTCTAGCTGAACAAACAAAATGAAGAATAAAGAAAAAATTAATTCAATATTTAATTTTGAGGGCATAAATTTCCAATAAAAGCCTGTACACAAGTTATTTATCAAGATGTAATTCAAAGATATCTAAGAACGGCTAGTCTAAGCATCTGGATGAAAATAAATATAATCCTATCAGTTGTATTTCTAGTTGGAAAAACATTTCAGAAAGGGTTCATCAATGAAACGCTAAGGAAAATACAATTATGACATAAAATGGGCGGACATAGAGAATCCGGATAGGTAACATGTTTTGTTGTATTGCATATTAGCCGGAGAGTGTTTCTAAACCCTGGGAAACTTGTGATTCGGTGATACTGTTAAAAAACTCATTGACATGTATAACACGAGGTTAATTTAATTATCCTTTCCGGATTTGCTACTTCGGCCACGTAAATTCATAGCTGTATCAGACAAAGATTGTGAAGTGATTTACCTTGGTTGTGAAAGATTTACAAACTGCACAAAGACAAAAGTGTTAATGCCTGTAAATAAGACAGAATGCTACGTCACAATACCTTTATCGTCATTTAAAGAGAATCTGAAGCGGTCCTCGTCAGTGCATCCATCATTATACACCAAAAGCCGGTCTCCAATGGGAGGATTCAATTTCTCTGTGTATGGATGTACACACTTGCTGGCTCCATGCTGCAGTAGTGAATTCTGGTTCAGTTTGTAAATTGTTTCTGGAGACTCACAGTCGTCAGTCAGTCGTATATATGAACTTGAGAAAATAACACATTTGCCGGTTTCAACGTGCCTCAAATGGTAATTATTCAAATACTCAAAGCGATCACAAGCAAATGGATTCACCAGTTTGATCAAGTTCTCTGCAGAGTTATAAACCCAACATAGTCCACCAAAATGCCGGATGATATAGTAGGCTTTCTTTCTGAAGTAGAATTTGTTTATGTTTTCGTCGCAGCCTGACTTCAGGACAATTGCAGTATTAATTGCAGGATCAGCATTTCCAGTTTCTGGATGCAAACATTTGTTAGTGAAAAGATGCCAGATTACACGGTTGTTTTCATCATATTGGAACAAACTGTTTGTGCCACTGCACTGGCTTGACAAAGACAAAAAGCTTCCATCGCTTGTGGCATTGACAGTGATGCATTTCTTTGTTGGTATATGGATGAGTCTTGCTCCTCCCTGCCATTCGAACTTTTCTCGGCAAAGTCGACCGTAAACCAGGACCTGACGTGCGTCATCGTACTCTACGCACTTTCCATCAAAATGGCGAATATAATAAGTATTTGTTATCTGAAACTCTCTGTTTGCTGCAAACAAGTCTTGTACCATCAAAGGTAAAGCTAATGAAATGAACATAAAAATTTTCTCAACTTGTCTTGCCATCTTGTTCTCTCAATGGTAGGATAAATCTTGAACTAAAAAGCTATTGCAAATCTCTTTTTATATGCTGATTGTATGCTTCATTTAATTGACTAAAGTTTGAATGGGAAAGTGAATTATGATCCAATAAAATTACTGATCTCTTGGATTTGATTGCTGGTCCATGCTATCATTATTCAAGCTGAGATTATCATCTCTTTCTATAGTGCGAAAATATCCGATTAATAGTTAATGTTAAATTGACGTTGGTAGAGATAGAGGCTGACTTCTTTTTTCATGCACCGTCTCTTGTCGCGCCTTCTCAATAAACAGAGTGGCTCGATTCAGTGTTGTTTTCCTACTTTTCAATGCGTACCTTCATTTAATGTCTAAAATAAAAAATTTCAGCATATGCCAAATAATTGCCTGTAATTTTTAGTCGCAATATGTGAACTTTTTCAAATTCTATAAAAGGAGGACATTTCTGTTTTTCAAAGGGCCTTTCAAATAGAATGATCTGGCTCAGTATAACAGACTGTTTTCCGGGCTTCACCGAGCTGTTTTCAGTGTGCCGCAATATAAAGCTTCTGTCAACAGACAGCTCATCTTGCCTAGCTGTTAAATATCAAACTATCATTTGGTATAAAGCAACTGCCAAAATTGATGAATTTTAAGAATGAAATTACTGAATTAGATTTTTAATTCATTTCTGATGCCATTTATTGCGCGTTGCTTTTAATTTTGCTCAATGCCACAAGCTTTAGACTGTGTGCTGATGGAAGCTATTTCTACAATACACCGCGCCTTTTCTATATACACAATCAATCCCTGTTAGCAAGGATGGCTCCACCAGCTTGGGTCCACACGAGAAAAGTTCGCTCCACCTGACCCAAATGTTCAGCTTACCTGCATGCCATACGAGCATCTTTTCCACAAATCACAATCAAAAGCAATTCAAGTTAAGTCTCATCTATAGAACCAGACAAAAGTGCTGACACAAAATGCATTTTTTCCCATTTTCTACTTTACTTTCCCTTTTAAATTCCAATTAACATTTTTCTTCTCGACTTAGTAGTTCTGTCATTTGCCCTTCCAAAACTGTATCCTATCGGGGTGAAGAAAGAGTTATTTTTTAATGGGAAGAGAAAGCATCAATTTTTTTTAGAGACTCACTTCTTCTTGCCAGGAATTGTAGCAGACCTAGCTTGCCTAGCCGGCCAGCTCGCTTTCATATGAACTGGTCCTATGCTTCGAAAAGGCACTCAAAGCAATTTATCGACAATTTGATTAATAATGAAGAAATATAACAATCAATTTTAAAGATAATCACTTTATGAAAATAATGCAAACATTAATCCCAACGAACTCATTTTGATAGGAACAAAAATAAAAAATCTAAAAGTAGAATCATTGAACCGTGTTTAATTGTAGCAGTTTCCTGCAACATTACATGCATGGCAGATTGAAATTCTCCTATACCTAATTTTGGCTAAAGTCTTAAAGCAAAGCGTTGCAACATTATCTTACAACGTGTTTATGTGATATTTCGCTGTCTTCTCATCCACTAGCTTCGTACGTGCTGATTTTGCCGAATCTTTATTCCAGAATAGCCGTTTTCTGTTTTCTACTAGAGTATTGACGTCAGAACTTGACTTACGACCAGTGAAAATGAAATAGCATTCAGTACTGCAGGTTCTCAATTCAATTTAGTTTCAAAGACCTTGGAGCGTGCCTTTATTTCTTTTCTCTTTGTAGCATGCATCCCTGCCTTGCCCTGCCACTCATTCAACATTGACGCAAAGCGCTTTATTTAGATCATTCAGACACAGCGCCACACACTTGATAGTCACGAAAGGAATACAGGCATAAAGCAAAGAGGGGCGTGGGGGCACCGCTTGCCAAACTAGAATTTGTTGCCCCTCTCTGCCCGTCCAAACATTTTTGGATCAAATCATGTTTTTGCCTCAAAATTTAAAAATGACATGTTTTTTTGACTATATGACTGTCGAAAAAGTCCGTCTGATCAAAGTCTGTGCCTCTGTGCATATATGGTTAAAGCCAATATCGTCTGTGCATCAGTCCACACAATGCTATATCGAGCAGCCTGCGTTGAATGCATGTTTCAATCACTAAGCGAGATAGATTCTCTCAACGAAGACGCCAAGCTGCCAAACGGGGGTGCGTGTCACTCCTTCCCCAAACCCCCTCCAAACCTCCATACATGCAGTTTCGCCAAACGTTCAAAATGGTAAAACGATAAAAATGAATTGTGACTTACGGAAAAGTTTCCATCTTGTGAAAGGGGTTCTTCTTCTATTGCTGTAAGACGTCAATTATTATTCAGCTCCTTGGAAATTCTTGAGATGAGACGACGATAAGAAATGTCATCGGACAGAAATCCATTCACGTCTGAACATTCGTGAAGCATTCGATTTTGAAAAGCCTGCTGCATTGCCAAGCGAAGGATTTGCGTTCAGGTTGAAGTTTCCATTTTGGATTTGTCGAATTATTTATCCATGCTGGCTACAAGCCTTTGTCGAACATCAATCGCATTGAAAGAAAATAAATAAAACGACAACCGAGAACATGTTACAGGTATCGCTAACTTACTTACCAAAGATGGAGAAGAGATAAAATGGTGTATCATTTTTGGGTATCATTTTTTGTTTATCCTTAGTGTTGTTATGAGGTGCGTAGCAAAGTCCAGTGACTTTCATGTTGGCTGGAAGAAGATGAAGTTCTACGTGTTATTCCTACTACGTTTCATATAGTTTATCTTTATATTGTTTATTGATTCTACTGTTCTATTTTCTTCTTAACTGTTTCTCCTTCCATTCTTTATTTACCTGATGAAGGGTTAAGCTCGAAACGTTGAACCAAATATCCATTTCTTGTACAAAGTCGTTATCTTATTTTATCAAAGTTTGAAATGACTGAAATTGGTCTGTGAGTTACAGGTATCGCTAACTTACTTACCAAGGATGGAGAATAGGGGTGTGGTTGTGTTGGGTGTAACTATCTTGGCTGGCAAAGAAGTTGAGACGTAGAAAAGGACGGTTAAGAACCTATTTCTTTCGAAATATTTGTGAACAATTCACGTCCGTTACTTGTATGTGTCATGTACAGGCACCCGGATATTCTAAAGTACCTTGATCGATATTGCGAAGGTGATTTCAGTTTATAAAACCAGTGTCTTTGAGAACGAAGAACTAATCCTCATGAGTAATTTGAATGCTGACTATTCACTGATCTATAAAAAGACTGGATCGAGCTTCCCATTGTCTTGAAACACCAAAGTTTGAAGCCCGTTCAATTTCAAAAGGAGGAGGGCCCAAAACAATAGCGGGAAGCCATTCCTCAAAACCAGTACTTCGACGATATGGATACGCGAGAGCTTCAATGCTGTGTGCATGATTGCTGAAAAAGAACAAGGCCAGAGCAGCTGAAAACATTGCTAGGGGTGACAGAGAAGGCCGTCTCCTCGCATGGGCTGTTCTGGGGCCCTCTTCTCGGATGGCGACACTCTGGTCACATTAGAAGCTCGATCTAGTCTTTTTTATAGATCAGTGTGACTTTATGAATAATTAGAAAAACAAGAACGTAAAGCAAATTGTCAAGGGGCATGAGCTTAAAAAAGGAATAAAAATCACCAAGACAAAAGACATAAGATGTTATTGTACCAACCCAAGAACAGAATGTGAGAAAGCATTTGACACCCTCTAATTCTCTCAGTGATCACGATCTGGTGGTCACAAGTTCGCATCAAGGACGATATGCAAAAAATACTTTACGAAATATGATGAAAGTTGTTTCAGAAACGATCTCGTAAGTCGGCCATAGGAAAACCTGAAGAAAGAACAACATTTTGGAAAAAGCATAGAGATGTACAATATCCAAAGAGCTCTTGAAGTGGGTAGTATAAAAGCAAGCACTCTTAACAAGGAAACTTACAAGGGCGTTGGCTAACAAATGAAATTAGAAGAACGGGGAAAGAAAACGATTGGTCCATTTATCGTTGCTTAGATAATGCAACAACTCGAACCATCAGAAACAGCAAGGCAATTTTTACAAGATCTGCTTTTCAAGAAAACATTAAACGACTAAAGCAGTTTTGGGAGCAAATTAAAGAATGTTTTCCAACAAAATCCTCGAAAGAGAGAAGCAGAAAATATTTCATAATAAATGAAAAATTTACATCTGTAAAAACCAAATCGAGCGAATTCTGCATGTTTTTTGTGACGATTGGCAGAAAATTGCAGAATACTTTACCAGCAATAGTGAATCAAAGTTAAGAAAGGGAGGTTCGAGAATAAAAAATAAAACAGTATATAATAAATTCATGAAGAAACTTATTGTTTTGGATTATAGGTCCTGTTCACACTATACCGAATTCATTTCTTATCAGATTCACTCCTGTTCATACCTTTAACACTGCTCCGAAAAATCCATTGTCTTTAAGGAGGTACATAGAAACGTGGAATGCTGTTCGTTGTTTTGCTTTCTAATTGAAATTAAATCCATTCTTTATCTGTTACACTGCTTTGTTTTAAAGAAGAAATTATTCGAAATAAGTTTTTTAACAATCTAATGTTGCTTTCCATTAATCTTGTGATAGCTTGACTGATAACATAGTTAATCAGTGTAACTCAGAATCCTTTCACAGTCTATGTAGAAACCATTTCAGCAAACGATAGATGCGTAGACATTTGTATCGACCCGCAATGGGTCGTTAAATGTAATTTTGATGATGATGATAATGTGAAACTCATTATCATTGCCAGAAGCATATTCATTGTTTATAGTCATTGCGTGTCTTGAAAAGAGTACCAAACGCTTTTTAAAAACCCCAAAAACGAAGCTGTCGATTCAAAACAGAGAGTTCGTAGAGAAAGCGAATTGGATTCATGCGTTCACACGAGCTCAAAAGTGATCCGATATGGCTCCATTCCACATTCACAGTGGGATGGTTTGACTCCGCATAAAAGATACAGAGTGTATCGGATTCAAGGGTCATTGCGTGGACAGAAGGCCTATCTGATATGAAAAGTGATCCGATACGAAATGATTCCGGTTTCGTGTGAACAGAACCATAGCATATCTACTGATCGTTGTTGTTTCTGTTACTGCGTTCATAATCACAGCAGAATGTCAGCGCTCTAGAAGCTTCAAAACGTTTTCTTCTGTCCAAGTGGCCTTATGATTGGAGCTGTATTTTTTGATCTACGAACAAATTTGGACAGGGTGGACCATGTGGAACGCTATCTAAACTTCCTATATTTGACATTGAAAACAAGAAGCTTTCCTGGTTTGAGAGTTATCTGTTTGGTAGGAGGCAAATTGTGCCATGTGATGAAGCCTTGTTAGAAATTCAAGTTATTTCATGTGAAGTATGGCAGGGATCAATCTAGGGCCCATTGTTCTTCACCTTACTGATAAACGATATCGATGAAATTGAAGCCAGTGTGAAATGATCCTCTATGCTGACGATTCTTTTTGTACGTTCCTGGTAAAAAATGTGATGTTACCGAAGGAAAGTTAAACAGTGATCTAAAGGAGATTGCTAACTGGTTTCTGCAAAATAATATCGTTATTTATCTTAAAAAGACCAAGATCGAGTGCATTCTTTATGGTACACACCAGAGAATCGAAATCTAATCCCATGGAAAACAAAATCAATGACACAAAGATCAAAGAAGCTAAGGTGTGCGAATATCTAGGAATAAAGATGGACAAAAACCTGACCTTTTATTATTACCTTGAAAAAATATAATAAAAGCCACATCAGAGTAAAGTTATTGTCGCGTATACGGCATAATATTAGTCCTTGCACAACAGAAACAGTTTACAAGGTAACAATTTTGCTTTAATGTGACAATGTGTTTCTTCACATGGCACCTTAAAAGAAAGAGGTTTTCGAGAACATTCAGAAACGTACACTGAAAGTAATAAATTGCAACAGGCACAATTTAAAGCTGGAAAAAATCAGCGGTATATAAGAGAAGATTTTTGCTCTTCCAGTTAAGATTAAAAAATGTTTGCAAAAATTTTAACATTGGCTTTTAATTTCTTATCTTCTTCATGTATATAACTATTATTTCTTTCAGTTCATGTATATAGACAAGTCCTTTTTGATAACCACGCATTGTTGCTGAACAAAGTTAACCTGTATAGATATTATATCATATTAAACTGAAAAAACGACCAATTTCTACAAAATATCTGAAACATGTCGTCATTATAGACTATTGCACAATTTTGGTTAGATGGCAGAATCACTTGTTTTAACATTGTTTCTAGACTTAAAAGATCAAAGAGGCTGTTCTCTTTAAGGAGCAGTTTCTTATGTTGAATAGAATATGTTGTTTTATTCTATCATCCAATCTTTGGGTTATGTATCCTAACTGTAAACAAGATGAGTATTGACAGCAAAGAAAAATTTTGCGATGGCATGTAAAATCTTTCAAATGGCAAGGAAGTTGTTTAGTACAAATTTACAGATGGTTGTTTAGTGCAATATTGACTATTCTTTGATCATCTCTGTATTCAGGGGCGTCGCGACCGCCCCCAGTAGTATTTCAATAGGAAATTTCAGGTAAAATCCGCTCGAATGTCATAAAATCAATAAAGGATCAAGCAAAGGTAGTTGCTCCGTTGGTTAAATATGATGTTCCTTGATATGAATGAAGGTAAACAAACTAATGATTTGAATATTTGAAGATTTCTTGTTGGCACTAAATCGAAAAATCCAGGCCCTCTTTAGGTAAAATTGTGTCTTGTGTCCATTTTCCCTAAAGTTTCTCGGTAGAAGCGTCAACTGTAATTCACTATAGGCTCCAAATTTTTTTAACATTCAAAAGGCATGCTAAGATGGAAAGAGGGATCTAAATTGACAACCAGTGCTGCTTGTTACCTATTTTCAGAAGTAACTGATAACATGGTATTTCTCAAGACCACGGCGAAATTGTACCAGTTGTTTTTATCTGCTGTTCAATTTGTTTGCAAAATAAATTATTTTCAATAGAATTAGGAGGATTTCTTTAGTGAAATGTTCTTGAAAGAGTGCATTTTCCAGAGAACTATAAGCATCAAAATTCGAAAATTTCCTGCTCCTTCAGCGGCAACCATGGTGCCGCCTCGCGTAGTAACTATATCCTTTGCCCGTTCCGATATAGAGATTTGACAAAATTATTAGGAAAATTCCGTTATTATCAAATTAAAATAAAAGTTGCGAATTATATACAGAGTTAGATTGACCAAATGCATTGCAGAGGGTTGTGACAGCAACTAAAGAATTTCAGGCCAAAATTTTTTAATCAGGTAAATTTGTAGTCCACACCCCCCCCCCCCATAAGGCTTGCCTCGTGACGGCCCTGTCTGTATTGCATTCATATTTGAATTTGTTTGTTCATCCACTTCGGTTTTCAACCGCAGGAGAAGTACCAAATGGATTTAGAGAGATTCCTCAGGGCACGTAAAAAATAATAGGGCCCCCATCTCCACTGGATCTCCCAAAGTGGGGTGGGGCCCCCTCTCCACTGGATCTCAAATTGCACCATTGTGCCGTTTTGTTTTCTTTTTGACGATTGTTAAGTTGAAGAAAACTATTTTGAACAGGCAAGTTGAATTTTCGGATAAGAGGTTTACATTTTACTAACAGTATTGATTGGGCCTGCATTTGTAAAAAATTATACCCTGTATTGATAAAAAAGAGTTTTTTAAGGAACTACGAGCAGCCAATTGATTAAAATATTAAAAATCTTTCATTAATTGATATTCTCAACGCTTCTTTTAGAAAACGAATGTATGCAAAGCGCCCTTTGCACTTAGCAAACGTCCTAAACTCCCCGGCAAAGCGACTAAACATTCCACTAAATATTCCACTCAACTTTTGTTTCGCCAAAAGTTTAGTGAAAAGTTTAGTCGTTCTGCCACCCTGTTTAGTGTTGTTTAGTCTTGTTGAGTGTTGTTGAGCAAAGTACAGGGCCTGCGCCACTTGGGGGGGTGGTGTTGGCCGGGTTGGCCATGCCACCCCCCCCCCGCTTTTTTGCAAAGCAAGTAGTTTTAAAACTCCAATAAAAGGGGTAAGAAGCCTTGGCCTCCTACATTTTTAGCCTTGGCCCCCAACTTTAAAATTTGTGGCGCGGGCCCTGAAGTTTGATCCTGGTCAAAAATGTTTAGCGTTTTTAGTGTTGTTTAGCAAATGTTTAGTTGTTTTGCTACCAACTAAAAACATTTATTGCAATCGTGCAGGCGCCCTAGCTGTGCAAATCCAAAGGTTTTCGTCTGTTTTCGTTGGTTTTCCTGTCTCTACGTGACCCAAAAAGCCTTTATGAAACATCTGAGTATCTCGTTGTACGTCACTATGTCTTCTTCAACAGTCAACTTTATTGTCAATGTGCTAAAAAGTCTTTTCTTTCCCCGTCGCTTCATCCAATTCTTTTTTTTATCCACTGCTTGTATATTTAACAAAATAAACCAAAAACATATTCATATGCAAGATCCCCTACAACCCAACAGCGTCATAGACAGCCCACAATTCAAAAAAGTTGAGTGAAGTTTAGTGAAAAGTTTAGACACGTTTTGCCACCCTCGTTAAACTTCGCTCAACTTCACTAAACTAAAGTTGGGTGCAATGTTTAATGAAAACTAAAGTTTGTGAGGGGAGTGTAGATAAAAATCTTTGTTAGAAGTATCGTCTAGCTGTGATATTCATCGGTTAGAAAATGTTTGTATCCTCAAGTTTTCAAACAGGTTTTGCAGAATTTTTTACAATCTCCTTTAATCATTTCAATGCTCATAATTATTTTCTTTTTGTGCGTTACCAGATATCGTGGTTGGATGTGCGGAGGAGAAAAGCTTGCGCTGTCTTATCCCTGTGACTGTCATGGCAACTTGCAACTATCAGGATCTGTTTTTCAGCTTCTAAAATGGATGCCACGAAAAGGCCTTTGCTGATCCCTCCAGAATTCTCTGTTTATGCAGAGAAACATGGCATATTCCAAATCTATGAGGTGAACTAAAACAAATTTTATTTGCCCGTGTTTTGATTTTTTTAAAGGGTGCCTTTTTGGGCTGCCAATAATTTATGGGCCTTATGATGATGAATTAATTCCTGCTGAACTCAAAGGCAAAGGACAAAGTGAATTAACAGCAACAGTTCAGCAGGTATCACTCGTGATTAAAATGGTAAAATAAAATTGACCAATTGTAAAGTCATGTTTGTTTGAATTATATTCAAACTATCTTAAGTTTATCTATCTGATAGGGCTAAAAACACATTGTCGTTTTTGAAGTAGCTCAAAGGCCCTTTAAATGGTCAGGGCAAACAAATATTTGTAATTGGCCGTTTCATTAAATCAAAGTTTCCATTTGAAAGAATTAAAATGCTAGTAATAATTGTAGAACAAATGTTCTGTAAGTTCTATAGTGATTTGTCACATGTTATCCTCAATACAAATATTTGTTAGGCAGCCAGATCTTTTAAAATACATCTTAATGTAAAACTGGAGAGAGTACATTAGAGTTTTGATGCAGCAAAAGTGTCTATGTTTTTGCTGAAACATTCTTATTTATTACATTCAAACATTCTATATTACATTCTTATTAAAAACTCTTTTGATAAAACATATGATGCTAGCTTAAACAGAAATGAGAAGTTTTCGATTTGATTATATCTGCAATATTTGTTCTTTTTTAATTAATTTGCTGTTATCCAAGATATAAAATTTTACAGTCACTTTATTCATTTTATCAGTGATCTTCAATTCTATATTTCATTCTTTCAGAAACTAATCCAGAAGCTTGTTATACATCAACCTGCAGATCCAGTACAGTTTATGATACAACAGTTGGAAGAACCGGAAGATGACGGTAAGACTTAATGGCATTTGGTAGTAAAATTGGACATATTAATCTTTTACAAACAGAATTGCCGTCAATTTTTTACATGTTACAAAATTAAATTGTCTTTTATGCAGCACCAATGATTATTATTCATGGACCACCTGGTTCTGGAAAAAGAAGCCTGGTAAGAAAATTTTAAGTGATTATCTATGTTTCATTCCTTTTTTTACATGTCCTCTTTTTTAATGAAAAGAATTTAAGTGAATTTCAAGCTATGGAAGAACTACTAAAAATACAAGTCAAAGATGAAAATTGCTCTTGTTGGGTCTGTCATTTAGTGCTAATGCCTTATAGGCAGAGCTGTACAGGATAGTTGTATGGAGCAGGATGGTTGTAACTTATAACTCAGATATTGTGTTTGTTTTCTCTTCTTGCATTCCCTCTTTTATCATAATTGCCTTCTTCTCTGTAAGTTTGTGAATATAATACAAAGGGCTTGATCTCATTCTTAATCAACTTTGCCTTTATAAAATTTTTTTTAGTAAATCTTAAGTGAATTCTGGGGAATGAGGGCTTAAAATTTGATCACTTGGGTTGTCACAAGCACCTAACGTTTTCTTATTCAGACAAAAATGGTAGCTGATAAACTTAATGTTGTTCACTTGTCAAGAGAAATTCTATTTGGAGGTAAAGCTGATTCCCAGGTAGGGCTTATTGTTGCTATAATTATTATTTTTCAATTGTTGGTTATATTGGACACTTTTCCTGTGTGAAAGTGATTAATGTTTGCATGAACAGTGCCCAATTAGCTGAGAACCTGTCTGAATGTGTTTTAAGAGTAATGTTTATGCCTATGCAGAGCTGATACCAACGAGGGGCATGGGAAGGGGTGCCCCCCCTACAAGGCTGTTTGTCTGAAATCTGAATGCTTGTCAAAAAATTTTAGGATTCTCCATAAGTCACATCCCAACGGCTGGCTGATGATAGTCTATTTAGCTTTCCATATTTTACTGCTGGTAGTTTTGCTTTCAATTGATTATTTTGTATTGCATACATGCAATACAGCCAATTATATAGCTCACACACATGTACTGAAAATGGCCAAAAAAAGTTAGCCCTTGCTGAATAAGTTAGTCCTCTGTCTTGACTAGTCAAGAGACACTTTATGTTCCTTTTTAAAGTATTCTTTTTAAGGTATTCTCTTTTTTAGAAACATTTAGACTGTTAAAATTTCTGTGAAATTTTCTCCCTTATAAAAACATTTTTATGTGATTGCCTGCATTCACAAATAAACATTAATCACTTCTCACCTGCACTCAACTTCCTATTGTGGGAATGTTGTTGTTCTCGGTTTAAGTAATAAAGCCAAGCTTTTTAAAAAATTGGCTTTTGGCCCATGCTTTTTAAAAAATTGAAATGTTTGTCTCTTAACACATTCTTAGTCTTCTCTGCCAACAAATTTTTTAAAACACTACAAAACAACTAAAACATTATTTACAATAGTAAAAACATATTTCTTTATCAAGTCTTGACATGTTGATATTATCCAATGTTTTTTTTCTCATTGCTAGGACAGTGAAATCCTGTCATCTACATTGATAAAGAGGCTTCAAGAAAAAGACTGCACTCAACAGGTAAGATGATTTCTCACAATGTTCTTGATAGATTTACTATAAAACACAACTTTTTATCATTTGTAAGGGCAAAAGTATGTTTGATCTCAAAATGTTTGTCTTAATCTGTAAAATGATGTGAGATAAACCATTGTTTTTTTATTGAATGATTTTGACCTTTTTTACTGCATTCTTTATATTTGCAAAAGTTAGTGATTATGACAGCATACTCATTTGGAAAAGAATTATGACAAGATAGGGATTGCTGGTCTGAACAGGCTCAGTTCCCAGTTCCTTTTAAAACTGATTACTTTGCATTTGATTGTGTTGAAAAATTGATTGTGTCGCTAATGCAATGTTGTCTCTGGAATGATTCATATTATGTTCTGTGCAAAAATCACAGCTTAGATTTTAGCGATAAGTGTATATGTTTTCCTAATGCATAGAATTATTCTTTTTAGGGTTGGGTGTTAGAAGGTTTGCCTGAAAATAGACAACAGGTGAGCACATACTTTTTGCTTCATCGACTAAGGACATGTATAACAGAGTGATATCATGTTTTCTAATTGAATACCACATTGCAAAAATACGTACTTCATTAATAAGTAGCAATCTTTTTTTCTTTTTTAGGCCCTTGCTTTGCAAGGAGCAGGAGTCTTCCCGAAACATTTTGGTGAGATTTTAAATTGCTTTTTTATGATTCAATCACACTTTGTCACCAAGTAAATGGCGAATTTGACATTGAAATTCAGAGTTAACAAAGTGATGCTACCATCTTAAGTATATATTAAATGAATATATAAAACAACATTAGTAATAGTGATCTTCTTCTGGGCTCTGATCTTCATCCAGTACAGCAATGGTTTTGAGCAGTACCTCATTAAGAGCACCCAAAATATGCATTTAGTTTTCACCAGCATAATCTACTCTGCTATGATCTAACAACTAAAGCTGACAATTTTGCAAATCTTTAAGTCAGAATTTGCTTAGTTTAAACACTGGTAAGGCAGAAAATATGGCCTTTGGTCACAAACGAAAAATTAAAGGGCCTCTCCAGCCAAATTTTGCACTTGCATTTTATTGGCTAATCTAAAGGAGTTGAACCTGCTGATCACAAATTCGTTATTTGTTTTTCGATATTTTTTAAAGTTTGTGAGATATAAGCTCATGCATTTCGATAATTGAATTGAATTAACCGAAAAAATGTTTCGGTTTGGTGACACTGTGACGCAATTTTGACGTCACAGTGTATTTCGTTAGTCTCGCCTTAAACCGAATCAAACGACGGCTATTCGCAAATTGAACACTGCAAGTGATGGTACTCTCAGTTCTGTTCCACCGGCCTTTAGTTTGAGCATTTCAGATATCAATTCTGAAGCCTTTAGTTGTTCATCGTTTCTGGAGAACAACTGAAGTGTCAGTTTCGATTAATTATACGCGAGGGAAGAGCTGGAACAGGAAGCCGTAGCTTTGTGGGCCTACACAGGTGATCAAAACAAAGTCGTGACACAGCATGGACTCATTCCGACCAACAAACTTAGAATGATTGTAAACATTTAATATTTTTCGATCCTAACAAGCTCCTGCTGTAGATTTAGATGCCGTTATCAACGCGTGACCATGACTCCTTAACGATTCGGTGGAAGATATACGAAATTCACGGCGAACGAGAGCCGCACATTGTGACGTCAGAATGTCACAAAACTGATTCGGCTTTTGTCGTTTTTTTCTCGGAAAGGTGCAACTTTAAGGCCTTATAACTTCTAAACTAATTGGAATTTTGCAAAAACAACGACTTTCCCATAATACACGCACCAGATGCTAACTTTTTAGTCAATAAAAAATATTTTTTTTTTGGCTGGAGAGGCCCTTTAACCATTTCCTTGGTCAAACTAGAGTTGAAAATATATGGAAGACTAATAAAACATGTTCAAAAAGAAAAAACCTATGGTTTACAGTGGATGAAAATCTGACATAGAATAAGCAATATAAAATATGGGTGCAAAGTTTAAGGTGCAATTAAAAGTGCTCTTTTTTGTCTCTGGGGATACAAATGATATAAAATGATACAAAATAAGTTAAACGATGTCCCATACAACTAGGGGAATATTTTCAAAACCTTTCCTTGTCTCAAATACAATATGCAACTTTTGTAACTGTATATGTTTGACTGTTATGCAGACAAAGTGACTCCTCACATTCTTATTAAACACGGAAATTAACTAATTTTATCATCCTGTTTCTTTTATGTCATCTGCAGTAATACTCTTTGTTCCTGACACTGTTTTAATTGAAAGAGTCATGGGAAAACGGATCGATCCTATTACAGGAGGTTGGTTTAATAATCTTATATCATCTGATTTAAGTAATTTCTATTTAATGAAAGTTAAACTATACGTTTTATATATTTATTCAAATTTTAACTAAACTGCTTCGTGATATTTTTTAGTCAATTTTCATTGCACTTCTTCTAATTTTTATTTGCTATAACTTTTATTTACGATAATGCAGCCCTCAATAGTAAAAGTTAATTAAGTTTTTTCCAGATCAATTTGTGGGATCTGACTAGCAAAGTTGTTGATTTCTCAAACGTGGCAATTAATGGCTTTGCTTGATTCTTTGATGTGCGTTTATCAACTGTAGATTTGTGTGACTATGGTCTATTGTCTATAAGCTAGCAATATGGCTAATATTTTTATTCTTTGTTTAATCTTAGATGTGTATCATACGACTTTCGATCCTCCAAACAATCCAGATATTTTAAGAAGGCTAGAAATTGATCCAAATTCCCAAGAAGATGTAATGATAAAAAGACTTCTAGAATATCACAGGTTTGACGTTATAATTTTTTTTCGCTATATTAAAATACAGCACTTCTTTACATTTCCTACTCTTCTTACGCTTATGTCACTTAAAGTGCTCCATTTTCTTTTAGCCATTTCTCTGTATTTTGGATCCTGCAACTTTTTAGAAAATTCTAAGAATTTTGAATTTTCAAATTAATTCGATAGTTATTTTGTATGAAGTATACATGTATTCGTTCAATGTTATTCTTTTCAGGACTATTCCAGGCATAATGTCTTGTTTTGAGCATGTATCGAAACGAGTAGATGCTGACCAGCCAATGTCGGATGTTTTTGTCCAAGGTATGCATCGTGGAAGTTGAAATTTGCTTTTTGCTGCTACTTTTTGCTTTTCATTTTGTTTGCTTTTCCACTTATTCATAAGGTTTTTTCAACTGTTAAATTTTGATAATTCGGCTGCGAAATTAGCATTTCAAAATCTATATTTTAAACTATAAATAAAATCTATAAATATATTTTAACAGTGAAGGGCTCATTTAAGGGGGGGAAATATTTAGCAATTTTGTAAAAACGGCACTTCTAGAAATTTTCAGGGATTCACCGGACCTAGAGCAGAAAAGTTTTGAACTGGGTTTATTAGAAAGGGTCGACTCTATTTTGAATAATGTGAATTGAATGTTAGTTAACTTCCTTTGAGATTTTATCTAGTAAATACAAGTTTACTTATAGTTGAAAAGACCTTATTAGCAGAGATATGACATCAAGTTTGCAAAGATTTAATTGTTCAGAAATTTAATTATTGATCCTCCATTCAAATCATGAATTGAATGATGACGTAAATAGGTGAAAATTGCATTATGGAGTCGGAGAATGTATACACTATGTCACGTGACTATGTCTATAAAAGATGCTAAAAGAAACTGTGGCATTGATACATTATATGGTTTTTCTTGCAAATCTATATGAAGTTTATTGTTTTTATTCCATTTATCTTATAATTTTTATCGTCACTCGCCAATCTCCTTATAAGCATTTGTAAGATGTATCTAGTGTGGCATGCATAATAAATTAATATAGCAACAAAGAAAAAAGGAATCAAAAAATTAATACTGGCAACTTAAGTCTGAACCAAGATCGTTTGTTGCTTGTTTTAAATATATTGCCATCAAAAGCTTTTTCTTTTTCTTAAACATCTCAGACAGATCAATGCTGAATTTTTGCTTCCATTTCTTTATCATGAGCAGATTTTTCCAGCTGCGTATCATAGTTTTCCATCATCAACGATAATATTCAATATTATTGAATGTACAAATGACTTGGAAACTTTTGCAAAAGAATTGTTTGTTTCTCCTGCTGTCATTATTTCTCCTTCTATTTCCAGTTGTATGACATACTTCCATGGCTTTCTTCTCAGCTCATATTCTAGGAAATAAATGTGAAAGTTAACTGAAATACTAACTCGTAGATTGGAAGCTGGTAGAAGTTATTCCAATATCGACATACGAATCAAGCATTGAAGCATTGATTCTTCGTAGCTGTTACAGGGCCCACGCCACCGGGGGGGGGGGAGAGGTGGGGCCATGGTCTCCAACTTTTTTGCAAAGCAAGAAGTTTTTTTAAGCAGCAGTAAAAGGGAAAAAAGCCTTTGCCCCCTACTTTTGCTAGGCTTGCCCCACCCCCTCCCCCCACTAACAAATTCGTTGCATAGGCCCTGTGTACAGTACGCGTTATCGTAGATTCCGTGCCATCCAAACTGACACAATTTATGAATTTGTTATATCTTTACTGAAAATTTCATCTTTTTGCAACAAATTAATTTATTTTGTAGTCATGTCATTTCTCCGCACAAAGAGAAGGACAGTCGCACCGCATACACCGCGTGTTATTCTTCTCGGCCCAACCGGAAGCGGAAAAAGTGTGCAAGCATCTCTTCTTGCTAGCAAATACCAGTTAGTTAACGGTACGTTTAAAATTTTCGCTATACTGTGTTATTGCTAAAATTTCAAAAAGTCAATTACATTCGTTGTAATTCCTAATATTCTTATGTTGATAACTACAAATTCATTTTTTTGGAAATCATAATTTGCCAATATTTTTCTTCTTAAGTTTTTCAAAAGAATTAAAGCCCTACAGAAAATTTTCGCGAGCAATGCCAAAGAATTTAAGAACCTTCAGATTGCCTTTTTTGGTTAAAAACATACTCAGCATTGGTGTTCCTTCAAATACGTTGCCAATGAGAGTGTAGATAAAACATACTGTAAAACCTCTGATCCTGAAAACCTTGTATAATATATTTATGATTCAAACACAATATAATATAAAGACATTCGTAGAATTAAACCAATTCAATACACAGAACTAGAATTGTACAAAGCCTGTTGTTCCAGTTTAACCTTTCAAATATTTTCGTCTATCGTCTGTCAAGACAATCGTCTTTCAGTTTCATAATTTTAAAATCAATGTCTTTTAGTATGCAGTGATGATATTGTGAAACAGGCTCTCGCTGATGACTCAGACCTTGGTCAGTCGCTGCAACCATACATCGAAAGGGGAGTAACAAGTATGTATATAAAATATAGTGTCTTCTCTCTACTTCAGTCCTCGTACCTCACTCTTCGTAGCACACTGTAGCTTACATTGAGGCCTAAAACACCTGTAGCTTTGGGGAGTATCAAGTTTCTTATCCTTTTCCACAAGAATTATTAATGAGCCGCTCCCGTACATTTTGTTCTAACTGTTTGAGCGACTGTTTATCAAACCTTAGTCAACGTATCTTTCTGTTCTTTTATCAATAACTTGTAACAAAGTTTTGAAATAAATTTTTGCTAGATCTAAATAGAAATTTATCGCTCGCTCTGAGATTTCAGCAGTGGATTTATTTCTTTTCAGGGGTTATGACAATTCCTAGCATCTTTATACTTTATTTTTATTTTGTCTACCATTATCATATTATATCGACGAATGGCATCATTCTATTATTGTTTTAAAGCTTTTGAACATTTGTTATTAGGGCAGGTCTTGTTTCTCCAAGTGTTTAATAAACTAGAAAGATATACAGAAACAAAGCAATACGACGACGAGAATCCAATGTCACGAGATAAAATTTTCAAAATAAATTAAATTTAAAGAATATACTAAATTTTAAATTAAATTTATTTTGAAAATTTTATCTCGTGACATTGGATTCTCGTCGTCGTATTGCTTTGTTCCTGTATACCTTTCATAACAACACTCATGGCAAGATTCACAGAATCCGGCGGACAGCATATCCTGCGGTTCTTCCTTCTCACACATTTAATAAACTAAACTCCTTTTTATATCGATTTTGACAGACATGTATTCTTTTGAATATTATATATCATGTACTCAATAATATTTCATCTTTCCTTCTAGTTCCTGACGACTTGGTTTTGAAGATTATAACAAATCGCTTAGGCCGCCTTGATGCTGTCAAGAGGGGCTGGGTATTGCACGGATTTCCAAAGACTCGTTCACAATGCGATGCCCTTGCTTCTGCAGGATATGAACCAAACCGAGTTATCTTCTTGGATGCCCCAACAGATACGATACTCGAACGACTCACGCTGCGAGCTGTTGACCCAATCACTGGAGAAAGGTAAAATTTGTGCATTCTAGCTGTTAAGTAAGCTGTAATTTAAGTGACATACATACATATTTTCAACCACGCTTTCATGTCAGAAACAGGCCGGTTTGCTGCAACTTCGAGTTCTACGTTAAAAGATTTTCTCAGCCAACTGTAAATGTTGAAATGTCAGAGGTAAAGTAGATCAACTCGGCTGAAGTAAAATTTTATTTGTTGGGAGCTGTAATCATTGACTGTATATATATATATATGCAACATTATAGTCTGTCTGATGAGTGCGCAAGCACGAAACTCGGAGTAACAGAGGACATGTCTCATTTCTAGTCTATATTCTATTTTATTATATATATATATATGTATGTATATTGCTACTATGTGTATATTGAGCAATTCTGGAACTTGTAATACAGTCTAGGTTCTCAATATCCAATGTATCAATTATATACAAATCACCTAATATCTTATGTTTCTTGGACAAAAATGTTTGTTCATCAATATTCATTTCTTTTATATAAGTTAATGGTGCTCCAATTTTTTTCCATGAAGTTTTAAATGCTTATTTTAATTTATTCTAATTTTTATACAGTTGCTACCCGTAAATGATATTTAATATCTTAGGGGAGCGGTCTGTGTACGTTTGAATGAGTAGTAGGTGGAAAACCTACCTTAAATCAGTAATATAATGTATATGAAAATTATATTGTCTGCAATTTACAATTGTCAGCTAACCCCCCTTACCTCTACCACCCGCCCTTACCCCTATCAAACCTAGCTTCTATCCAAAGTCAAATATAAAGCATGTGTCTTCCATTCAAGTAAAATTTATTAATTTAGCTATTAGAATTGATATAATGTGGAGAATGTTGTTGCTTCATTCATATATAATCGTCTTTTCACTTCAATATTTCGATTCACGTATGATTTTTTTTAATCAGATATCATCTACTGTATGCACCACCAAGAACTGGAGAGATCAAAAATAGATTACATACGGTAATGATTCAACATATGTCTTCTTTTCCTGTGTTGGTGTATCAGTACGACACTTGCTTAACCGTAGCCACACTGGCAGCGTTACCAAAGATCAGAAGTTCTTAGATAATGGCTCAAATCTCCCTATAGCTTCTGCTAAATGCTTCTAACTAAAGTTGTTAAGATAAAGTCAAATTTAGTCTACTGGAAAATCCTTTTCTTTTATCTCAGCCTGTTATCTCGTTTATCCTTTACCTTATATCTCAAATAGTCGTGGCAGATTTCATTTAAAGCCGAAACATGTGGCTTTCTATAATAATTTATAGTGACTAACGATTGAGTTTCAGTTTGTTCCTTTAAGACCTTGTTACAGATTCATTTCATAATCTTTACTTCATTTTGCTGTTTCAATTTTTTCCTTTTTGCAGTAGCTTTCAGATACATTGTGTTCAGTTTCATCCTTTATAGTGCAGTTATTTCTTTTTCAGCATCCGGAAGATGAAGAGAGTGAGGTTCTTGCCCGTCTGTCAGAATACCAAGCCCATCACGAGGATCTGCAAGACAATTTCCGTGAAGGACAACGTGTTAATGCAGATCAAGATTTGCAGACTGTCTTTGAATGCATTGAAAGCATAATCGTTAATCCGTTGCCGAATTAATTTGATGCAAACTGAAGTTTAACCCAGCACATTGTAGATAATCACTTCTCGTTAGTTTTAATGTACAGTTTAACATTCAGTATATTAAGCTTTGAGATTTATTTGGAATACTTGCATACTATTTAGTATTTTCCTTATATGAGTTTATTTTTGCACGCACTAGAAGAAAATCCAAATTCTGTTGACTTTGTAAAATTTGAGCAGTTATGCAAATGTTCTTGGAACCAGTATGTACATCCGCTACTGAAAATTTTGACCTTGAACCCGATGTAAAAAAGCCTGGTTACAGTAAATGATAACCTAGGTAATATAAACCTTATTAAAAGTTTAGTTAATGTAATCGAATACATTGCTAAAATTCATTAAAAAAGGAGAAAAAAGGGAGCTTGAACAAGGGCGCAGGGGGAGCAGGGGTTTGGGCCCCCGATATTCTATAGGATTCCCAAACTAAAACGTTTGCAGGTCTTACTGTGTTGAAAAATGCGCTCATGATAGTTTGTTGTCTTTGAACACCTATCAAGTCCCCACAGATATTCACTGTTGATAGCTGAGTAATGTCATTCAAAAAACAGTGTTAAATGAGAATCGCAATGTTTTTGATAACGCATTGAATTTCAAGCTTATGAACTTAGATCAGGAGTATACCGAGACAAGAGCCTTGAGGGATTTCTACTTTGATGCACCCAAAATTAAAAAATGTGTCCAAATAACTCGACGATACTACTTCTGTCTACAATATATGATTTATACAAAGTATCTCTATACCAAGTGCACCAAGGTTTTGAAAGGAGATTTCATTATCAACTGTATCACAAACTTTTATGAGGTCAAAAAAGATTTTTCCATTCAAAATTCGCCTATCCACGCTCTTTTCCCGATCTCCTGTACACTTCTAAATAGCAGGTAATCACCAAATGAAGAGCTCTAAAACCATAATGATCTAGCAAAAGGAATCCATTTTCATTCATATATTGATGTCACCGGCTAAAGACAGGTTTTTCAAATTGCATTAAGGAAGTACGGTTGTAGGCAACGAGCTCCATCTTTGAGGCTTTTCTCCGTTCTTGTAAATAAAATTAACTTTATGAATTTTCCAATAATATAGAAGGATACTGGTTCTAATAATTTCAATATTTGCACTAAATTTCTAGAAATCACAGAAAATACAATCTTCACAAAATAAGCAGTCATTACCATTTTCAAACCTTTTAGTTTCTTCAATTTTAGGGTCTGTTAACATGGAGGATAGCTATAATAGTCGGTGCAATTCAAGACAATAACTTCAGCTACCTTTTCTTGTCTTCTTTCAGTGTTCTGGGGGACTTTGATATGTTTTGGACCAAGTGTATTTTTTGTTGAAATTGAGAAACTTAGAAACGAATATCCGAAACAGTTGGTGTTGTAAGTCAAAATGTACTTGCAATTAACTGAAGATATCAAATGTCATTAACGTGACAAAGGGTCACTACAAGTTTATTTCTCTGCACTGAAAGCGCGTTTATTGGAACAATTCGAGGCTGGATTCTCTTTGAGGTTAAAATTTAGCCAACATTTCATTAAAATTTTCTCCAAGCAAACGAAAATTCCCTTTATAGAATCACGTGTGAGCGAGGCAGTACCGCTTACCATGCAGAAATAGAATTCCAAATAAACGATTGGAAAGATGTTCTCACCTGGAAAACCTAGCCTGGTTAACCAGGCTAGCCACCCCTCCCCCTAATGTAAACGGGCCTTTATCCATCGAGTTCTAAATGTCTTCTAGATAAACTGCACTAAGGCTGACAGCCCTCCAACCTTCCATGGATTTGACGGAGGTCATGGACGAAATTTTACTGTTTAGGGAGCTGTGAAGCTTTAGATACCCGAGGAAAGGGCGTGTCGTACCTGATGAAAAAGCGTGTCATGCCTGAACATCATTCTCAGTGCACGTCGCCTCAAGGGTTGAAAACATTGGGGACCCGAGAAGATTGTCACTAATTATGTTAGACCCTCACACTCAGGCTATTTTGCAAAGTCACAAGAATAGGCATCTAGTTTTTTTGTATTGGCTATAAACATTTGTTCCAAAAAAGCAAGGACTGCCCATTCTAAAAAAGAAAAATAGCGTTCTCTTTCTAAATCTCCTAGCTATTAAGATAACAATTTAAACAACAGATTGTAGTAGGGCCTCAATTTCACCACAGTAGAACAACAAAACACAGCTTGGAAATTCTGAATTTAAGAAAATGCTACACAGACTACAGTGTTCCCATAAAAGATAGTAATCCCATAAAAGAGTCTCAGTTTTATTTTCTGAGTTTGATTTTCAACTTTCGGTTGTTTCGAAAGGAAATCGAGCAAATTATATCTGAGTTCATTTCAACAAAATCTCTCAAGCTTGTGCAAAGAAAACTTGTTTATTGAAAATTTCACAGGTACTACTACCATCAAAGCTAAATTTTCGTGTTTTCGTAATCGTGGATTTTGTTTAGAAATAGATATATTTATTACAATACATTGATAAATTATATATTATTTTCCACTTAAACAACCAGCTTAGAAATTGTACGTAACTTGCTAATTGTACGTAAAGCTTTTTAAATTATTGTTAGTTAAACAATTTTAGCGGCTGTACGGCCATTTTGTGGCAAAATGTGCAATACTTTAAGACGGTAGAATTAAAACCTTAAGATAATTTTATGCATAACCCATGAAGATTTCATGCCATTGGAAAATAAAATATTGCTTTATTTTGTGCAACAATGTATGGCATGTCCGTCATTCTTTTATTTATTATCCTTCAAATATAGTCACTGCCCACTTCCTTCTTTCATAAAACAAACTTTACTCTTCGTCCATGCCAGGGATGTAATGGTAGTGATGGATTTCGATGGGTGCAACCCCTCTTATTAAAAATTTAGAAAAAAGTGAGCTTGATTACAGCCAAGAAAGAAAAGAAAGCGGTGAAGAATGGTTGCTTCACCACAGGTCAGCCATTGACGAATGAAAATGTACACATAGGTTGACATGTATCGAAAGAAAATTTTTGACAGATATGTTTAGTTGCCCTTTTTACTGTTTCATTTAGAAATGGGGTAAATTGCCTGATACACAACCAGCTGCTATTATTTGACTCTGTCTTGCCTACTTTTGATGTTTGATGCACTACACTCTTTTTTATAAGAACAATGTAATTTGAATAAATTCATGCTCGGATGTTCTTAATGTTTTCTTTTTTCAAAATTGATTTTTTATTTTCTGCAAACTATGAATACCTTCTAAATTAACTGAATAACAGTTTTGCATGACAATCATTCGTTGCACAGATAATTAGCGGATTAAATCTCCTTTGTTTTGGTAACACAAGAAGAATGAATCGATGCAAAATCCAACAAATATTTCATAATTATTAGAAAGAATGTTTAGGAATATTGTCTAAGACCTTCCTTATCGAAGTTGTAAATATTTAAGATGCATTTTCTGGCCATCTTTAGAATCTTATATCTCAATAATTTTCACGCAGCAGAATCACTTCGTCAAAAGACAGAAATATATAGATGTTGCTGGTTTTGCCTCGTGTCTGTTTTGTTCCAAACTGGGCGGAGGTTGAATAAAAAATATGGGTAGGGAGCTGGGAAAAGAATGTAAATTAAAAAATCCGAGCTGGAGCAAAAAGCAGCAATAAAAGTGAGACCTGAACAAAATTTCAAGATTTTCCTGACCAGTATACTGGCAGCCCTAAATCTGCGCGAAAAAATCCGCTTTTCAAAGATCCGGGGCTGCAACACCCCCATACCTCTCAGCAGTTTCGCCTCGGTTTGAGATAACAAACCTCATTCTAAACCAACAGATATGCCTCGCCTTCCTTACTCGATTTTGCATTCTGGAAGTAATTAACACTATAAGCCAACCAAAATTTCGCACTAAACTACTGGTTTTGACCATAAAGCTAAATTATCTTGGTTAGAACGAAACAAACGGATGAGGATTTAGCTACCTAAGTACATAACTTGATCAAGGAAAACCAGATTGCGCTCGCAATAAATGCATATTTTCAGTTCATTTCCCAATTTCAAGTAGATGCACCTTTCCCCTTGATGGGAAGGAAGATGAACATGTCGCTAAACATCGGTTACTTTTTCCGCCCCATCTTCATTTGTCATAATCTTCTAGCCGGAATCCAACATTGTTTGGGGAGGGGCGGGGCGGAGAAACGTAGAGTAGGAAGACTTTGGCGGGCATTGTGACTTTGTAAATGTCAACAATAGCAACACGCCTGGACATTTTAAATTCGGTCTCAAGAGAGGAAGTTTTTTATATAGGCTACGAATCTGATACTCCAGATACTTCTCAATCAAATGACGTACACGTTTTTTATAAGAAAGTGTTTTATAAAAAAGTTGTGCTCGGATCTTCAAAAAGTTAAAAAAGTCAGTCCTGGATCTTTGAAACCTTAAAAGAAAGTTGAAAAATTTAGATAGTCAAAATTTCAAAGGAAATTGTGGTGTAAGATATTTCAACAAAACAGTAATGTGCTGAACAGGAAACGACGAATACAGTATGACGTTGAGGGTTTTTGAGAAATAAAGCATATTTATAGCATTTCATCTTCTCCATCACTGCGCATGCTTAGTAACGTTAAACTTTCAAATTTTACGTTAAGAAAAATTTAAGAAAGTTTTAGAGCTGAAATTAGGAAAAAGCTAAGAAAGTCCGAGGGCTGGGTTGAAATAACTTTCTTACAAATAATCGTGTAGACAGGGATATGGTCACGTGATTGACGACTTAATTTGTAACGGTCAGATAAAAAAATTAAAATCGTCAAATTTTAAAGAAAACAACATCAATCGAAAAACTATGCACAACAAATGCTTAGAAACTTATCTTCTAAGATCTATAGCTCAGGCATAACTATCGGTCCATGTGGCTCTAGAGGGAAAGTTTTAATGCATATGTTTACTTCAGTCAAGTCAATTAACAGTAACTTTGCTAGCATCAATCAAAAGTTGTTTGAAAATTTAAGAACCATTCTGTGCTGGAGACATGCTCGTACATGTTTTAGGGGAGATTAATAATTACAAGTATGTAGAAATTTAGTTATTTCCATGTTTAAGGAACTAAAGTAGATACTTAGAGTAGCAGTACATTTACAAGCCTCGTGGAAATAGCCAAGTATCAACAATCACCACACAGTATCCAGCTTGAGCCACAAACACATGGTGAAATGACAGTAAAAGCCACAAGTTAAGAAAATTGGTATGTTAATCGTTATTATATAAGATAAACGGCACAACTTCTTAATAAAGATTTAAGTAAAACAGTAAGGTAGAATTTGAGTAGAGTCGCGTCACGTTTAGGTAGATAGGGCCCTACACGCACCAAACAATATTTCAAATTCAACAGGGACATAATGTCGAGTTGCAATATTCTAAACATAAGCACTTTGTGAAAATGCAGCTGCAGCAAGAGTAGCGCAAATTAATTGAAGAATTTCGCAACAGAGATTTTGGGGGAAATTTGTCAGGGTTAACTTTTCAACTATTATCGTAACAGTCCGAACAAATCAACAAAGTGTGTTGCAGTAAGGCAATCAACAATCAATACAACATTTTGTATTTTATCATTTTATTAGTAAAAATATGTATTATACATTACACGCTCATTTCAAACACACACTGACTTCATTAAACCATAAGCAATTAGTTTTTAGTTATCGGTCTCTTTAGAAAATATGATTACAAAAGATATGTGTAAATGTTCCAAGTCAATTAACCAACCGGCAAATATAAAGGATATTACCAACAATAAATTTGTTAACGATTAAACCTATGTAGATCTATTACGAGACAAAAGAAATTGTAAGAATACTGAAAACACGACCTTGATTAATAACACGCTGGTTAATTACGCAAGTAAACCGTGGGAAAGGCGTTTGCGCAGCAAACTCCCTGCTTTCCGCGACAACTATTAATCGAGACTTGGTCATTACAGTTTTAGTTTTAAAGAATTCTGACCCAAGGTCGTTATGCTGCATGTTCTGAAGAAAAAATGTACAAAAAGTGCTGTTGCTGTTACAAATACAAGTGAATTCAACTTGGTGTGGAAGGCTAAATTTGATTTGAATATTCTACACGTAGACATTTTTTAATTCGAAAAGAAAAGTTCGCAGATTCAGAAATGTACGTTTACGTGTGGTTTTGGGGCTTGGGGCCATAGAGTTTATTATTTACACAGACTTTGTTATCGCTGTGACATCGATGTCCATGTTAACCAGAAAGATTTCCTCTTCACCTTTCAATACTGACCAGCTCTTTGATTTCAAAAACTCGAGCATTTTAATTCCCTCCTCCGATTTTCTAGGGTCGTCACTGGTGTGTAGAAGAAAATTTACCAAAGCCCCACCCACTGGATCGTCGTCGTGAAACATTTCTGTGATATCTACGGAAATAGGTACAGTAAACCGATCATAGGCCATTCCAAGCTCCAGTTGCAACTCGAGGAGAATTTCTTCTGAAAGGGTAAAATCTCGAGGTGTTTGTCCCATAAGCTGCACGTACATCCTGAATGCCTCTAGTGTCGTTGATTTTTCTTTCTCTTTAACAGCAAGAATCATTCCTTGGTCTTCCAACAATAGATTGTATGACTGCCTCAGTGCCAATCTTTCGTCTACATAGTAGAGAGAGTGTATAAACGTTATCAAGTGGTATTTTTGAGCTTCTTTGACTCTCCGCTGCTTTGAAATGAAATCTTGGAATGTTTCTATCTCCCAGACGAAACTGATATTGGTACAATAATCTTCATCTGATTGCACTTTTCTTTGAAAATCTTGGACTGCTACAGAATTTGGCTCGACAACTGTCCAAGACGCTGTTGTTCCTGGAAAATGGGACTTTATTTCTTTTAGCAAAGCATTTATAAGAAGCAAATCAAATGACCCGTTTCCAGCTCCAACTGAAAGAACTTTGAACTTATGTGAATCTTTGACAAGATTCAGCTTTGGAATCAAAATTGGCATCAATTTTTCATGAATCCAAATTTTATTTTGGGGTCCTTCGCCTCGTGTGAAAATCTTATACAGCTCGTTGTACTTTTGAGCAGTTTCACAGAAACTTTGAAATTGTCGCGATAACATCTTGTAGGATTTATCTTTCAGAATAAGATTCCCTATGCGAACGATTTGGTCTCGAAATGTTCCAGTGTCTGTAACACGGCTGTACTGTATCAATGTTCTAGCAAACCAACCAAATCCAAATCCTGCAAAGGCATTGAATCATGTTAAATAGTTCTTATATATAACAAGGGGGTCATTTGCTTCCGGTGGGATCGCTGTAGTTTCATATGATATTGGCACCCGCATTTGAAAACTTGCTATTGACAGAAGCTGTTTTGTAAATCAGTCTGAGTTGAGATCATGTGATCAGTATATTGGGGCACGTCTGGCTATACCCTCTTCTTTTATCATGACTCTATGCTTTTATGATGGAAAAAAATCTTCTGTTTATTGCGGTAGTGTAACTTTTGGTATTTATGGGTATCATTTCCCCATGCGCAGGCTCAGTACAAAATCATAGAAAACCCTCGAAATGTGCAAAGCTCATCTTTACTTTACTACAACTGTTTATTTACTATGAACACAATAGGCATTAAGCATCTTTTATTGTTTATACAAAAGGTTAAAAGGTCGTGTCCTTAAAGTAGCGCGGCTGTGGACCAAATACGTGCTAGCCTCCGTCCAGCTTGCGCAACGTCGCAGATTTTCTAGGGACCTGCTTACTTCGCAAGACAATTGCCTTATGCAGAACTCTTTGTCTCTAGAGCCAATGAGATGTCTTTTAACGTTTCACAACGAATCATAGCAGTGCCTTATTCATCGTATGGCTTTGGGGATATCTTTGCATGCTCGTTATGAATCAGTTTGATCATGCGAGACATTCACCACTATCCTGTCAGAATCCATTTCGAGCATTATTGCGTATAAATAATTGAAATTCAAATCGAAGCGATTGTGTCTAAAATAAAATATTGCAAAAAAGACTATTCCCTAGCGAATTGCTGGCGACCTGGATATGTTGAGCTGATATTAAGCCCTGGCAAAACGACTAAACATATCACTAAACATTTCTTTCAACTTTAGTTAATGAATTGTTTATTGGAAAGTTTATTCGTTTTGCCACCCTGTATAATGTTGTTTAGTCGTGTTGAGTGTTGCTGAGCAAAGTTTATTTATGGTCAAAAATTTTTAGCGTTGTTTAGTGCTGTTTAGCAAATATTTTTTCGTTTTTCCACTAATTAAATATTTGTTGTTCTAGCACAGGCACCGTAGCTGTAGAAATCGGGGGGTTTTTATCATTTTCCCTGTCTCAACATGACCCACAATCTCTAGAATGCCTTCCTCATTTGCTTCATCTCCTTGTACGCTACTGTGTCTTCTTTAATAGTCACCTTTGTTATCGATGTGCTAAAAAGTCTTCTTTTCCCGCCGTTTCATACATGAAGTCTTAGCAGAACAACAAAACAAACGTGAAAAAATACCTATGCAAGATCCCCTACAACCCCACAGTGTCCTGCACAGCTCAAAGTTAAAAAAAGGTCGAGTGAAGTTGAGTGAAAATTTAGTCACGTTTTGCTATCCTCGCTAAACTTCGCTGAATTTCACTAAACAAAAATTGACTAAAATGTTTAGCAAAGTATTTAGTTGTTTTACCAGAGCTTTACATTCGTTTCTCTTTGTAAAGTCTGCATGCAGGCTAACTACTTGTTTGTCGGTTTGAATGACGTGCTTTGTCTGATTTAACAAATAGTCATATTGTGAGACTAGTTAAGGACACCAGTTTATTCCAATTCTGGTTTCAGCTATGAGGCATAGTTCTACATTCTCTATGCATGCAACTGCAAAGTATAAACACGACGACAATAAGCATTTTATTTTATCTATGGAAGACAGACTGCTGTTCCCCAACCCTGACTGCTGGTTACCTTGCTCGATTGCTTGCAACAGCCACGCAGGCAGAGGTTCAAAGTGAGGTCTGGAACTGAAAACACAAAAATCAGAGTCCTGTCACTGAGAACATTATTTTTGCAGTATACTCCTCCAAGTTGTGTAAATATATAAAGGGTAAAAAACACTGAAATTATTCACACAATTAAAAAAAACCTTTATTCCAATTTTTAATTGTGTTACTTTACTTTGTTTAGTCTGAAAAAGTTTGAGCAAAAAGAGACACCATATCGGAAAGGGGAAATTTGTAAGGTGTAATTTTTAAGGAAGCCTCTTCCCCTTTTCTCTCTCAGGCGACCCCCTTTCTAGCGATATTCACAGGAGTGCGAGTAATTTTTCTTCACGTGACCAGTGCGGAGCCAATTTTTTTCAAATCGAGGTTAATACACCTCTTGTCTTTTCCGAGGCCAATCTGCATACTCTACGCCACTAGCAAGCCCATGTAGCGGGTTTCGTAGGGGAACTACTATATAACTAATAATTTAATTTGACTATTATTATCATAATTTGCCGACTTGATCAAATAATAAATCAATAGTCGCTCTGTCTATTTATGACTTTCTTCTTACTAAAATGTTTTGTGTGAGTGGTGGAGGCCTATGTATGCACTCTAACAGCGAATTTACTGAATTTTCGTAGTCCATAAAACCCTTAAACTAATCCCTGCCGTATTTCTTGTCGTTCATAGACTTGTTTTGTGGCAAAACAAATGAAAATTTGATGTAATGTAAATGACAAAAGGAATTATGAATTATTATGAAAATTTCATAATCAGAAACAGTAAAGTTTAGAAGTCCACTTCAGTCAAAAAAATAGCGATGACGATTGAGTGTCTTTCAGTTTCAAATTGTTATACTTTCTCAGATAATAACGAATTAGCTCGCTGTCTAGCAAGCACATTCTCGTGAATTTGAATATATCGCTTTCGAAATGTTTCATATATTTAAATCAAACACAATGCATTGTAGTTCATGTTTTTAAGAACACATCGAAGATAAAGATAAATTGTAAGATTTTTAACTTACGCTGAAAGACTTGAAAATCATCGAAATTACGTAAGAGTTACGCTAAAAACGTAAGATTCAACAGGATTGTGTTTAGTCTACCTTCTTACATACCACATATGTTGCGAAATTCCTGTCCATTTCTCCAGAAACACAGTCTTTATACAGAAAAAATATTCGTACAATTTTATAATTAGTATCTTGAATGAAAAGTTTAGAGATATTCTTATTTCAGTAGCTCTCCTTTTATAGAAAGAAACCAATTAGGCTTGCAGCCTTGATTGCGAAGACAATAATTGTAGCACTGCAATGGTGTATAAACACGATAGTCTTGTGTACTTTCTTCGTATTGTGGACAAAAAATATTCCCCTTTTTTAACTTTATTCTGCCTATTGGGCTATTGGGTTACCTAATTGCATCATGATTTCTCTGCTTGAACAGTATGCAACATGCAGCAATTTGATTTTGATAACTTTACAAAAGTTACAGTTGACAGACAATTGTTTCCAGTAAAGTAACTTTATTAGTTCTGCTATCAAGACAATAAACAGTGCTTTACTTGCCCAGCCCCAACTGAACAAAAATACATAAAAACATTGAATATCTCTATGCCTTTTTACATATGCCACAATCTATATACAACTGGTGCTTGATGACCCATGCTGTCGATAATGCACGGGACATGTGCAGACATTGATACTGCTGTGATACAGATTCCAGGACAGGATAGGTATAAGAGGAGAACAACAGCCATCAGGAGAGTTTTGCTAATCTTTTACCATGATAAGGATTAGCAATCGTGTTATTTTAATATAAATTTACGATGCCCATTTTCATTCATTGAGCATGACGCTTTTTTCAAGGAAGCAAAATAATGGAGTGTGGTATAACCCCACACAATCACCTCACAGAAAGAATCAGCATGATCAAGAACATCACAACGTAAAAAAGTAAAACTTTTGTCGACAAAGAGAAAAACAGTCTATTCAAGACAAGATAATTGAACATAGTAAAGATGAAAGACAAACAATGTTCCATTATATGTCTGCATGATTTTCCCATCAAAATCAATGAAAACTCAAAATTGATAAAAGGAAGGTGTTATAATTAAAGATATATCAATTTTACCGGTAAAAACTAAAAACGTAGCCTAGAAACAATCCAGGTTAAAAATGCCGGGGACTGCATCGAAAGGTCATACAACCTTGTTTTAATAATGGTCCCTCCAGAGGTGTTTTCAAGAAACGATGCGTTCATGAAGAAAGTTTATTTTGCATCAAAGCCTGTGTAAAAAAAGTTTGTCATGAAAAATGTTAAATAGAACCTTTCCATTGGCTATTTTTGATATTCAATAAAGTATGTAGAGGCTATCCTCTTGACTTTGCAGATCTTCAAGGAATTAATCTTCAAAGGATTTTTTCTTCATACAAGGTAGTTGTAGCAAACAAGCACAGCTCTATTTTAGGCAAGAGATTAAAGTTACAATATAACAAGCTGTTGGTACCAGCATGAACTTTTTCCCAGTATAGATCATCAAATATAACGGCGGCTTGTATTCAACGCTTTATTATTTCGTAGTTGGCTATAATATTTTTATTTATTTCCTAAGCAACGAATCCACCAGTGATGAAACGTTAAATTGATAATGAATCAAGCTTAATTAAAATCCCAGAACTGAAATCAGCATTGACAAACAGTAAATAATAACAGGTTATTAAAATGATGATGAAAGATAACGAGTAATTTGAACCTGCAACAGTATTCATGTCAAAATTTGCTTGTTACAAATAGAAAATGTATTTCTTTGTAGTGGTAGCTTAAGGGATGCATATCAATGCATTTGCTACGCTACTAGGTACACGATGGAGACATACTTAACTTTTCGCTTGTTCTTCTCGCTGATGCTATCTTCCGTGATAGGGTGTCAAATTGTCGAAAGAAGACAGTTTGAGATATCAAAGACATATTACATTCGTCATTTTCATGGGAAGTGCGTAGAGTACGATGAGGTACGTCAGGTGCTGGTTTACGGCCGACTTTGCCGAGAAAAGTTAGAATGGCAGGGAGAAGCAAGACTCATCCATATACCAACAAAGAAATGCATCACTGTCAATGCAACAAGCGATGGAAGCTTTTTGTCTTTGTCAAGCCAATGCAGTGGCACAAACAGTTTGTTCCAATATGATGAAAGCAATCGAATGATTCGGCATCTTGTCTCCAACAAATGTTTGCATCCAGAAACTGGAGATGCTGATCCTGCAATTAATACTGCAATTGTCCTGAAACCAGGCTGCGATGGAAACACCAACAAATTCTACTTCAGAAAGAAAGCCTACTATATCATCCGGCACTTTGGTGGACCATGTTGGGTTTATAACTCTGCAGAGAACTTGATCAAACTGATGAATCCATTTGCTTGTGATCGCTTTGAGTATGTGAATAATTACCATTTGAGGCACGTTGAAACCGGCAAATGTGTTATTTTCTCAAGCTCATATATGCGACTGACAGACGACTGTGAGTCTCCAGAAACAATTTACAAACTGAACCAGAATTCACTATTGCAGGAGGGAAGCAATAGCTGTATTCATCCTTATGGCGTTTTGCTTCAACTACATAACAATAGTTGTACTGATGAAGACCGTTTGAGATTTTACTTCCACGATGATAAAGGTACTCTTATTGAATTACCTGTTACGTGTATTCTCCTGCCTGTCTCTGTTCATAAACTGTGTGAGTTATAGATAATGTAACGGTTTTTAAAACGAATTGATCAGTTCAAATGCCGAACGCAAGCAGAAAGGGCAGCCATTCCAAACCCACATTCAAATCCATATTAAATCAAAATCCAAGGCCATTTGCTTCATCAACAACTGCAACCTTACAACCGCTTTTTATCTGCGTCGTGTTTCTGATCGCTCGAACTTTTATGAAATTAACCATAAACGTTGCTTTCACAGATTCAGAGATAGTATCCCATGAGTCCTTGAGACGTTGTACGAGACACCAATACTCCCTATTGTTAACCCTATTCAAGTATTTTTGCCAATTTTATTAACTTTGTCCAGCAAGTCATCCCTCCTACCGATTTTCCAATCTCGCATGCTACTCCTAAATTGTTATATGATAAAGTACTTCACAACGCACTTTACAGTCCTGCACCATTCATTTCTGTTTTGCATCAACTCCAACATTTTGGTTGATGTTTGCTTTCCTTGGGAGAGGTCTATCTTGATGTCAATTTTTTGGAGGTCTTGTCTTATTTATTGTCTGCATCTTGGTTATTTTTGGCTTTCTTTGTTGCTTTTACACTTTCCTAAGATATTCTTCAAGGGCTTTCCTTGTTGGTTTTTCAGAGTTTATTTTCATTGGATTCCCTAGCCATGTTTTTTTTGCTCTTATTACATGGTCTCCGCGGCTCACAATTCATTTAGGCGTTTAGATCTTTGTTTGCGACGTTTCGTTGCTAGTTTATCACTTGGACTTTTTGCGTTTCTGCATTGGAAGGATATCAGTAGCGGTCTCTAGTTTTTTCGCTTGTGTCTACTGTTAACTGATATATAGGAATACACTCGCGACGCAAAAATTTAACGGCCTAAATTTGATCTAATACAATGTTTTTTAATACCTAGATACTTCAACTGCCAAAATCTATTTTCTACTGATTATTTCCTCTTTACTAATCAAACCTTCTATAATTTTGCACTTTTTTAGTTCTTCGCTTTCTATTCTTCGTTTCCCATTTATCGCTTTTGTGCTCTTTACTTTTGAATTTATTTACTTCCTTTCTGCAAGCTTGTTAGATATTGTACTACAGACAAAATCTATACGATTTTTCTTTAAAATGCTCATGTGACATCATCTGTGTTCGAGTGGACATTATCAGTTGATTTCGAAATGATTCTTTGATGATTCGAACACAATCATCAAACTTAACCTTATCTCCTTAATTCTTCCCATCGTTTTCTTTGGCAGAGCTCTGCTTTATGACAAGCATAGATTGCAAATCTTTGATTGGCTGAACGACAAAAGTTCTCCATACCCCTTTTATACCATCAGAATTCAAGAATATGACAAAAAACTTGCCTCGCAGTTAGATTTAGGCCCAATGTGCTGAAAGATAACACAAAACTTTTTTGAGAAAATTTACTCTTTGATAATATTATGAAAAACAGCCGTTGTCCCAAAGTTGAAAATGTGCCATTTTTAGACGTTTTGGGCTATATCTTTGCTGTAATGTGTGGTATGTCAGCTTGCAATGACTCATATAAATCATATAAAATCATATAAATCATATAAAAGGGTGCGTCAAGGTGGCCAGTTTGAGCATAGGTTCCGTCATAATGGCGAATATAGGTTCATTTTCAAAAATCCATTTCTCCACTCTTAAATTAATGAAAACTAACATTTATTTAAGATTGGAAAAATGCATTTTACACTATTAACTTTTATTGGATAGTGGTAAAATTGTGCAAAATAAGCCTAAATCTAGCTGCGAGGCATGTTTGCAGTCATATTCTTGAATTCTGATTGGCTAATGGGGTATGGAGAACTGTTGTCGCTCAGCCAATCAAAGAATTGGAACCAATGTTTTTTATTACCCTGGACTCTTCCTTAACAAAACTGACATGAAGATCATAAAAATAGACTTGTTACTTGTAAGTTATGGAGAGAGAGTAAATATAACAGTTCCTTTGCAAATACGGTAACATAAATATGCTCATTATAATAACTTTGCATTTTGACATGATCAAGCTAGAAAATTTTGAATGAATTAGAAAATAAAAAAATTAGAAATTTGTTGCCGCTATTACAAGAAAAATCAATTAATGTTGTTCTTTTCTGCTTTTTCTAGACATACAGAAAGTAAAGGTCATTTCTGAATCATGCTTGACTCCCTCATCTTGCGGTAATAGTAAAGGTCACGTGATAGTTAATGGCCGCCAATACAGCTTGAACACACGTGGTATCAATGTGGTTCTCTTTGATTACCGAAGCGGTTTGTTCGAGTACAGAAAAGCGTACGATGTGTATGGAGATGCAGCCTCGAGAAACCTTTTAGCCAATTTCCTGGACAATCTTCCTTCAGGGAAATTACTTATGATGACAGCAAAGGAGGGGGTAAACATAGATAGCAATCTAGCCTTTGCGTTGCAAAAGGTTGGTGTTTCTGCAACGTTTGCAACTTCACCTGTTCCAAGTAATTATATGTCTCTGGCATATGTTTGTTATACAGGCCAGGCGAGGAAGAATTGGGAGAAAACTGTCAACAAAATTGGAGGATCAGAAGCTTCAAGTATTGAAATAAGCATCAACAATTTTCATGAACGAGATGGAATTGATGATTGCTCAAATGAACTTGGAGTACGAACTAGGAAAATACCGGATTCTAGGTTTTATGCAAAGACTGTTTGGGGAAATGATATCTACCACCAACCGTATCTAGCAAGACTACATTACTATGGTCCGGGTTGGTGTTCGTACAGCAACACTCCGGTATCCGAATATTTGCAAGTTGATCTCGGGATTATGATGATTTTAAGTGGTGTTGCGATTCAGGGTCACGGCTCTTACTATGACCACGCTGTAACAAAGTTCAAAATTGAATACAGTAAAAATGGAATAATTTGGCAATTTTTCAAGAGCGAGCAAGACTCCGTTTTAGAGTTTACAGCTTTAAGAGAACGCAATATTTATGAGACAAGTGTCAACTGGTTTCGTAATCTCAATACAAGATTGGTCAGAGTAGTTCCCACCGCTAGGTTATCTGTATCAGGCGTTAACTGTATGAGAATAGAACTTTATGGATGTGCTATATCGAGAGGTTTCTTGAGTGTCGAATGGTCACCATCGTCAAGTTTTTCTACAAATGACGATTTCAAAGGATCGGTCTTTGCATTCGGAACAATAAAGAACAATTTAACAATCGGAATATCGATGGCATCCAGTAACAAAAGCCTTGCAAATAAACTTGACCTGTTTCACTTTGACAAAATGAATGCATCGACAACGTTTGATAACGGAACAGTCAAAAAAGAAAGCGGTGTGGAGAATTTTGTAACAGACAAGATTAAAAAAATTGACAGTGTTGCATTTCTTCGATTTAATATCGTTGAAGAAAATCATTACGCTTTTGATCTTGACATTTCTGGCAAGGTAAATATCTAACTAATCCTATATCATTTTCACAATAAACAATTTTTCTAACTAACTGATATTTGATTAGCCAAAAAAATATTCGTAGTAAATCAATCAAGAAGTAGATTTTGTTGCAGGAAGAGGTTTGGTCTGATGAACATACGATAAAATTATAATTTAAATGAATGTTAGCATAATGATAATTGTTTTAAAATTAAGAGGATGGAGACAAAAAATGGAAGTGTATATGAAGAAATAATCACGGTTATAGTTTTAAAACTTTATAAAATCAAAACAGATATGAAATTTGAAATTTGAACAAAAATAATTAGAAAAAACAAACTGCATTTTGAAAAATCAAATTTCAGAGGTATTCGTAGACAAATTGGGTTACTTTCAGAAATCTAAAATATAGAATAATATAAAATATGAAATAAAGAAGAATGTAAGGTTAGCAAATCGTGTAAAAATAATATTATTTATATTTCATTTTTTACTTTTGAAAATATTTGCCAAATTCTTACAGGGGTTGAGTTAGGGAAACCCTAGCCTTTTAAACTGCACACTACAAAGGGTTTTGGGTATGACATTAACCAATCCTGTCCAAAAGGCCAATCTACATTTCCAGCAGCAATATTTAAAATTGAAGGATCCTGATGAATCTTTTTGATAGAAAAATAGATCAAACGTAACAATTCTATTAATTGGAATACAGAATTGTTATTAAACAATTTTTTGCAGGTCTTAGATGCAGAACTAGCCTCAGGAGAAAGACAGGCAGTCATCAGCACTGAAAGTCATGATAGAATCCTTGTGTTCTCATCACCACTTCAAATCAAAAGATTGCATCCCGACAAAAGCATTCTTCAATTAAATATCACAAAACAAAACTTCCAGTCGCTGACTGATGATAGCTTCTTCAACCTTAATCTGTCCGTGTCCCATTTGCTGGGAAAAAGCAACTCAAATGCTTATGGTGTTACTCTCATGATTTATTTCAACAGCAAGTTTCTTCAGTTGAAATCACTGGCATTCGTCAACACAAGTCGCTTCAGTCTACCCCCGTCCAGAAACACAACCACGCCTGGATTTATTATGATTCAAACTGATACAATGTGGCTGATTAACAGGCAAGAAATCTCGATAATACTTCAGGCAAAGTACCCAAAGACTATATCAAGAGGAGAAAACTGCAACGGATATATCATCATTGATTTTGCCTATAAAAACAACTTGGCAAAATTCAATGGAACTGTGAACTCGACTTTAGAGAGGAATGTGCCATTCAAATGCAAAATTAACCACAATAGAGATATCAGGGTGAAGTCAGTGAGGTTGCTGTCTCCTGAATTCAGTATGGTTTATGACGATGTGAATCAGCAATTCTTTTTCTGCTACCAAAGGAAAACATACATGACCAAAAATTCCGCAGTTTGTTTTTCACGAGAAAAGAACAACACGTTTTGGAAAACCATTCCTTACATTTCAGCGGTAACCGGAATTGATGTCGAGAGAAGAGTTCTTTATGGGTTAGAACGAGTAGGGAAGTCATATGTCAAATCTCCTTATCCGTTTGCTCTTTACAGCCAGATAGAGGACACTGAATGGACATCAGCCAAAGATCAACCTCAGATGAGAGCCTCTTTGAACTGTTTGTCCCTTTCTCTATTACCCCAATCAGCTTCTGATCCATATATATTCAAAGTCGGTGGGGAACCAGTTTTTGCGGCAACAGCTAAAGGAATACTTTGGAGAAAAGAAGATCTTTCTTGGAAAAGGATCGTTTTTTGGAAGTAAATTGCATGACATAGCTACTTTAAAATATCCTTGGCTATTTCATTGTTCGTAGATACATTTGTGCATTTGACTGTTTATCTCATATTTATCTCACATTGCATTTTTATCTAACTAAAGACATGTTTCCAAAATTTATTTATGCAGGAAGCAGTGTAATCATAAGAAATATATACTGAGTAAATGAAATTAATTTATTTCTCTTTTCGTACTCGAAATCGCAGTTCAAAGTTGAAAGCTGCGTAATATAACCGTAACTTATGTTTGTAATGGTGATAGCACACGTTCGATATTGACATTTTTTTGGTTTGTCCTGTTAGGCCTTGCATATGGATATAAATTTCAGGCTAATAACTTGACATGTCTTCGGAAGTTTTTAGGAGATTATGCTTGCCAGAGTGACAGACCAATAATTGCTCTGTCAATTGCTTAATACTACTTTTTTGCACAACATTCAAAGACATTTAATAATCTATAATCTCCCTCATGTCTACTTTTTATCGCAAGATTTAAACACAAAACAACATTCACTATATCTTATTCTTTTTATCTTTCAACTACTTGATTTCTTCACATTCCCAGTGACAGTTTTTCGCCAATGAAAATACATCTACCCTGTGCACAAAGTTTGAATAATACAGATACATTTATATGTACAAGAAATATATTAAAATATTAATATATTAATATATTAATTAATATTTTATTATATTAATTGATATATTAATATATTAATATAAATGTATATTAATTTCTTACTCGGAGAAAAAAATCAGCAAATTCATTCCATCATTAAAAAAAACTCCCTCAGAAGACGTTGCCACATCCCTCACCAAACAGGTCTTGAGGCTACACTCCCTCATCGCAGGAAGCAGTGTTTGGCCGTTGGTGCATCGGCACAAGTTGCTTCACCTAACCTATACAAAATCCTAACCTTTAATATAGCTTAATAGATTCAAGTACAAGCAGCTTAAAGTTCTGGGCAGGGAATGAAGAAAATAAGTTCACTTTTCCCCACCCCATAGAGCCGATGCACCAGTCCTATCTTAGATACCTAAGATTTGAGAGGGGAAAAGAAAACATTACTGAATTAAAAGCCTAGTCTTTCCTAGACGAAAAATAACAAGAACTTTGAAATGACTCCCGTGATATAAACAGGCCCTAGCCTAATACAATAGAGCAAATAAGGATTTGAAGAAACACACTTCGCTTGATATCAATCAGGGAGGGACGGGAGAAGAGAACAGCGTGTAAACAGCATATGAAGTAAGCACGACAATCCCGACATACCCTGGGTGCCAGAACCTCACAGAGTCCCCGTTCGTCATCCGTTGACTCTCTGAGGCTCTGGCACCTAGGATAATCTTGACCCAAAGCAATTAAATAATCCTATCTGAATCAAGGGATTCGCACTTTCGTGCAGAAGCCCAAACTACAGAAGTCCTTCTTCTTTATTATTCCCAATGGCATCAAAGAAGCACATAAGGACATAATACCAAACTGAAGCATTACAATTGACACCAAAATGAGAATAATACAAATAAGCTAAAATAAGAACCCCTAGCGAAATCAAATTCTACAACATCCCACGTGAAATTAACTCTGATAAAATTTCATTTGATCAGCATTTATCAGCTTTTATACTCTTTATAATCCACTTTCCTAAGTAAACTAATTTTGTTCGGATAGCCGCTCTCAAATTCGTGCGGATAGCATGGGTCTAGTGTAAACGGGAGCCCTATCTGAACTAATTTTGATGCGGATAAAATTTATCCGGCAGAGTGTAGACGGGGTCTCAGAGTTCAGTTACAATCACGCAACACACTGTCTCTCTCTCTGGCTCCGTGTTCTCTGCACGTAAAAGAAGACTTGTTAGGTTGGAAATGACACGTTGGATGGAATGGATGGATGGAATTATTAGTGAACGAATCGCACACATCAATGCTCGATTCTCGCTTCACTAAAAAAGTACTCTTGCGAATCCGGAAGTATCCAGTTACCTTGGTTTGCGACATAGCCGAAATGTATTTACAAATTGGAATGCATCCAGATGACCGGCAGTATCAAAGAATTTTGTGGTGGAACATGGATCCAACCGCTGAGCCTGACGTATTACAATTAATAATAATAATAATAATAATAAGACCATATTTATACAGGTAAACTTGTTAAGAAACAATGAGTTTGCTGCTATCAATCAAGGACCTGTGAAACTAATGTACCTACGATATAAATGTTACAACAATATAGTTTAATAAAGTTTTTACAATAATTAAATCTAGAGAAAAAGTTAAAAATCAAAGTCGATATCCTTGCAGCAACTCTTGAACTTCAGTATAGATGTTTCACTTTATCGTTTGCTGGGGACTTTTGGGTAGTTTGCTGGGGAATTCAATAGAATGGTATTTGGAATAAACTCATCGCCCTTTGGAGCTCAATTTTTGTCATAAGAACATGCAAGAAGGGGTACAGAAGAATTTACAATGGCTGCAAGCTCAGTGTTAGATTCAACTTTACTTGGATGATAAAATGGTTTCAGTGACTGATGACGAGGCACGTATCAAATTATACATGGAACTGTCAAAACTTTTAACTGGTATGTATGCAAGAAAGTGGCTATCGAATTCAACAGCAGCATTGAAGGTCATTCCAGAGAAAGATCGTGCAGAAAATATCGATTTGGATGTTGGAAAATTAACGTCAGTGAAAACATTTGGTATTGTGTGGAATGCTCAGTGAGATGTGTTCACATAAAATTCTGTCAAGCATGCTGAAGGTACGGCATATACAAAACGTTTTTTGTTTCTTTGGCCTTTGAACTATCTATTCGTCAAATACATTATTTTATCGAAGTGTAAGTAAATGTTGCGAGGGTTTTTGTCAAGCTGGTAGCGAAGGAAACGAAAGTTGACTTACAACAGCGGCTAAAAATAATCGTTTATCACAATGCTGGAAAAGCGATCATCAAATTCCTTACATCACTGGATGCACAAAAATTACTTCTTTCGACATATGCAAACAAGTTTAAAAAGCAAGATGTATAAAAATTTGTGGCGGTCAGAAAGAGCAAGAACTCCCACAACACGATTTGCATCAAAACAGGTCTGCGATATGCAGAATTGCTACAAATATTCACAGAAAATTGAAGTTTTAAAAGCTGTCGGTAAATGTTGCAAGACAAATAAAAAGGAATTAAAACTTATCGTCGTACCGATCGACTTCAGCAAGACTTGGCCTCTGTAAAAAAATTCTGTGGTATTATAACCATGTTCTACGTAAATGATATTTCTGCTTTGCAAGAACGTTTCAGAGCTGCTAAAATGTTACCATATGTCATGCATGTTTAATAATCGATCGGTGGCATCTCCATGCAAATAGTTTCCTCGACTGAGAGTAAACACGTTGTATCGCTGAGGTTGTATTTCTCTTTATTCAAAATATTTGTGTCTCAAGAACCAGTTTGTAAAAAATTACCATGTTTTATTGACCCATTTTAACTGAGTCCAAGTCACCTGACTTTGCTGTTCTTCGCTTATTTGACATCAGTTGATTTGCGTCAAGCTTGTAGCGCAAAGGTTTCTCATTTTAACAAAAAATGATAACAGATGAAAAGAGCAGAAGTTTTGCAACATTTTGACAACTTGGTTCATTTTAGAAGAGTTTCTCACAATATTATGATGACTAAACTATAGAGTCATTATCGCCAGCCTGAATTTGTTTCTGTTCGAAAGGGTAATCGATCATGGAACTATCTGGATACTTCCGTAAGGGTGAGGCGAGGCGAGTGTATGCTCTCAGGGAGATAAAATGAAGCTTTGACAAAATTGCAGCATTAGTTTTCCGTACACTGGATTGAACAATATCGCAATGAATTGAAAAAGATGGACTTCGAGGCTTTGGACAAATTCTACATCAATTGAATTCTGTTGGAACATCGTTGCAGTACAAAAAAATTGGACCAAGACGTTTAACCTATTCTTTAATAACAATGGGGAAAAAGAGCATTTCTTGAATAACACAGAGGAAAATGAGCAGTCTTAGACACCCAAGCATTATATTAAGTATATGCGAGTTCACTTTCTGGAAATCTTACGAGGTTGTGCAAAGAAAAGCTTATTTTATTGCAAATACAGAGGTACTTCTAGGCACAGTGCACACCTGTAGCCCAATTTCTGTGCTTTCGCAATTGTTGATAATGTTTGTAAATAGAAAACTTTCATATATTTGTTACTCTACCTATATATATCGCTCATTATTCCCCATCTATAAACTCTTTCCCCATCTCCACAGTCATAAACTCTTTTAGGGCCGTAAATCCCGGGGGGACGGGGGGGACTGGACCCCCCCCAAAAATCTGGAGCAAAACGATTTTTATGGAGAAATTACCATCATTTTTCTTGGAAGAAAGAAATCCCTGGTAGCCGGGTTAGAACCAAACAATGTTTTTTGTGTTATTGCAGCAAACCTCCGCCACTAAGGTTATTTTTGTAAGCAGAGTGGTTTTTATAATTTTTACAATATAAAAACTTACCGTTTTCGACGCACATTTCTGTTCAGAAAGTAAATTTTTACCAATCAATACAACAGTGTCCCATATTTCCCCAAAGTCTGTCTCTAAGGTTTAAGCATGACTCTTCCCCTCCAAAATTTCACCCAATAAACAATAATCTGTGTTCTTTAGAGAAACGCCAAACTTTCTATCCTGAGCGATTCTAGTATTTTATTAAATTTAGTCTGGGAGATGCTTTTTTAGCCTTTCTAGAAGGTAAAATTTCAAAAATTTTCTTCCGCGTCGGACCCAACCATGGTGGGTCCTCCTACGAGAGTAAACTTGATTCTTAGCTCCCAAGGTTCAATTTCTTGGGGCCGTCTCTAAAAAATGTTATCCATCCAATCATACACACAAGTCAATGTACTAAGGAATATCTGTAAATACCTTCTATAGAGCAGAAAGCCTTGAGAAATCCAAAAATATTGAATCCATATACCATAAATCCCTTGTGGTGCCATGACCCACTGCATACTTTATATTCATTCGCTCTGCTGACCCCCCCAATTCACATGACAGATTTACGGCCCTGAACTCTTATGCAACTGATCACAGCCTTTTTAAGTAGGTTAGTTAAAAACATTTTGCGGCAGAACTGCCGGTTTGTTGTGTACACAACAAGTTTGGCTCACCTAGTGTACAGTAGGAAAAAGCTCAATGTGCTTTTTCCAAAATTTGAATTTTTCCAGCTTAGGGCAAAGAGCCATATTATAAAAAGTGCTTGATAGCTTAAATCTAAAGAATATTCCTTTTACGAGAAAGGGCATTCCTGTCGTGGGTCAAAATCGATGGAGGTTCAGAATAGGCCTAGGCATCCCGTGCGGTAGTGTAGAGGAAGGAAAAGGCAATCATAAAGCCTAGTTTTGTTTGGAAAATACAATATTCCCAGGTGATGGCTGGGTGATTTATTTGTGCAAAATATCAGGTAACTTAAATCTTAAAAAAAATTCCTTGTTTAATAAACAAAAACTTCATAAGAAATAAATTAGGGGGTGGGCATCAAAGTAGTCATGCAGCAATAAAAACAGGGTCCTGTCACTGTGGAATATTATTTTTGCAGTTCACTCCTTCAAGTTGTGTAAATATATAAAGGGTAAAAAACACTGAAATTATTCACACAATTCAAAAAAACCTTCATTCCAATTTTTCATTGTGTTACTTTACTTTGTTTAGTCTGAAAAAGTTCGAGCAAAAAGAGACACCATATCGGAAAGGGGAAATTTGTGAGGTGTAATTTTTAAGGAAGCCTCTACCCCTTTTCTATCTCAGGCGACCCCTTTCTAGCGATAATCACAGGAGTGCGAGTAATTTTTCATCACGTGACCAGTGCGGAGCCAATTTTTTTCAAATCGAGGTTAATACACCTCTTGTCTTTTCCGAGGCTAATCTGCATACTCTACCGTAGGGCCACTGGCAAGCTTCGTAGGGGAACTACTATATAACTACTAATAATTTAGTTTGACTATTATTATCATAATTTGCCGATTTGATCGAATCATAAATCAATAGTCGCTCTGTCTATTTATGACTTTCTTCTTACTAAAATGTTTTATGTGAGTGGTGGAGGCCTACGTATGCACTCTAACAGCGAATTTACTGAATTTTCGTCGTCCATAAAATTCCTGCCGTATTCCTTAAACTAATCCCTGCCGTATTTCTTGTCATTCATAGACTTGTTTTGTGGCAAAACAAATGAAAATTTGATGTAATGTAAATGACAAAAGGAATTATGAATTATTATGAAAATTGCATAATCAGAAACAGTAAAGTTTAGAGTTTTTACCGTTCATTGAAAGAACAAAACTAAGTCCACTTCAGTCAAAAAAATAGCGATGACGAGTGAGTGTCTTTCAGTTTCAAATTTTTATTCTTTGTCAGATAATAACGAATTAGCTCGCTGTCTAGCAAGCACATTCTCGTGAATTTGAATATATCGCTTTCAAAATGTTTCATATATTTAAATCAAACATAATGCATTGTAGTTCATGTTTTAAGAACACATCGAAGATAAAGATAAATTGTAAGATTTTTAACTTACGCTGAAAGACTTGAAAATCATCGAAATTACGTCAGAGTTACGCTAAAAACGTAAGATTCAACAGGATTGTGTTTAGTCTACCTTCTTACATACCACATATGTTGCAAAATTCCTGTCCATTTCTCCAGAAACACAGTCTTTATACAGAAAAAATATTCGTACAATTTTATAATTAGTATCTTGAATGAAAAGTTTAGAGATATTCTTATTTCAGTAGCTCTCCTTTTATAGAAAGAAACCAATTAGGCTTGCAGCCTTGATTGCGAAGACAATAATTGTAGCACTGCAATGGTGTATAAACACGATAGTCTTGTGTACTTTCTTCGTATTGTGGAGAAAAAATATTCCCCTTTTTTTAACTTTATTCTGCCTATTGGGCTATTGGGTTACCTAATTGCATCATGCTTTCTCTGCTTGAACAGTATGCAGCCTGGATGTAGCCCAATTTGATCTTAATAACTTTACAAAAGTTACAGTTGACAGACAATCGTTTCAGTAAACTAACTTTATTAGTTCTGCTATTGAGACAATAAACAGTGCTTTACTTGCCTAGCCCCAACTGAACAAAAATACATAAAAACATTGAATATCTCTATGCCTTTTTACATATGCCACAATCTATATACAACTGGTGCTTGATGACCCATGCTGTCGATAATGCACTGGGCTTATGCAGACATTGATACTGCTGTGATACAGATTCCAGGACAGGATAGGTATAAGAGGAGAACAACAGCCATGGTTTTGCTAATCTTTTACCATGATAAGGATTAGCAATCGTGTTATTTTAATATAAATTTACCATATCCATTTTCATTCATTGAGCATGACGCTTTTTTCAAGGAAGCAAAATAATGGAGTGTGGTATCCCCCACACAATCACCTCACAAAAAGAATCAGCATGATCAAGAACATCACAACGTAAAAAAGTAAAACTTTTGTCGACAAAGAGAAAAACAGTCTATTCAAGACAAGATAATTGAACATAGTAAAGATGAAAGACAAACAATGTTCCATTATATGTCTGCATGATTTTGCCATCAAAATCAATGAAAACTCAAAATTGATAAAAGATAGGTGTTATAATTAAAGATATATCAATTTTACCGGTAAAAACTAAAAACGAAGCCTAGAAACAATCCAGGTTAGAAATGTCGGGGACTGCATTGGAAAGGTCATACAACCTTGTTTTAATAATGGTCCCTCCAGAGGTGTTGTCAAAAAGAGATACGTTCATGAAGAATATTTTTTATGCATCAAAGCCTGTGTAAAAAACGTTTGTCATGAAAAATGTTAAATAGAACCTTTCCATTGGCTATTTTTTGATATTCAATAAAGTATGTAGAGGCTATCCTCTTGACTTTGCAGATCTTTAAGGAATTAATATTCAAAGGATTTTTTCTTCATACAAGGTAGTTGTAGCAAACAAGCACTGCTCTATTTTAGGCAAGAGATTAAAGTTACAATAATACAAGCTGTTGGTACCAGCATGATCTTTTTCCCAGTATAGATCATCAAATATAACGGCGGCCTGTACTCAACGCTTTATTATTTCGTAGTTGGCTATAATATTTTTATATATTTCCTAAGCAACGAATCCACCAGTGATGAAAGGTTAAATTGATAATGAATCAAGCTTAATTAAAATCCCAGAACTGAAATCAGCATTGACAAACAGTAAATAAAAACAGGGTATTAAAATGATGCCGAAAGAAAACGGGTAATTTGAACCTGCAACTGTATTCATGTCAAAATTTGCTTGTTACAAATAGAAAATGTATTTCTTTGTAGCGGTAGCTTAAGGGATGCATATCAATGCATTTGCTACGCTACTAGGTACACGATGGAGACATACTTAATTTTTCGCTTGTTCTTCTCGTTGATGCTATCTTCCGTGATAGGGTGTCAAATTGTCGAAAGCAGACAGTTTGAGATATCAAAGACATATTACATTCGTCATTTTCATGGGAAGTGCGTAGAGTACGATGAGGTACGTCAGGTGCTGGTTTACGGTCGACTTTGCCGAGAAAAGTTAGAATGGCAGGGAGGAGCAAGACTCATCCATATACCAACAAAGAAATGCATCACTGTCAATGCAACAAGCGATGGAAGCTTCTTGTCTTTGTCAAGCCAGTGCAGTGGCACAAACAGTTTGTTCCAATATGATGAAAACAATCGAGTGATTCGGCATCTTTTCTCTAACAAATGTTTGCATCCAGAAACTGGAGATGCTGATCCTGCAATTAATACTGCAATTGTCCTGAAACCAGGCTGCGATGGAAATACCAACAAATTCTACTTTAGAAAGAAAGCCTACTATATCATCCGGCACTTTGGTGGACCATGTTGGGTTTATAACTCTGCAGAGAACTTGATCAAACTGATGAATCCATTTGCTTGTGATCGCTTTGAGTATGTGAATAATTACCATTTGAGGCACGTTGAAACCGGCAAATGTGTTATTTTCTCGAGCTCATATATGCGACTGACAGACGACTGTGAGTCTCCGGAAACAATTTACAAACTGAACCAGAATTCACTATTGCAGCAGGGAAGCAATAGCTGTATTCATCCTTATGGCGTTTTGCTTCAACTACATAACAATAGTTGTACTGATGAAGACCGTTTGAGATTTTACTTCCACGATGATAAAGGTACTATTATTAAATTACCTGTTACGTGTATTCTCCTGCCTGTCTCTGTTCATAAACTTTGTGAGTTATAGATAATGTAACGGTTTTTAAAACCAATTGATTAGTTCAAATGCCGAACGCAAGCAGAAAGGGCAGCCATTCCAAACCCACATTCAAATCCATATTAAATCAAAATCCAAGGCCATTTGCTTCATCAACAACTGCAACCTTACAACCGCTTTTTATCAGCGTCGTGTTTCTGATCGCTCAAACTTTTATGAAATTTACCATAAACATTGCTTTCGCAGATTCAGAGATAGTATCCCATGAGTCCTTGAGACGTTGTACGAGACACCAATACTCCCTATTGTTAACCCTATTCAAGTATTTTTGCCAATTTTATTAACTTTCTCCAGCAAGTCATCCCTCCTACCGATTTTCCAATCTCGTATGCTACTCCTAAATTGTTATATGCTAAAGTACTTCACAACGCACTTTACAGTCTTGCACCATTCATTTCTGTTTTTCATCAACTCTAACATTTTGGTTAATGTTTGTTTTCCTTGGGAGAGGTCTATCTTGATATCAATTTTTTGGAGGTCTTGTCTTATTTATTGTCTGCATCTTGGTTATTTTTGGCTTTCTTTGTTGCTTTTACACTTTCCTAAGATATTCTTCAAGGGCTTTCCTTGTTGGTTTTTTAGAGTTTAGTTTTATTGGATTCCCTAGCCATGTTTTTTTTGCTCTTATTACATGGTCTCCGCGGCTCACAATTCATTTAGGCGTTTAGATCTTTGTTTGCGATGTTTCGTTGCTAGTTTATCACTTGGACTTTTTGCATTTCTGCGTTGGAAGGATATCAGTAGCGGTCTCTAGTTTTTTTGCTTGTATCTACTGTTAACTGATATATAGGAATACACTCGCGACACAAAAATTTAACGGCCTAAATTTGATCTAATACAATGTTTTTTAATACCTAGATACTTCAACTGCCAAAATCTATTTTCTATTGATTATTTCCTCTTTACTAATCAAACCTTCTAGAATTTTGCACTTTTTTAGTTCTTCGTTTTCTATTCTTCGTTTCCCATTTATCGCTTTTGTGCTCTTTACTTTTGAATTTATTTACTTCCTTTCTGCAAGCTTGTTAGATATTGTACTACTGACAAAATCTATACGATTTTTCTTTAAAATGCGCATGTGACATCATCTGTGTTCGAGTGGACATTATCAGTTGTTTTCGAAAAGATTCTTTGATGATTCGAACACAAACATCAAACTTAACCTTATCTCCTAAATTCTTCCCATCGTTTTCTTTGGCAGAGCTCTGCTTTATGACGATCATAGGTTGCAAATCTTTGATTGGCTGAACGACAAAAGTTCTCCATACCCCTTTTATACCATCAGAATTCAAGAATATGACAACAAACTTGCCTCGCAGTTAGATTTAGGCCCAATGTGCTGAAAGATAACACAAAACTTTTTTGAGAAAATTTACTCTTTGATAATATTATGAAAAACAGCCGTTGTCCCAAAGTTGAAAATGTGCCATTTTTAGACGTTTTGGGCTATATCTTTGCTGTAATGTATGGTGTGTCAGCTTGCAATGACTCATATAAAAGGGTGCGTCACGCTGGCCAGTTTGAGCATAGGTTCCGTCATAATGGCGAATTTAGGTTCATTTTCAAAAATCCATTTCTCCACTCTTAAATTAATGAAAACTAACATTTATTTAAGATTGGAAAAACGCATTTTACACTATTAACTTTTAGTGCATAGTGGTAAAATTGTGCAAAATAAGCCTAAATCTGGCTGCGAGTCATGTTTGCTGTCATATTCTTGAATTCTGATTGGCTAATGGGGTATGGAGAACTGTTGTCGCTCAGCCAATCAAAGAATTGGAACCAATGTTTTTTATCACCCTGGTCCCTTCCTTAACAAAACTGACACGAAGATCATAAAAAACAGACTTGTTACTTGTAAGTAATGGAGAGAGAGAGTAAATATAACAGTTCCTTTGCAAATACGGTAACATAAATATGCTCATTATAATAACTTTGCATTTTTTGACATGATCAAGCTAGAAAATTTCGAGTGAAGTAGAAAATAAGAAAATTAGAAAATTTTAACATTAATTTGTTGCCGCTATTACAAGAAAAATCAATTAATGTTGTTCTTTTCTGCTTTTTCTAGACATACAGAAAGTAAAGGTCATTTCTGAATCATGCTTGACTCCCTCATCTTGCGGGAATAGTAAAGGTCACGTGATAGTTAATGGCCGCCAATACAGCTTGAACACACGTGGTATCAATGTGGTTCTCTTTGATTACCGAAGCGGTTTGTTCGAGTACAGAAAAGCGTACGATGTGTATGGAGATGCGGCCTCGAGAAACCTTTTAGCCAATTTCCTGGACAATCTTCCTTCAGGGAAATTACTTATGATGACAGCAAAGGAGGGGGTAAACATAGATAGCAATCTAGCCTTTGCGTTGCAAAAGGTTGGTGTTTCTGCAACGTTTGCAACTTCACCAGTTCCAAGTAATTATATGACTTTGGCATATGTTGGCTATACAGGCCAGGCGAGGAAGAATTGGGAGAAAACTGTCAACAAAATTGGAGGATCAGAAGCTTCAAGTATTGAAATAAGCATCAACAATTTTCATGAACGAGATGGAATTGATGATTGCTCAAATGAACTTGGAGTACGAACTAGGAAAATACCGGATTCTAGGTTTTATGCAAAGAGTACCTGGAATAATGATAACCGTCACGGACCGCATTCAGCAAGGTTGCATTACTATGGTCCCGGTTGGTGTTCATACTACAATACTCCGATATCCGAATACTTGCAAGTTGATCTTGGGACGATGATGGTTGTAAGTGGTATTGCGATACAGGGTCACGGCAACAATTACCACTCTGTAACAAAGTTCAAAATTGAATACAGTAAAAATGGAATAATTTGGCAATTCTACAAGAGCGAGCAAGACTCAGTTTTAGAGTTTACAGCTTTAAGAGAAAACAATGGGCTTGAAACAAGTGTTAACTGGTTTCGTAATCTCAAAACAAGATTGATAAGACTAGTTCCCACAGCTAGGTTAAGCAATATTAACGTAACTTGTCTGAGAATTGAACTTTATGGATGTGCTATATCGAGAGGTTTCTTGAGTGTTGAATGGTCACCATCGTCAAGTTTTTCTACAAATGATAATTTCAAAGGATCGGTCTTTGCATTCGGAACAATAAAGAACAATTTAACAATCGGAATATCGATAGCATCCAGTAACAAAAGCCTTGCAAATAAACTTGACCTGTTTCACTTTGACAAAATGAATGCATCGACAACGTTTGATAACGGAACAGTCAAAAAAGAAAGCGGTGTGGAGAATTTTGTAAGAGACAAGATCAAACAAATTGACAGTGTTGCATTTCTTCGATTTAATATCGTTGAAGAAAATTATTACGCTTTTGATCTTGACATTTCTGGCAAGGTAAAGATTTAACTAATCCTATATCATTTTCACATTAAAACAATTTTTCTAACTAAGTGATACTTGATGAGCCAAAAAAAATATTCGTAGTAAATCAATCTAGAAGTAGATTTTGCTGCAGGAAGATGTTTGGTCTGATGAACATACGATAAAATTATAATTTAAATGAATGTTAGCATAATGATAATTGTTTTAAAATTAAGAGGACGGAGACAAAAAATGGAAGAGTATATGAAGAAAAAATCACAAAGAAAAGTGATATTTAAGTGATCCTGTATAGTTTTAAAACTTTATAAAATCAAAACAGTTGATATGAAAACAATTTGAACAAAAATAATTAGAAAAAACAAATTGCATTTTGAAAAATCAAATTTCAGAGGCCTTCGTAGACAAATTGGGTTACTTTCAGAAATCTAAAATAAAGAAGAATGTAAGGTTAGAAAATCGTGTAAGGATAATATTATTTATATTTCATTTTTTACTTTTGAAAATATTTGCCAAATTCCTACGACAAGCTCAGTTGTGTTTTCCATAAGCAGCCTTTGTCTTTTGCTGATGTATGAGCGGAAATTTGATGATATTGAAATTGGAGCAAGACAGAAGAGTATCATATTAAAGCCTGGTTTCCATATAGCCGTAAGGCTGCCTGCGACTGCCTGCGACTGCTTTCTGCCATCTTCCATCTTCCACCCTTACAGTAGCGCCGGCAAATGGAAACGTTCTGTTTTCAATTGCCTGCGGTATCGGTAACTATGCCGGTAACTAGGTAAAGTTTGAGCGGGAAAAACTGGCGGGTAAAATTCAACAAAAAAGCCCTGTTTCAATTGGTTCTTGCACATCACATGATCCGTTTGAACAAAAGAATGCCGCAGGCAGCCGCAGGCAAGGCGTTTCCATTTGTAATTAGTGTGCCGGCGGTACCGGGAGGCTGCCGTAAGAGCCGGGAAAAGTTGAACTCGTTCAACTTTCTCCCGGCTCTCCCGGCAGTCTTACGGCACTTCAAACAGCTGCCTGCGGTACCGTTAGAAAGCGTTTCCATAAAGAATTATCTGCCGGCGATACCGTAGAGATGGAAGATGGAAGATGGCAGAAAGCAGTCGCAGGCAGCCTTACGGCTATATGGAAACCAGGCTTTACCAGGGGTTGAGTTAGGGAAACCCTAGCCTTTTTTGCTGCACACAACAAAGGGTTTTGGGTATGACATTAACCAATCCTATCCAAAACGCCAATCCACAATTCCATCAGCAATATTTAAAAATTGAAGGATCGCGATGAATCTTTTTGATAGAAAAATAGATCAAACGTAACAATTATATTCGTTGGAATACAGAATTGTTATTAAACAATTTTTTGCAGGTCTTAGATGCAGAACTAGCCTCAGGAGAAAGACAGGCAGTCATCAGCACTGAAAGTCATGATGGAATCCTTGTGTTCTCATCACCACTTCAAATCAAAAGATTGCATCCCGACAAAAGCATTCTTCAATTAAATATCACAAAACAAAACTTCCAGTCGCTGACTGATGATAGCTTCTTCAACATTAATCTGTCCGTGTCCCATTTGCTGGAAAAAAGCAACTCAAATGCTTATGGTGTTAGTCTCATGATTTATTTCAACAGCAAGTTTCTTCAGTTGAAATCACTGGCATTCGTCAACACAAGTCGCTTCAGTCTACCCCCGTCCAGAAACACAACCACGCCTGGGTTTATTATGATTCAAACTGATACAATGTGGCAGCTAAACAGGCAGAAATTTTCGATAATACTTCAGGCAAAATATCCAAAGTCTATAACAAGAGGAGAAAACTGCAATGAAGATATCATCATTGATTTTGCGTATAAGAACAACTTGGCAAAATTCAATGGAACTGTGAACTCGACTTTAGAGAGGAATGTGCCATTCAAATGCAAAATTAACCAGAGTAGAGATATCAGGGTTAAGTCAGTGAGGTTGCCGTCTCCTGAATTCAGTATGGTTTATGACGATGTGAATCAGCAATTCTTTTTCTGTTACCAAAGGAAAACATACATGACCAGAACCTCCGCAGTTTGTTTTTCACGAGAAAAGAACAACACGTTTTGGAAAACCATTCCTTACATTTCAGCGGTAACAGGAATGGATGTCGAGAAAAGAGTTCTTTATGGGTTAGAACGAGTAGGGAAGTCATATGTCAAATCTCCTTATCCGTTTGCTCTTTACAGCCAGATAGAGGACACTGAATGGACATCAGCCAAAGATCAACCTCAGATGAGAGCCTCTTTGAACTGTTTGTCCCTTTCTCTATTACCCCAATCAGCTTCTGATCCATATATATTCAAAGTCGGTGGGGAACCAGTTTTTGCGGCAACAGCTAAAGGAATACTTTGGAGAAAAGAAGATCTTTCTTGGAAAAGGATCGTTTTTTGGAATTAATTTGCATTAATTCAGCTACTTTAAAATATCCTTGGCAATTTCATTGTTCGTAGATACATTTGTGCATTCGACTGCATTATATATATCTCACATTGCATTTTTATCTAACTAAAGACATGTTTGCAAAATTTATTTATGCAGGAAGCAGTGTAATCATAAGAAATATATACTGAGTAAATGAAATTAATTTATTTCTCTTTTCGTACTCGAAATCGCACTTCAAAGTTGAAAGCTTCGTAATTCAATCATAACTTATGTTTGCAATGGTGATAGCAATCGTTTGATATTGAAATTTTTTTGGTTTGTCCTGTTAGGCCTTGCATGAGGAAATAAATTTCAGGCTAATATCCTGAAACGTCTTCGGAAGTTTTTAGGAGTTTATGCTTGCCAGAGTGACAGACCAATAATTGCTCTGTCAATTGCTTTTTACTACTTTTTTGCACAACATTCAAAGACATTTAATAATCTATAATCTCCCTCATGTCTACTTTTTATCGCAAGATTTAAACACAAAACAACATTCACTATATCTTATTCTTTTTATCTTTCAACTACTTGATTTATTCACATTCCCAGTGAAAGTTTTTCGCCAATGAAAATACATCTACCCTGTGCACAAAGTTTGAATAATACATATACATTTATATGTACAAGAAATATATTAATATATAAAATAATATATTAATTTATTAATTAATATATTAATATATTAATATAATAATATATTAATTTCTTACTCGGAGAAAAAAATCAGCAAATTCATTCCATCAATAAAAAAAAAAGCTCCCTCAGAAGACGTTTCCACATCCCTCACCAAACAGGTCTTGAGGCTACACACCCTCATCACAGGAAGCAGTGTTTGACCGTTGGTGCGTCGGCACAAGTTGCTTCACCTAACCTATACAAAATCCTAACCTTTAATATAGCTTAATAGATTCAAGTACAAGCAGCTTAAAGTTCTGGGCAGGGAATGGAGAAAATAAGTTAACTTTTCCCCACCATAGAGCCGATGCATCAGTCCTATCTTAGATACCTAAGATTTGAGAGGGGAAAAGAAAACATTACTGAATTATGAGCCTAGTCTTTCCTAAACGAAAAATAACAAGAACTTTGAAATGACTCCCGTGATATAAACAGGCCCTAGCCTAATACAATAGAGCAAATAAGGATTTGAAGAAACACACTTCGCTTGATATCAATCAGGGAGGGACGGGAGAAGAGAACAGCGTGTAAACAGCATATGAAGTAAGCACGACAATCCCGACATACCCTGGGTGCCAGAACCTCAGAGAGTCCCCGTTCGTCATCCTTTGACTCTCTGAGGCTCTGGCACCTAGGATAATCTTGACCCAAAGCAGTTAAATAATCCTATCTGAATCAAGGGACTCGCACTATCGTGCAGAAGCCCAAACTACAGAACTCCTTCTTCTTAATTATTTTCAATGGCATCAAAGAAGCACATAAGGACTTACCAAACTGAAGCATGACAATTGACAGCCAAATGAGAATAATACAAATTAGCTAAAATAAGAACCCCTAGCAAAATCAAGTTCTACGACATCCTTCGTGAAATTAACTCTGATAAAATTTCATTTGATCAGCATTTATCTGCTTTTAAACTCTTTATAATCCTTATAATACTTTCCTAAGTAAACTAATTTTGTCCGGATAGCCGCTCTCAAATTCGTGCGGATAGCTTGGGTCTAGTGTAAACGGGAGCCCTATCTGAACTAATTTTGATGCGGATAAAATTTATCCGGCACAGTGTAAACGGGGTCTCAGAGTTCAGTTACAATCACGCAACACACTGTCTCTTTCTCTGGCTCCGTGTTCTCTGCACGTAAAAGAAGACTTGTTAGGTAGGAAATGACACGTTGGATGGAATGGATGGATGGAATTATTAGTGAAAGAATCGCACACATCAATGCTCAATTCTCGTTTCACTAAAAAAGTACTCTTGCAAATCCGGAAGCATCCAGTTACCTTGGTTTGCGACATAGCCGAAATGTATTTACAAATAGGAATGCATCCAGATGACCGGCAGTATCAAAGAATTTTGTGGTGGAACATGGATCCAACCGCTGAGCCTGACGTATTACAATTAATGATAATAATAATAATAATAAGACCATATTTATACAGGTAAACTTGTTAAGAAACAATGAGTTTGCTGCTATCAATCAAGGACCTGTGAAACTAATGTACCTACGATATAAATGTTACAACAATATAGTTTAATAAAGTTTTTACAATAATTAAATCTAGAGAAAAAGTTAAAAATCAAAATCGATATCCTTGCAGCAACTCTTGAACTTCAGTATAGATGTTTCACTTTATCGTTTGCTGGGGACTTTTGGGTAGTTTGCTGGGGAATTCAATAGAATGGTATTTGGAATAAACTCATCGCCCTTTGGAGCTCAATTTTTGTCACAAGAACATGCAAGAAAAAGGGCAGAAGAATTTACAATGGCTGCAAGCTCAGTGTTAGATTGAACTTTATTTGGATGATAAAATGGATTCAGTGACTGATGACGAGGCAGGTATCAAATTATACATGGAACTGTGAAAACTTTTAACTGGTATGTATGCAAGAAAGTGGCTATCGAATTCAACAGCAGCATTGAAGGTCATCCCAGAGAAAGATCGTGCAGAAAATATCGATTTGGATGTTGGAAAATTAACGTCAGTGAAAACATTTGGTATTGTGTGGAATGCTCAGCGAGATGTGTTCACATAAAATTCTGTCAAACATGCTAAAGGTACGGCATATACAAAACGTTTTTTGTTAAAGGAAATGGCAACGCTGTTTGATCCATTGGGATTCATTTCGCCATATGTCATCCGTATCAAAGTCATCATACAAGAATTATGGTTTATATGGACTGAATTGGGATGATGAGCTTCCTGGTAATGTGGTAATGAAAATAAAAGCATGGTTTCATGAGTTGGAGAAATGGCCATTGCTTCAAATTCCAAAATGCTTAAGATGACGTCATCAGTAACAAATCAGTTCATTGATGTTTTTACGGATGCATCTAGTGAAGCATATGGTGCAGTTGCCTTTCTACAGTCTGTTTTCGAGTCAGGGGAATATTCTTCTCGCCTTATCATGTCCAAGGCAAGAGTTGCTCCTTTAAAATCGACTAGCATCCCAAGACTGGAACTGCTAGAAGCTGTTTTCGGATTAAAGCTGGCAGAAAGGATAGCTGGCGCTTTGAAAATGGCGTTGCAAGACGTAAGATTCTGAAGTGACATTATAAATGTGTTGTGGTGGATAAGAAACCAAAGTCGAAAGTCGAAGCCGTTTATTGCAAATCGGGTTGGATTGATTCAATCAAAAACTGAAAACAGTCAATGGAGATACATTCCAACGAAGAAAAATCCTGCTGACTTACTGAGTAGGGGACTATCCGTTACAGCTTTGGTGCTTAATGAAAGTTGGTGGAATGACCCTAGTTTCTTGCACAATCCTGAAGAATATTTTCATTGATCTCAAAAATGCAATTGACACCGGAGACCATGACATTTTACTTACGAAGTTGAGAAAGAATGGTGTTGAAAACCTAGCTATTCTGTATATCATTTACGACATATCTAGCCACAAGAAAGCAATTCTGCAAAGTAAATGGGTTATGTCCTAAAACCAAAGATATTCACTTTGGAGTCACCAAGGGTTCATGTCTATGCCCTTTATTGTTTCTGATTTATATCAATGATCTTCCGTTCTCTCTGAAAAAAAAATGACAATGTACGCCGATGACACCAGTATTTTTTACTCTTCTTCGAGCTTAGCAGATATAAATCAAATTCTAAACAGTGAACTGGACGATTTGAAGCAATAGTTGCAAGGTAATAAACTTTATTTGAACCAGTAGCGAATTTCTGAGGGTGTGGGGGGGGGGGCGAGATACGGCAAATCTGAGATTTTGTCGGTAAGTTTAAATCTGGTTTTGGTTAAAACAATCTTCGTTTGCTCATGGATAAAATTTTCGACGGCAAACATTGGCAGTCCCGCGGGCAGACCCAAGTCGTCGCGTCGTGTAAACGCTTCTTATCTTTTGATATGACATTCACATTTCCATTATCGGCAAGGTGACAAATGAGTATGTCAATCACAAACAATCCCAAAACACTCAACAGAGAGGAGGCTCAGATAGGAGGAGGCACGGCAGGGAGGAGGCAAAAATCAAATCCAGTCGCGCAACTGTGAATTTAGGATGTCCTCGAATGCAAACATATCAAGAATAACTCATATCCAGAATAATCTCATCCACAATATAAATTTGATCAGCAAAATCAATAAGCCGTGGAGGGGCCCTTGCGAATGTTTCAAAAAAATTATTATGTGGAAGAATGAACACTTACATACACTAATTTTTTTATAAGAAGCAATGGTCGATGTTGAGTACTCCAGTTTCTTGATGTCCTGAAAACTTCAATGATCATTGTTTCTTACGAGTTTCTTAATTTTGATGCCACGAATGATTTTATGAAATGTTTGTGACATTGTTTATAATGTCAAGAAATTCGCTTCCATTATCACGCTGTATTAAGATTAAGTTCTAAGCCAACAGGGCGATAATGTTCTTGGATTTTACAAAACGTCTTTGTTCTCAGTTTTATCACGATTTAATAGTTTCTTAATTTATTTGCTTCGAGTACTGAAGTTTCTTAATTTTTTCTGACTGGCCAGTACTCGTTTCTTATAACAAGTTTCTTATAGAAAAAATGAGTTTAGTGCCTAGAAATCAGGGACGTAGTGGTGGGGGGCTTAGGGGGGGGCGCGGCACCCCTTGTTAAAATTTTCGAAAAAAAATGGGGGCTCAGCCGGGAATCATGTAACGCAAAGAAAGCTGTGAAGAATTGTTACTTTACCAAAGGTCAGCTATTAGCGATTAAACCAGAAAAGAAAAGAGAACAACTGACAGATTTAAACGCATTGCAAACTTCATATAAATAATATGCACATATGCACAAAGTTTGACATATATAGATAGAAAAATTCCTCTTTTGTTAACGCAAGAGAAAATTTGTCATTTCAAAATCCAACCAATGGGTCATTAATTTTAAAAATAAGGTTCTTTCTTATCGTTGCTATAAATATTTTATATGCATTTTCTGGCCATTCCTAAAATATCATTGTTCAAAACTCTTCTCGCCGCCAACCATGGTGGCGGCTTTCACTAAACCCCTGAGCAATATAAACATTTTGCCCCAAATATGCAATGCAGTTTTCCCCAGTCCTTTGCATGGTATCAATGTTCTGATCTCAGCTGCCCGCTGAAACAATTAATGTACCTGCCTGTCTGCTCAACCAATGATCAGAAAAAACATCAACCCTCGTCATGCTCAAATTGCAATTACTACATGAAAAGAAAAGCTTAGAAATTTCATACAGCCCCCCGTGTTAAAATTATACGACTACATCCTTGCTAGTAATGTAAGTGTCTAAAACGTACCGGGGTTTCGTCGAGCCCCATTTTCGGTTCTGCTGTTCGGTATGGGGGTGCTGTGGGGTGACTAAACTGCAATCGTTGCAAAAGCTGCAGAATCGAGCAGCTAGAATAGTAGTTAAAGGAAAAATTGATGTGCCTGCTATGCCACTGATTCGCAGTTTGGGTTGGCCAATTATAGATGACATTATTAGAAGCGAAACAGCTACAACAATGGACAAATCGTTAAATGGGCTCGTCCTGTCTCAGAGTACCTTTCCAACCTGTTCGAAAAAAATTCGACTCGAAATGCTAGAAAACTGAGAAATACCGATGCCGATCTTTCGCTACCCTTACAGAAAACAAACGATGGGCAGAGAGCTATTTCTTTTCGCTGACCTAAACTTTGAAACCAACTTGAACCTGATGCCCAACAGGCACCTTCCCTTGCCACCTTTAAGAGAAGAATCAAAAACTATTTATAAGCGACCACTCTTTTTCGTAGTATCTATAGTGCCAAGGCCCCTTGAAAAGCAGTTCTCATGGACTGACGGGGCTACCGAGCCTAAATAATTAGAAATGAATGAAATGAATGAAAAATTAAAAATTAATTATTAAACTTCGTAACAATAAGCTTCGTAATGAACTAATAATAGAGATGTTGCGTCATTCCTTTGTAATTTGTAGAGCGAAATTCCTTCGTAACTGCTTAACCTATTAATTTGTGTGATTTCTTGTTTATTGTCGAATTTTACTTTTAAAATGGTATAAAAGCAGCTTTTGTACGATTTGAGTTAGTTTTTAGTTAGTTCGTTAGTTAGTCTTTACGCTCTTTGGAGATTTTCATAAGAAACTTATTATGGCACTCATAATCGGAGAGTCGTTTTCTATGATCAATCTTCGGATCAGACAGATTTCTTTGAAAACCATATTTGGTAAATCCATGGTCGCGGAAAAAATTTATGGGCCCCGGGTCAGGACAAAATTTTAATTATAAGGCATGCCTAAGGCAGACGCTTCTAGGAGGTATGGGGAATGCTCCCCAGAAATCTTTGAAAATTGTGGTTGCTTAAACTGCTAGGGTGGATATTTTGGTTGCTAAAATTGCCATTGTGGCTAAACTGCGCCGGTGGCAATGGTGTAGATATAGGGGGTCAGAGGGAGCAAAAACACCACTGTAGAGCTAAACTGCTATTTTGTCTGAAAACCTCTGCTCTTTTCAAAAATTTAACATGATTGTCTATGTTTATCTAAATGCTATGTTTTGATAGAAAAAATTTGAATCTAAATAAACATAAGAATATTCAATATATCAAAAGATCTATTTTTCAGTTCTGATGTCGTTATGTTATGTGGAATAATATGTGAAAAATATAGAAGCTTGTTAGATTTTTGTCGGAAAATCCATTTTTTTTATTCACTTTATTTAATGTTGGTTTACAAAATACCAGCTAATAAGCAGCTAATTAACACCAACTTGTAACAATAACAAATATAACTAAGAAAATTCACGATGTTTGCAAGTATTCAATATTAGAAATATATGATGTGCAAAGTCTACACGTGCAAGTAAGATCCGTCTGTTTAATTTTAGCTTTGAATACTTAATAATTTTCTGTCGATCGAATGTCTAACGGTGTAGATAGAGATAATTTCTCACCCCTCCTGTGAATTAGAAATAAATAGAAAATAACAGGTACAAGATGATACGTTTAGATAACTGAGAATAGAAAACAAGTGGGTTAGGCACAAGATTTAGAGATATTTAATGGAAGAAATATGATTTGTCACAGGTACATTTAATACTTTAGGCAACTGTCTATTCTGTTTCCTTCCATATCGCACTGCTTCATTCAACCTCGCACTTCTTAAATACAATCGAAATATGATACTTACCATACCTGATCCACTGTTTGATATAATTTGAGCATTACTGATATCTTAGCACCATAATGCATGAGAATGTAATTTTCTTAAAGTTTTAAAGTTTAGAAAATGGAAAACGTTCAATTCGTTAACTAAATTGGACCACAACAGAGATTGGACCACTACTGCAAATAGATACGAATGCCATAGTGCGAATCTGTATGATATACATATTGCCCTGTATGTTGCCCTGCAATCACATTTTTGGTAACATTCAGAAGCTTTTGAATTTCTTTAGCCCTAGCCAACAAAGACGAGAAATTCTTAACAAAATAATGTTTAACACTGAGACAGGCAACGACTTCATGGACCTTTGTCATTATTTTCTCTTATATTATGTTATGTTAATGTTGATGGGAAGACTGAATTATTACTAAGAAATTTTTTCAATTGAGTTATCATTTATGGGCCTCTAAAGCCAAGAGCCCCGTGTCAGTGATCCCCCTGACCCCCCATCTCCTCAGCACTGGGTAAATGACCCAGAGATACATATAAAGGGCATTCACGAAATATGTAACGTAAATGCCTGTCAGTTATTCTCAAAACAGTATATATGGATAGGCTGCTTCCTGCATAAATCAATTTTGGAAACCTGTCTTTCATCAAATGCAGTGAACGATCTATACGCAATGCAAAATATATACGATGCAGTCAAATGCACAAATGTATCTACGAATAATGAAATAGCCACGGATATTTTAAAGTAGCTATGTCATGCAAATTACTTCCAAAAAACTGTTCTTTGCCACGAGAGTTCGTTTAATTTCCAGAATATTCCGTTTGATGTTGCCGCAAAAACTGGTTTACCATCCACTTTGAAAATGTACGGATCAGAAGCTGATTGGGGTAATAGAGAAAGGGACAAACAGTTCAAAGAGGCTCTCATTTGAGGTTGATCTTTAGCTGATGTCCATTCAGTGTCCTCTATCTGGCTGTAAAGAGCAAACGGATAAGGAGATTTGACATATGACTTCCCTACTCGTTCTAACCCATAAATCACTCTTTTTTGAACATCAATTCCGGTTACCGCTGAAATGTAAGGAATGGTTTTCCAAGAAGTGTTGTTTTTTTCTCGTGAAAAACAAACTGCGGAGGTTCTGGTCATGTATGTTTTCCTTTGGTAGCAGAAAAAGAGTTGCTGATTCACATCGTCATAAACCATGCTGAATTCAGGAGACGGCAACCTCGCTGATTTCACCCTGATATCTTTAGTCTGGTCAATCTTGCAATTAAAAGGCAAATTCCTCTCTAAAGTCAAGTTCACAGTTCCATCGAATTTTGCCAAGTTGTTCTTATATGCAAAATCAATGATGATATCTTCATTGCAGTTTTCTCCTCTTGATATAGTCTTTGGGTACTTTGCCTGAATTATTATCGAAAATTCCTGCCTGTTCAGCATCCACAGTGTATCAGTTTGAATCATAATAAACCCAGGCGTGGTTGTGTTTCTGGACGGGGGTAGACTGAAGCGACTTGTGTTGACGAATGCCAGTGATTTCAACTGAAGAAACTTGCTGTTGAAATAAATCATGAGACTAACACCATAAGCATTTGAGTTGCTTTTTTCCAGCAAATGGGACACGGACAGATTAAGGTTGAAGAAGCTATCATCAGTCAGCGACTGGAAGTTTTGTTTTGTGATATTTAGTTGAAGAATGCTTTTGTCGGGATGCAATCTTTTGATTTGAAGTGGCGATGAGAAGACAAGGATTCCATCATGACTTTCAGTGCTGATGACTGCCTGTCTTTCTCCTGAGGCTAGTTCTGCATCTAAGACCTGCGAAAAATTGTTTAATAACAATTCTGTATTCCAATGAATATAATTGTTACGTTTGGTCTATTTTTCACTCAAATAGATACATAACGATCCTTTATTCCTTTAAACATCACTGATGGCAATGTAGACTGGCCTTTTGGACAGGGTTGATTAGGGTCATATGGGCCCACAATCCATTGTAATGTGCAGTGAAAAGGCTAAGGTTACCCTAACCCAAACCATCTAATCATCTATATATTTCAATCCTGCTTCCTTTTTGAAGCCAACAGACTTTCAAATATTTTTAGGGAGCGAAAATATCGGGGGAGGGCGGCGGGAATTTAGCCTACTCTCATTAATTTCAAAAATGTACTCATAATCATTAAAAGTACTGCTTTCCTTTTGGTTTTCAACATGTTTCCAAAAAACGATGAAACCCTTCTAAAATCATTTTAGCCCCCTCATTCTGCTATATGCTCCGTGGGCCTTGCCCAAATTTGAGCAAAAAATTAAGTTAATTGCGACTGGCTATGGACCGGTCACAATGAATTCAACCTTGTAGATAATCAAATTATAATATACAAGAAACTTAGCATCTCTTAAGAGTTGGCTCTATACAGTCACATTCCTTAAAATATATGTTCAAATGTCTTTGTGTGCAGTTTTAGGTCTTAAGTGATAACCCAATTGGCCTACAAATGTCCTTAACATTTGATTTTTCAAAATAATCAACTGGTAATCAACTGATAATCAAACTTGTTTCGCGAAAAACTTTTTTGTTATTGATTGGTTTTGATTATGCTTGATACTATAACCCCCAATCTATTGAATGCAAATTTTCTTATATTATATCTTTATTTTAATTAGAAAAATAGTCCAAGTTATTAACATAGTATTATTGATTAAAAACATACCCTTCGTCGAACATTCACCCCCACAACCTTAAACAAAGGCTTTGAAAAAAAGAATGCAATATTAATGAGATACCTACCTTGCCTGCAATTTCAAGGTCAAAAGCGTAATAATTTTCTTTAACGATGTTAAATTGAAGAAATGCAGCACTGTAAATTTTTCTCATCTTGTCTGTGACTAAATTCTCCACACCGCTTTCTTTTTTGACTGTTCCATTATCAAGCGTTGTCGATGCATTCATTTTGTCAAAGTGAAACAGGTCAAGTTTATTTGCAAGGCTTTTGTTACTGGATGCCATCGATATTCCTACTGTTAAATTGTTCTTTATTGTACCAAATGCAAAGACTGATCCTTTGAAATCGTCATTTGTAGAAAAACTTGACGATGGTGACCATTCGACACTCAAGAAACCTTTCGATATAGCACATCCATAAAGTTCTATTCTCATACAGTTAATGCTTAATGTGGTTGATCTTGCTGTGGGAACTACTCTGATCAATCTTGTTTTGAGATTTCGAAACCAATTAACCCTTGTCTCATAAATATTGCGTTCTCTTAAAGCTGTAAACTCTAAAACGGAGTCTTGCTCGCTCTTGAAAAATTGCCAAATTATTCCATTTTTACTGTATTCAATTTTGAACTTTGTTACAGCGTGGTCATAGTAAGAGCCGTGACCCTGAATCGCAACACCACTTAAAATCATCATCGTCCCAAGATCAACTTGCAAATATTCGGATACCGGAGTATTGTAGTACGAACACCAACCCGGACCATAGTAATGTAGTCGCGCTAGATACGGTTTGTGGTAGTTATCATTTCCCCAAACAGTCTTTGCATAAAACCTAGAATCCGGTATTTTCCTGGTTCTCACTCCAAGTTCATTTGAGCAATCATCAATTCCATCCCGTTCATGAAACGTTTTGATGCTAACTTCGATAATTGAAGCCCCTGATCCTCCAATCTTGTTTACAGTTTTCTCCCAATCTTTTCTCACCTGTCCTGTATAGCCAACATATGCCAGAGACATATAGACTCTTGGAACTGGTGTAGTTGCAAACGTTGCAGAAACACCAACCTTTTGTAATGCAAGAGCTAGATTACTATTTATGTTAACTGCAATCCTTGCTGCCATCAAAAGTAGTTTTCCTGAAGGAAGATTGTTCAAAAAAGTAGCTAAAAGATCCCTTGAGGAGAGAACCCCATAGATATCGTACGTTTTTCTATACTCAAGCAAACCACTCCGGTAATCAAAGAGAACAACATTGATACCACGTGTGTTCAAGCTGTATTGGCGGCCATTAACTATCACGTGACCTCTGCTACTTCCGCAAGTGGCGTCCAAGCATGATTCAGAAATGACCTTTACTGTCTGTATGTCTAAAAGTAAGCAGAAAAATGTCTAATTGATCAGTGACAATGAAATTATGTTTTTTAAACACTTAAGATCTCTCTAGCATTATCATTTTAAAGTATTCAAATTTATTAGCGTCCGCAAATCCATGTAGAAATGTTTGCAAATCAATTTTTGAATCAACTCTCTCGCGTTTACATCCCTTGTTGCATGATCTTTTTGCTTGTGGTGATAGAGAGAAGCACGGAACGCTAAAAGACCCCGATCCTTAAAAGGCCCAGAAATCTGAATGGCACGGAACCCTAATGAATAGCCCTGACAAGGGAAAAGAGGGAAGTATTCAGAAGAGCAGGCGTATGGTCATGTTTCAAAAATCAAGAACAAAGTTTATGAACTTGGCAAAGAGACTTAAAAAAGGTCAACACTGGAAGAGTATTGATAATTCGTATATCTCGGGAGTCCTGGAATGATATCTTGTGGGAGCAATGTATTTGGTGTGGTAGTATCCATAAACATTTGAGAGATCACCAACAGAAATGGAATTTAAGGTTGCAGATGTAGATGAAGCAAATAGCTTTCAATTTGATTTTGGTTACAAATTCTGCCTGCGACCGCATTTGAATTGACCTATTCGTTACAAACAACTTGCTACTTGATTTGTAACTTACGCATGTTGAGAACAGAGCCTGACAGAAAGATTTTCGCGGATAATGATTGAATGCGAAGGCCTTGAGAAATGCTATTAGACGGTTGCAATAAGAAGATAACAAAGAAAACAAGAATACCAGAAGGAGACGGTTTTTGTTGGCCCTGTTACAGAAGTCATTATTTGACATCTAACAAAATTTGACATTCAACCCCGGTCGAAAAAGACTTTAGTTTTGCATCGGTTTTGCGCGTATCGTTGTTGCCATACCTACGGAATTATTTTAGTTGATTTCTGCTGTCTGCCATCTACCTTCAGTTTTTGAAAAAAAAATATTAAAACACGACCACAACTATGAAAGTTGATATGAAAGTAAAATATTATCATGGTTACAGTCATAGAAAGATAAGTAAAAAACAACTAGTAACAAATTATTGGAATCGTTATGTAATATACGTTTACACACATGTGGCTATGTAATATATAGACATTGTAAGCATCACTTTTCTCAGCAAGATGTTGTGTTTACCCAAAGTGAATATGACGCATATCAAAAGCATGGGTGGGAAAATTAATAAAAACAAAATTTTACATGTCAAGCCCAAGAAATGGGAATTGCAAGATAAACAAAATATCACTGAATCAGAATACCTTTATCATCGTGGAAGAAAAATCTCAAGCGGTCTTCATCAGTACATCCATTGCTCTGTAGGAAAAGCAAATTGCCATTGGCAGGATATAAAGCTCCATTTAAAGGATGTATACAATCAGTTGGACCATTTTGAAGTAAAGAAAACTGGTTGAGTCTGTGAACTGTTTCTAGAGATTCACAGTCGTCAGTCAGTCGCAGATATGAACTTGAGAAAATAACACATTTGCCGGTTTCAACATGCCTCAAATGGTAATTATTCACATACTCAAAGCGATCACAAGCCAACAGATCCCTCAGTTTGATCAGGTTCTCTTCAGAGGTATAAACCCAACATAGTCCACCAAAGTGCCGGATGATATAGTAGGCTTTCTTTCTGAAGTAGAATTTGTTGGTGTTTCCATCGCAACCTGGCTTCAGGACAATTGCAGTATTAATTGCAGGATCACCATCTCCAGTTTCTGGATGCAAACATTTGTTAGAGTAAAGCTGCCGAATCACTCGATTGCTTTCATCGTATTGGAACAAACTGTTTGTACCACTGCATTGGCTTGACAAGGACAAGAAACTTCCATCGCTTGTGGCATTGACAGTGATGCATTTCTTTGTTGGTATGTGGACCATTCTTACTCCATCTTGCCATTCGAACTTTTCTCGGCAAAGTCGACCGTAAACCAGCACCTGACGTACCTCATCGTACTCTACGCACTTCCCATGAAAATGACGAATGTAATATGTCTTTGATACCTCAAACTGTCTGCTTTCCACAATTTGACACCCTATCATGGAAGATAGCATCAACGAAAAGAACAAGCGAAAAGTTAAGTATGTCTCCATCGTGTACCCACCAGCGTTGGAAATGTATTAATATGAAACTTGTAAGCTGCCCCTACAATAAGCACCTTTTACGTTGAATTCATCCAAAATTCACATGAATGCTTCGCGTGTTCAGGTTTCTTATTATTCTTTAGCTTCAGTTCCATAACCTGTTTTGACATACTGTTATTTGGAATATTGATCACAGTTCTTTGTTGTTGAAGTAAGCTTCATTCATTATCAATTAAACGCATCATTACTGGTGGATTCGTTGCTTAGGAATTTCACAATTAATATTATGACCAACTGCAAGTAACACCTTTTATTATGAAGTGAAAAGCTGTGTTTGTATTTGATGATCTCTGCTTGTAATTAATGCATGCTGGTAACACCAGCTTGTTTTTCTTTACCTTGAAAATCTTACCTACGACTAGCCTGCGTCACAGACCAAAAACTTCACACCAGCTTGTTTTTCTTAACCTTGAAAATCTTCCCTACAAGTAGCCTGTGTCTCTTCACGGAATTTTGGGTCTGTGACGCAGGCTAACCTACGACGTGAAAGTGTTTGTTCGATGCGACGACTTACTTTTAAGAACATTCTTTGCCTTCACCTTCTACAAATGTTTATTCATCACATATTGACTTGAATTTTTTTATTCCTTGTCAAAGAAATCCTCACATTTTCTTCGAGATGACGTGTTTTGTCAGATAGCACTCTTTTCATTTCTATTTCTGATATCTAAACACTGATACTTTTTGTGAAATAGATAAACAGAGTACGCTCAACTAAATTTGTACGTTTCTTTAACAATAGTATCATACCTTATCGATACTAATGTGTATGAATTGATTATAAAGACACGATTCTATGTGATAATGTTCTGTTTCTTTCCTACCTATATCATTATGAAAAAGTTCTGAGCTAAACTTTTCTGATGGCTGTTATTCTGTAGTGACCATTGCCGAACGTAATCATGTCTTCCATTTTATCAATGTCATTAACACCTTCCATTGTCTCCGTATCCACAGTAACGTAATCAACAACACTTTCGAAGGGTCCCTTCACTTTATGTCTAAATTAGACACAGCACTGGTTGGAAATGACACTTTAATCGATGGATGGATTTATTAAGTGACTACATTGATCGCCGCTCCAATGTACACAAAAATTCTACGATCATCTGTTCTGTTATGTAATCAATAAAACGAGACTATTCAATAAAGATGGCTAACACCAGTCTGTTTACTCTAACTGATATAGTTATTAATATCAATGTTAATATTGATTAAAGTAGATGTCTTATCGGTGAACGTTTCAGTAGTTAATAGATAAGCCTTTAGTAGTGCAAAATTTGAAGATAGAACAGAAAAGTGTAAGAGTTTTGGATAAGACGCGTTTGATTGGTTCCTAGTTTTTGACGAATCAGCAACCGCTTACTTTTCACCTAAATGAACGAAGTCAATTTTTATTAGAAACAACCTAATCTTGACGTTTTTCACCTTTTTACCTATTTGTACCCGGTAATCACGCAGTACCAGGGAGTTTCCGATATTTCTCATGATACTTTCAAAAGGATGCGCCCAGTACCCATTCCGAGTTGCACCTTTCAACAGGCTAGCTTTCTATGAAACTATGAAATGAAATTTAAAATCAAATTCAATCGTCCATTTAAGTTTATAAGCTACAAAATATGCCTTTCTATATTTAGCGAGAAAAAATTATTGCACATCCTAAAGCAGAAATAGCGGCAAGTTATAAAACAGTAGTTAAATGATGTGTTGATACTTAAAAAGGCAAATGCCAGAACTTTGTAGATTTTTGTCTATTTCTACAGAATTTCGACATCTACAAAAGCATGAAAATTTAAATATGATGATAAAAGTTCCTGCAAAATATTTACAAAAATTTGTCTTTGCAAAAAGTTGCAAAATCTCATTAAGGTGAACTTAGAATCACTTTTATCGAACTTGGGTGTCAAAGACTGTTAGTTTTCCTCGCTGTTATTTTTTATAGAAAAATAGGCTAAACACCTTTGTTGAAATTTTCTGGCACGGCAACGGACATAAGGTTAAAACATCCATTTTTAGATTTTTTCACATTCAAGTAGCCGAACTTTTAAGGCACACAATGATACAAAAATTGGAAACTAACAGAAATTTTGAAAATAGGAAAAATCCCTTGCAAAATAAAGGTTTCCATAATTTCTTTGTCAGAACTTTTAGTTGAGGCCTGAAAATCTCTTAATCTGTTAAGACGATTATCGTTGCTTTGCGGTTGTGGTGGCATGTCTCTTTTACAATATCGCATGGCACATCCATGTACCCATCGTACGGCGTGTTTGTTTAAACAGGCCTTTTGATCTTGAAGCTTCAAGTCACTTGACCCGGGTTACACTGTGATTTACGAGTGTACCTTGCACGTGCGATCAGTAAAATACCGTTTTCTCCGGACTTACGATTCGTCTACATACAGGTACGAAAAAGCTATTTTGTACCCAAGAAACCAATCGAATGGCTCAAAACTTTGCACACGGCCAGGACAGATGTCGGGTAAGCAAAGAGTGTCTCAAAATTTTTGTATTTGCTCTGGTCCGTCTTTTACAGCCAAATACAGCTATGAGAGGTAAGAAAAATTGTTTGCCAATTTTAGAAAGAGGAATTTGAAAAATCTGAGACACAATTCGGTAGCTAAGGATCTGGGCTTTCTGCTGATATAAGCCAGATTTCGTTACCTCTAACGCAAGGGTATAAAATAGAATTCGAAGGTAGTACACTCATTTAAGCAACAAATTTGCATGGAAAGTATCATTTTACAATCTTTGCCAGTTGTTTACATATGGTTGGAATCGCCACATTCTTATGCATCGAATGATGTATAGTTTAGTCTGATACCGTTAATAGTTTTGCTCTTAGGGAGAAAAAACGAAATATCGTGTCAAAAATGTTTACCGTAACCTTAATGGTTGGAAACATTTTGGATGTTTCGCAAGAAAGCTCAAACGACAATTAATTATATGACAAGTCTTAAATTTCATCTTTTGCAACCAATTGTGATGGTGTTTTAGGAAAAAATTATGCTGTAAATTGTTAAAATAAAATAAATATGTTATTTTGTTAATAAATTGTTAATTTCATCTCCTCATTAAATGAAAAGACAAAGAATTTTTTGATAAACGGATACACTTTTTTTATTTAAAAGAAAGTTGTTCACAAGAATATTCAGACTAATCAAATTTATAAGAATATCATGAAAATGTTGTTCAGCTTCAGCTGGCATATTTTATCTCCTTTTCGGCATTTGCATTTCTCGTGACGTTAATATCAGAGAACTTCACGACTGATGTACCTTGTTTCATTTCGTGGTTTTCTTTTTGTAGGTGGGCGATGTTCCCTTGAAACCATATCAGATTTTAAAGAAATCAAAAATACTTGACGAGTATATTCAGGAACAACGTTTTAGGAATATGAACAAGCTGGATAAAATTAGCAGTTTTATTATAAAAATAATAAATGCACACCAAAGTGTCCTAATAAAATTGAAGAATTCTTCTTAAAAATTCAGCCATAAATATGCCACTATTCACAAAATACAATGCCAATAATGATTATCTTCTTTATCAAACCTTGTGGCCAACGTTTTTAATTCTATTATTTGGTATTTTAAGATCCTTTTACAAAAGTATTTGATGAAATTTTGGGAAGGCTCACAAATGTTTCATGACTGTTCAAAACATTCCCAAAGCTCAAAAAAGTCTTGAGACTCTAAAGTAAAAAGTTAGTGTTTCTGATATTTCAAAAAGTAGCATTTCCAAAATTTGAAGTGACAAAGTTGCCAGTAGTTTGAAGCTTTATTTCATTGGTTTCTAACCATTGAATAAGGCCTTGATGGCTCGCTAAGTTGTTTAATTTGGACGGTTATATAGATCATATTGTTTATTATTATTATTATTATTGCCCCAAATCATATTATAACAGGCTGGCCTCTTTCAGAAAATTTACATTTCTGCTATCAATGAAGGACCTGCTGTACATACAGTTATACAAATCTTAAGAAAGTATAAACTAGCAAGAAATCAGTTAAAATATACAGTCTAATCCAAATCTAAGAGTCCATAGAGTGTAGGAGAGAAAGAAGTAAGAAGTAAAATTAGTCAAGTTCCGTTTGAATTTGCAGATAGAGCGTTTTTTCCTCAATTCTACTGGTAATATGTTGAAGGCAAGTGCACCTTCTACAAAAAACGACCTTCTTCCTGCTTCATTGTCCGATTTGGGTACCACAAGTCGATTACCATTTCCTCTCGTATGAATTGAGTGATCGAAGAACGTAAAATCGATTGTTGACTGGTTTTTCTTTAGTCCGTGTAGATATTTGAAAACTTCAGTTACACTTCAACGCTTGATCTTTTCGACGGTAATTGTTGACTTGCACAATTTATTACCCTACGAGCTTTGTTTTGTAATCTGGTGAGTTTGTCCAGGAAAGGACCAATGCCAAGATCGATTGGAGCAGAGTAGGAGGCTATCGACTCAATCATACTGTTGTAGATGGCAGAAGCTGCAGCCTGACTGAGATTTTCACGTATTCTTTTTAAAAGGTTTAGGCGCTTGGTGATTTTCTTGTATACTTTTGTTGTTTGTTCTGACATTGTAAAATGTTTGTCAAATGTTATGCCCAGATATCCATAACTTGCCGCTTTACCGGGGAAAGTTATGGCTTGTCGCTTGCCGCTTGTAGATAACTAGCTCCGTTTTACCGGGTTTGAGATTCAGAATCAGATCGTTCTCCATAAACCACTGAAACAGTTGTTCACCTTCATGGTTTAGGGTTTCCTCGATACTTTTGCTTGATGAATCAGAGAATAGCAGCACCGTATCGTCTGCGTACATCAACATTGTGCATTTGTCAAGGCATTGATAAGCATCATTTATTAGGATGACAAAAAGCAGAGGGCCCAATATAGAGCCTTGCGGGATCCCATAAGTAATTGATTCTGGCTCAGACTGGATGTTGTTAAACGTTACATACTGTTTCCTGTTGAAAAGGTAATCTGAGATCCATTGGTGCTCGACACCAGAGATGCCATAATATGGTAGCTTACTGAGAAAACATGAATGACTCACCGTGTCGAAAGCTTTCTTTAGATCTATGTATAATGCTCCAGTTAGGTTTTTGTCACTAATTTTTTGACGAATATGGTCATGTAGGTAGAGAACAGCGACTTGTGTACACCTATTTCTTCTGAAACCGTACTGGTGTTCATATAACAGGTTATTTTCTTCAAAGAAATCAGTAATTTGTTCACTGACGACATTTTCAACGACTTTTGACAATATCATTCATTTTCAGTATGGATATTGGGCGAGAGTTGTCAAAGATTAATCGTTCCCCAGACTTGTAGATTGGTGTCACCTTTGCTATTTTTTCAGCAGTTGGAAAGGTACCAGTGCTCATGCTTACATTCACAAAAAAGCATAATGGTATTGCTAATTCTCTGGATGCGTCCTTTAGCAT